TTGACCTGTGGGTTCTAATTTTTTTTCATACTGTTTAAAATATTACTTTAAAAAATCTCAATACCTACCGCCTATTTAACTATATCTCCTCTGCTATTATTATAGGAGTTCTTGTTTATTTTTTGGTTTTCTTTTTTTAGAGGAATGAAACTTTCGAATATAAAAAATCGATTCCAAAAATCGATTCGTTGTGATAGATATTAGAATCGGGTTTTTATTAAATAATTTTTTCACATGACTAGCTGATCCTCGCCCCGACTGATTGTATTCAAATATGGTGCTCTGACAATTTATACAGCGTGCTTTTAGACATTTACGAGTGTACCTACTATTTATGTGACATGGGTGCTAAATAATAGATAAATTATTAATATATACAATTAACCAGAGCTTATAATTTGGTGTTATTATATAGTTTAATAATTTATTTACATTTTACTGTTTAATTTGTAGTCTCTTCTCTAGCAGTATCTCAAAAAGCATTCCAATGGATATCAATATCGGTATTTTTGTAATTTTGTAATGAATGAATAAGCACTGACCTAACGGCATACAGCTTATTCACTAGCGGGGCACCAGGGAAGGATGACAGGATGAAAATGATGTAAGGTCAGTTAGCCCATCGTGGCAAATTCTCTATGGATTGACGGCTAAAGTTTCTCGAAAGGACTGAGTAGATGGGCAGATGTAATTATTATACTAGTAATTTTCCTAAGATTTAAATAATAACTAGCAATTTCCCTAAGATAGTATTTTTACCTTCAGTTTTATACTGTATATTATAGAGTGAAAAACAAACAAACCTTGAACTAAAATATGGATAATTTTATAGAATTTGCTCTAGACTACGCCTCTTACTGTCTTTTGTATTGATTTTTAAGTTACTTCTAACTTTAAAAATGCATCACATCGCGTTAAAAGTAGTCTTTCTCAGGGTTTAAACTAACTGTGTACTTACCAAATTTCAATTTAAATCGGTTCAGTAGTTTGGCGTGAACGCTCGGCAGGCAGAGTTATTTTCTTATTTATAATATTAGTAAGGATCAAGTTAAATATTTTTAACTTTTAGTATGTATATTAAAATTCATACAATATAATACAGCCTGTGTATTTTCCACGCATAGACAGTACGTTATTCGTAGCGCGTGCGCTTCTCATTGTAATGTACGTGCGCGTCTTTGTCTATGAATAGATTGAATTAACACTTTTTCATCTGTTTTACACCGACACAAATTTGGAGCTTTTACATGTTCAGATTAATAAATATTAAGAAAGATTTTTTTGTTTATTTAATTGTATTAGCAATGGCAAATAAGCAAGTTTACCCTGCATTATGGTTTATGGTCTATTTAGTTCAATAACCCAATAGACATCACGTTATCATGTAACATTCATGCGTTGCCATTCCAGAGGATATCAAGCTTTTTATTAATTATTTACTACCTAGTCTTATCGTTGCTTTATAAGATTGAGCTACCCCCCACTGACGACTTCTTATAGTCTACCTCTAAAATGTTGTATTTACATTATCCCAACTCTTATTCATAAAAACTACAAAATCATATAAAATATGTTTTATTTATTAAATTGTTTATCTTTTAAAATAAAATGGGGAATCACAAAAATAATATATTGTAGTATAGTATGTCCTTTTGTTTAGTTTATTTTCTTACACTTTATCTTATTCTTCATAGGTATTTTTGATCTCAGTTAAGCGAATACAACAAGCGAACACAAAAGATGCTGAGAGACATTAAGAGACGAAAAGAATGGAAATGTATACTGTTTTTTTTTATTTGAACAGGTACATCATGTATAAATATGGTGCTAAATGCACAAAGCACAGTTTTATTGTTGTGTACATTAAAACGTATGTAAATCCTAAATTAAATATAACAGATGTTGGTGGGATCGTACATTTAGTCAATTCCACTGCCTTCCTTGATATTATCTTGGAAGAGAAATAAGTAGGTATAACCTTAAGAGCAGAGTGTTCTGTTACTCTTCTCGGCTGTAACTAATTTCCGAACTGACGGTATATTTGACATCATAGATTTTAAAACTTTTTTTTTAATTTAATTATATGTTATATGATGTAATATGTATGATGTATATATGATGTATGTAATTTAATTAGATTATTACGTATTAATGTTAATTAAGTAATCATCTTGATAATAAGGCAATAGCTAATATTAAAGCAATTGCATAACACTGGTTATATTGTCGCGGATAGTAATTAATTGCTATTAAATAATTCACAGGCGTATATTCTTAACTCTAATATAATATTTTAGTATATTCTTTTTTTTATATATGTTTAGAAACGGGTCCTTTATAACTATTATTCCTATATAAAAAGACTGTTGACTAGTTACAAAAAAATATCTGCATAATTAATGTCGTACTTACATTAACAACTAAATTAAGATATATTGTAATATAGTTGCAATATATCTTAATTTAGTAGCTTTTAAAAACACGTTCAAAGTGACCATTATATTAGCTATTGAGATAAACATCTGCGCAATAATACTAATTCACTTTGTGATTATAAATTCTGACTTTATTGTACAAAATGCATAATTAACATTGCGCCTACGATGCTTGAATAACAATTATCTCTATAAGCAATTATGCTGAAGTTGGTTACATTTGGCCATAATTTAAGATTTAGATAAAAAACGACTTCAATTACCTTAAAATCCAAATGTGACCAATATAAATGTTAGAGACAAATTTTTACTCCGACGATATGTCAAAATTTAAGTAATATATTATAAGTACCACGTAGGTAAGGTAAGTTGCATATGATCTATTCTCAGTTCTACTACCATCCTTATTTTTTTTAATTAGGGTTTTGTGATCCAAATACTAAGATCTATAGGACTGCGACCTACGATAGATCTATTGCACTCACCTTTCAAAGTTACCTACATAGATTCGTCTGGGACAGGAATTGAAGAATATTCTTAGGAGCGATGGGTTTTTTCTCCTCAGGATAGAGTATACATTTTCTAAAAGAGATATTTCGTTTCGTTACGTGTATGGACTACAACCACATAGGATGTGTAGTGGCGTTTCATCTTCAGCTTGGCAAAATCTGCAGAGATAACCATCCTTAACAACCTCACTATAGAACATGAGTGTCTTTTTGTAAGGTTTACTAGTTAATTAAAAAGATTAATATTTTGGCTTTATTGCACTGGTTCGGTAATTTAGCACACTATATATATTTGTAAATATAAGTTCTAAGCAGTGTGCAAAACAAACCATGTATGGTTGGTTTTGCACACTGCTTTACTACTTATGGTCGTGGGTTCGATTCCTCGGACGGTACAGACATTTGAAGTCATGAGTATGATTGTTTGTGATCTGGGTGTTTTCTATACATATTATGTATGTAGTAGGTACTAATAGCACAAGTTTTGCTTGGATTGTGACTAGATAGCGCTGTGTGAATTGTCCATGGATATTATTATTATATTGTTTTAATAATTCTAATTCAGAAAAGATTTACAGGATAAATAGCATCCTTGGACCAGAACTTGGATGGATTTAAAGGGAGAGGACAACCAAAAAAAAGATGAATTGTGTGAAAGATCATCTTATATATAAAATTCTCGTGTCACAGTTTTCGTTCCCATACTCCTCCGAAACGGCTTGACCGATTCTCATGAAATTTTGTGAGCGTATTGAGTAGGTCTTGGAATCGGCCAACATCTATTTTTCATCTCCCTAAATGTTAGGGGTAGTCCACAAAAAAAGCCGGGACAGCTAGTGATATATAAAAAGAGAGTAAGCTCACATATGACGGCTGTTAGGTAGCAGTAGAAGAAGAGAACATAATGCGCCGACCCCAAAAAATGGATAAACGCAAGGCAATGATGATAAAATAGCACCGTTGTGTTCCTACTCCGTTATCACACGGAGATTTTGTATTTATTATTATTTACCTGCAGTAACACTCAATTGCCAATGTGTACAAGTTTATAGTTCTATCGACCTATCTGAGGCCTATTGCCAAGTGCGCCAAAAGACCAGTAAATCACTCAATATTGACATATGGTTAGAATACAAATTACAGATATTTATGTTTCTTTAATTTTTATCATATTTATATAACAGCGAAAGTGTGTCTGTCTAACCGTCTGTTTGTATTTCACGACTAAGTAAACAAGTGTACGGATGTTAGAGAAATATTTTATATCTGACTAGCTACTCGTCCCGGCTTCGCACGGGAGTACATGTATAATATGTTTATATATAGATTTTATATATTCCTCTAGAATCGCTCTATCTATTAAAAAAAACCGATTCAAAATCCGTTGCGGTGTTTTAAAGATTTAAGCATACATAAGGACAGAGAGCGACAGCGACTTTATTTTATACTATGTAATGATAAACTGCAGTCAATTTCGGGGAATATACATATATTTTATTTAATCATTTTGCAAAGTCCATTTCATCACTTGATATATTTATATTATTTTGTTTAATTCGCGGTTTAACACACCTTTTACTTCTGATAGTCGCGGGTTTGATTCCTCGCACGATAAAAAACTTTTGTATTCATGAGATTGATTACATGTATCGGTCTGAATGTTTTTTTATGTATTTTCGTACGTATATATACAAAAAAATGTATTTAGATATTCTGTAATTTGTCTAGTACTCGTAACACAAGCTCTATGGTTATTAATATTATCTTCGTAATAGACTTCAAAATAAGTTTTTAGTTTTTGTACTAATGTCGCTGGAGTATTTCATATAAATTGTGTGAAGGACAAGGTAAGGGATATTTTTAAGTACAGATAGAGAAAGAGAGATAATACCTATAACAAAATTTTATTTTTTTGATTTAATATTTGCTCTTACTTTATTACATACAATACATGTATTATTAATGTTAAATAAACATTAATTTCAGGCTTTAATTTCAGAAACAACTAAATATGTACTTTTAGTGTTACAATATAGGTACGAGCAGAGTGCCTTAATCTAGTATTAAAAATTAGATCTATATCAGGGTGATTTGTTATCTACGTAATATTGTCTTCAACAGGTAAGATATAAAGGTAAATTACACATTATTGTAAAACGAAACGGAGTGTATGCTGGCGCATAGTTATAAAACTACAATAATTTAAATATCGAATTATTTTATTCTTCTCTTTCGAATATTTTTTTTTATGAATTAGAATAGCAAAGGAGTTGTTACTCGCTTGATAGTGACAAACGACGTCTACATAAATGACTATGGATACAATATAATCAACCTCATATTATGGTTCCATACCATGTAATTTTAGTGCCACGTTTCTAAATCTTCAACTGAAATTTAGCTTACAAAACAAGCTGCAGCTGTAATAGGTGAAAGAGAGGTATAACACAGACGACTTTGTATAATTTTTTTTCTTAATTTGTAAGTTGTGACAAAACACTCCAATAGTTTATATGGGTTTGTTCGTGATTGTAAACAGCTTCTTCTTTTTATGAACATTTATTGCTTCGACTCTGCGACTCTGGTGCCATCTTGTAGGTTAGTTTTAGTGTTGGTGCGAGCCTGCCGCTCGGTGAGAGGGTTCTTAACATGAAGTGTTGACTCTACGACCACTTCCTCGATGAATGGCTGGCCATCTGAATCTGAAACGAATATTATAAAACATTTAAATATTTTCAGAAGTAATATTGGATCACAAATTACAATATCTTGATACCCTGCTTATTCAAGGAATCTAGCATGATAAATAGTGTGATATCAATGAACATCATAGAATAAGTTTTAATTTAGAAGTGATGTGATGTTTGTATCTTCTTATATGATGATCGCCACAGATTACCATAATCAAACGACAACAATAAATAGAGCAGTTTTAAATTTGACGCGATCATTATCACATTCATATATTATCATTAAAATCATGGGATTTTACCACGTTTTATTCAATAAAAAATAAAAATCACTAAAACGTGGTAAGGTCCCGTGATTTTTTATAATTGTACATGTAAATAAATAAAGCGTCTATACAACGCCACCTATTATTTGATTACTGAATTAATTAATAAAATTGTAGGTCGTATTTAAAGTTTCACAAAATAATTTGAGCGACCCTTTTGGATATGTCTTTTAGTTTTCTTTAGTATAAATTAACCCATATATTTTCTGTGTAAATTTTATCCCTATTCCTACGACCTTTTTTATAATACGCACACAATAAATAGTAAACAAACAGATAGTTTCTTCTCCTTTATGATTTTAAGATTGTATTCTTCTTATTATTGTGTGCATATATAATATTTGCATTGGAAATCCGCTTTATGTCCGATGGAAGCAGGTACGATTCCTCACAAACATTAGTCTTAAGTATGACTGTTTCTTTTGGTCTGAGTGTTTTCTATGTATACTATTTATTTATTTATTTAAAAAAAAAACTATTCTATCAATCTTAAACTAGATGACGCTGTGTTGATTCCCCTGGGTTATTATAGTGTTCACTTATTTGTTATTTATGTCTTCTTGTATGTAAGTTGTTATCGACGTAATATCGGCTCGTTAGCCATAGCTCCACGTCTTTACTCCGCGGCGCTTGCGCAGGGACTCCCTTCCCTCTTGCGCACGGCGGTCCGTGTACGCTCGGCTCGAGACGATAGATAATAAACTGCTAGTGTTTCCACATACACTACATCTCTCTCCTTTTTAAGTTTATTTTCTTTTCAAGCATGAATCAATCCACTCTATTAGGTATTTGTTCCTTGGAGGCATGTGTGCTACGTTACAACGATGGTGGACTCATTTTGACACTATACTGCCACACATAAGCCGAATGCCTCTAGTGCGATTGGCCTTTCCAGCGTAACCAGCACCGTGATTTTTCCTCCTCTTTTGAATATAAATTACATTTATATATTAACTCCAATTTACTCTGTGTTTCACATACTTCACCTTTCTTCTTTTATATTTGTTTTCATATAATCGTTATTCCACTTTGTTATTGTGTAATATTATGTAAGATTAGTATAAAGCACTTCTGAAAAAATGTTGTATGTTTATGACCAGAATATCTTTATCATAGTAGTCACTACTTTATATTTTGTAGGTTTACGGTAAATACTTATATTTTTTTTCCATTCTATCTGTCTCATGCAATGTGTTATTTACATGTAGTATTTTTCTTTATCATGTACATTTGAAAACTGATTATCTAAAACATAATCTGGAATTTCTTCAAAACTCCCCACTATTTATTATTATCATTCCATACAATATTGATGGGTCCTGTGGTGGTATACCAGAATATTATTATTATATCAAGAGTTGCATCAACAATTGCAAACGACTTTCCACTATATTCTGTCTACACATCTGATATCAGTCCATGTAGTATTAATTGGGTATAACTATAACCATTCTTCATCGTACAAAATTATCTCTCTTATCACCTGCATTAATTCAGTGCTAAAATATTAGGAAAGGTTGTCAGACCAGTCTTTGAGCGATCGACATATACCACATATATCACCACAGCGACTCTACGTACTCCAGCAATCGTCAATTATATTAGTTATAGAAATTATATTTTCGACCAAAATTAATTTGTGTACTATGACTTTTGATTTATTATATTTTACTGAATCCGCTCCATTTCACTCCGATAATTAATATGCATTAAAACTGGCAATTTTTTATTACTTATATTCAACCGCAATTTAATGCAACATTCTATCAATTTACCTTTAATGAATAGGACACCATTCATCAATACACAATACAATGCTTGATGACCCCGCCAAAGACAATTTAACACAAACTGGACGTTAATACGCAATTTAATGCTTAACGACCCAGCCAACGCAATTTAATGCAACCTGTCCGCCAATACGCAATTTAATGCTTGACGGCCCAGTCCAACGCAATTTAATGCAATCTGTCCATCAGTTCGCAATTTAATGCCTGATGGCCCAGCCAACGCAATTTAATGCAATCTGTCCATCAGTTCGCAATTTAATGCCTGATGGCCCAGCCAACGCAATTTAATGCAATCTGTCCATCAGTTCGCAATTTAATGCCTGATGGCCCAGCCAACGCAATTTAATGCAATCTGTCCATCAGTTCGCAATTTAATGCCTGATGGCCCAGCCAACGCAATTTAATGCAACCTGTCCGTCAATACGCAATTTAATGCTTGACGGCCCAGTCTACCTTACCTCTGTAGCTCCTTTTTTAGAATATCAATGCCATTGTCACCGTCATTATAATCCATTGAACTTCTAAATTCATCCTCTTTAAGTATTGGTTATTAGTATTATGCTCATTGTTTTTCTTCCTTTGCTAATTTCTTTAAGGTCATCTGAGCCAATAGTCACTTTATAAGCAAATCATGAACTCCTGCAAAACACCAAATTTTATAATTATAGCACAATTAAACGCCACTCTTATCCATTTAATTTTCACAATATATACATTTATGACTACTAATATTAAACATATTTCAGATTTATTTACTCCACAAGAATGTCCAGTAAATAATTCTAATCTAAAGTATGGGAATACTAATAGTATCCTCAGAACTATTTTTTTTTTCCAATAATATATCGTTAGTAATTGTTACTATCATGCATCATGGTTTACATTATTATCTAGTAATAATAATAATAATTGTGCAGCCATAATATAACGCACCTCATTCACAATAATATACCTCGTATATAACGACTTCCTTGATTTAACTAATTCTTTGTAATCCCTTGGATTTTCCATAAGAATCGATGTAAAATATACCTTTACATTGCGACATTATTATTTTTTTTATTTTTTAAATTTGGAAAAACACCTCTTTCTAAGGAATTTTCTTAACCCAAAACCTTTATATAATGTTCCCACCAATGGTATGACTCTAACTCTACTTATCTCTTATCTCATAAAATGTGATTCATGTCAGGACATGTTTCGACGTACTTTTGTTCGTAGAACAATAATTGTTGTTCGATGGAAAGTAATGTAAAGTTTTGTAAACACTGCTGCTCGTCACTATTGTTAAAGATTCAAGTGAAATGAAATGGCTTAGACAGGTTTTTTACCTTTTTATAACGAAGTTTAGACCAACGTACCTTCAACATAGTAAATCTCAGTTCAACGAATTACTTGATATACTATATATATATATTTTTTTTTCGATTTGTTTTATCGAGGTTGCACTGTAGTACGTATGTAAAAGTTAAAACACGCTAATTTGTCTAAGCTACCCTGCAATGCGGCCAAAGTATTTAGAGAGCGACCAACACCAGTACTATGACGATAAACAAATACATGTATATATTTTACAACTACTACAATGAAGCAGGTATCATTTCCTATTAGCTATCTCAAAACTCAAAACCACATTAATACACTTATTTCGCGTATCGCGACACTACACAATTCCAGCCGCAACTGGATTAACTGTCAATTAAAAATGACTCCCCATCGCTCCAACATCCCTGTCAAATTCATATAAAACAGCTGTCAGCGCTGTCTGCATGTGATAACAAAACAAATTCTAACTCCATTCCACAGCTACTAAATGCGGTACATTAATGCAATTATGGCTATTATTCCTATTATTTATTCAAGCTTCTTTAAATAAAGAATATTCATATTCTATTCCATGTTCCCGAAACTTCAAAGAATATAAAAACATTTTTTTTTTCCACTCTAATAACCCCTTCACTCATCCGTATAATGCATTAGGCGAGTAGGTACAATAATTCAGAACTTAATAGTAGTTCTATTTCATGTAACCATTATTGTGCAATTTCTAATTTACTGGTATTTTTAAATTAGAGAGAATCTTAAATATGATTCCATAAAGACATACTCACCACCACTGTACTATACTATAGCTTATTATTAAAAGTTAATCACTGTCCTTTCTGTAAAATAATAGAATAATTCTATATACATAATTAGGTATCCTTTTTCTCGTTCCAGTGTTACTGACTATAGAAACCACACACCGCGTACAGAAACAGCACTCCTGTACCTTACATCCGGCCATAACTAGCGACACACTTCCTCGCAATATAATAGTCGGCATCTCAACCTCTTGACTACGTTGTTTTTTGTTTTTCTTCAACAAATTCATTAGACACTAAATTCACCAAACCAAAAGATTGCCTTCTAGGTCGCAAGTTGTAGATGCGCGCTTCATTTTAACACAAAGCACAAATTGTTAAAAATATGCCATACAAGTAGATAGGCACCTTGCACTACACAACATATATAGTAGACCCCAACATAATATATCAAACTAATAATTAATCTACATTTAAAACCTTCCTATGTAAAACAATTGCAATTCCCACCGGCATCCATTGGAATGCTCACTAATAATTATTATTTATAAATTACATAATCCAAAAGCCAAATCCAATCCAAATAAAACATTTTAACCACACTACTTCGCGGCTCTGCTCGAATACCAGAATAAAATAGTCTGCAGGTATTCCGAACAACTCATCCACATCGAAATGTATGGGACACTGTTACCCAGATACTTCAACACTTGCAATCAATTAAGGCAAATATAAATATTGTCCACCAAGCACTGCTCAAACCGTGTGTGTCACCCCACCTTAGATTTTACTATTGTTGTACAAAACAATATACATATACAAATATAATACCCAACATCAGTACTATAATGCAGGTACAATTGTCAGCTCACCATCATTTGTAATGATATCGTATCACCCGACAACATCGTAATATTATCCCGTACAAAATGTAATATTAGGTTATCATGTGATCATTACAGTTAGAAAGAGGAACTTTAGACCACTTTCATTTGCAGCAATACCCTAAAAGAAAATAGTGACATTTGAACACTAGTCACCACATCTGTATAAATACAATAAGGCGGCCCTATTGCCAAAAGTAATTAAAGTGCATCGACACCTAGAAAAGATAAAGCAAAACAAACGTGTCGTCCGCACAGTGCTCTATTTTATTTCATATCCACAGGTCTATTGCATCACGTAATATGATGTCCCACTAAACATCTCACCGTCACCGTACCCTCATGAAACGAACATGCAGCGGCAACTACAATCATTAGCGATTTTTATTTCAACACGGAAATACGGAAGGAGGAATGGGATTGTTAAAATAATCCCACTGCTAACAATGTATCACGCCAGAGGGACCTCCACGCGGTTCCCCCCAGAAACAATCGCGACAAATTAACACGAACCCACCACGACGGGCCAACCGATCCTATCCCCCCCTCCGCTCATTCTACCATACTCCATCAGTGCCACGCCAGCGCAGGCAGTACACCATTATCATACATTAAAAATAATAAATCACGGATATACGTAAACATATTACTACAATGATTATTAATACGACTATTCCTACCAGCTAGAGACACTATAGGTATAGCAAGTACAATTTATAATTAGGTACCTACTTACTTGGCGCAAATCGATCGTAAACCGATGTTACCCAGCTATTGTTTTTTCTGTATAGGTCTATATAATTCGCTCCCCGTGCGGCCCCACCATAATCCTTCTAAATTTGTAATTACTCCGTACCCGTAGGTATATGTATATCTTATTAAATGATTTTGTACTTATCTTTATTTATATCCATTTTGCCTCGTCGCCACATATAGTGTTCACTTATTTGTTATTTATGTCTTCTTGTATGTAAGTTGTTATCGACGTAATATCGGCTCGTTAGCCATAGCTCCACGTCTTTACTCCGCGGCGCTTGCGCAGGGACTCCCTTCCCTCTTGCGCACGGCGGTCCGTGTACGCTCGGCTCGAGACGATAGATAATAAACTGCTAGTGTTTCCACATACACTACAGTTATTATTATTATTACATCTGTTTGTAAAAATAAACAATTACTATAGACACCACAATGTATTACAGAAATAAAACTACTTTACGATATGACATCACATTAATTAAACTAACCATATGTTTTGTTGTTTATTTCCTCAAATGATCATTATTAATTACAGACAATTTAAGTCTTTAAATATTAAGTTGAACTTATTAAGTATTATGTTTAATATTGCTATTTATTTAAACAATAAGTTGAATAATGACTTATTTAAGTATATATGACTAATATTGCTATTTAAATGTCACAGTTGCATACATACCTACATAACATAATAATTTTATTTAGGTACGTTATGTGAATTAAGCAGTAAGATTGCACTTTCACTTGGAGTTTTACTTTAAAGGCATCTTTTACATTATATTGTTTGTATAGGCAGTTTTTTCTATAATTATTTTTAACATTACTCTTATCATAAAGAAAATATATTCTATACTAGCTGTGCCCGCTACTTCGTATGCGCGCTGTAGTGACCTTGACTAAATACGAAAAAACAATGATCTAACCCAAAAATGCCAAATAAAAAAGTTTCATCGTTCTAGCTTCCAAAAAGAAAAATTTCCATCAACTTTCATCCCCTATTTTATTTTACCCCCGTAAGATTAACATTTTCACAAATTTTGAATGTCATATACATTTATATTTAATCAACAGCCTAAAAAATAAGTTTCAAGCTTCTAGCTTTAAAAATGATGATACTTCCATACAAAATTTCACCCCTTTCAACTCTTTACAAACCTTTTTTCGTATTAAAAATTGCCTATGTCCTTTCTCCAGGTCCAGACTATCTATGTAAAAAAATTTCATTTAAATTGGTTCAGTAGTTTTGACGTGAAAGCGAGACAGGCAATGTTATTTCACATTTATAAGTAGGGATAATAAGATTAATCCTCAAAGCAATTACACAAAACATCTAGTTATCTATATATATAATAAATGTGTAATGATCGCTGTATGTACAAGAAAAACATGAGATAAACAATTATTGGGGGACGAAATATAATTCAAAAACATGATTGTTAGAATTATGCGGTTTTTTCACAATTGACTACTTATTATTATTATTAATATCCTGCCGCAAGCTCGTTTGTCCCCTGTACTATAAAAAAAATCATTCGCAGTTCATTGTATTTCCAGAGGACTTGGATATCGTGTCTCTTATTCTATATATTTTAATAAAATGTTTATTTATGAGTATGTGAGTAATATATCAGGTCACTCACCATTGTCTCCAACTTGCAGGCTAGACCTGGAGAACTGTGGCGCGGCACAGCACACGGTGACAAGAGCGAGTAACAGTAGGGCGCGCATGGTGACACTGTCGCAGCCAACACTGCGAGTGCGCTGCCGTGACGGTTTGCCGTAAATGTGTGTCATTTGGTTGGAGTTATTCTATAATTAAGTTCCATCTATGATTATTGTAATTATTTTTCACTCATTTGTTTCGCTTACACAAATACATCTAAGATTAATTGAAATAGGTGTCTATATTTATCTTACTAATATTATAAATGCGAAAGTTTGTGAGTATGGCTGGATAGATGGATGGATGGATGGATGTTTGATGAAAAGAATGTTTGATGTTAGATGTTTCAAAAACTACTGAATGGATTTTGATGAATTATATTGCTTAGACATCAGAATAATATATAGGTTACAAATTTCATGCGGGTGAAACCACGGGCACAACTAGTGTTATATTTTGGAAAGTATTTTTGTCTGTATGTCTGTATGTTAACTTTTCACGATTGATTGTCTCAACGGATTTTAAAGGAATTAAGCGGAGAAGTAGTAGTTCAGTCGTTTAGTCCTAAAAAAGTTAACAAGACAGACAAAATAGATACACAGAAACGCTTTCGGATTCACAATAAATGTTATATATTATAACTTTCATAAAATAAATGTAATAATTTCATAATAATATAAAGAAATCTTAACCGAAGAGCATATCCCACGCTCTCTTCAGGAACAATTAAGAGACCCAAGATTTTTTTGCACTATACGACTACATTCAAGACATATAAAATAAACTAAGAAAATCGAAAAACATACAGTCATAGCTGTATAAGCGTAGTTTCCTTTGCTTTTCCTTTAAAGGGTAAATAAAATAAAAAAAATCTACAGTAGCAATGTTTTGGTTCAGCAGTAGTATAGAATGACCCTACTCATTACATAAGGTGTAATGTTTATATGGAGTGGGTGTACGATTTCTAAATCTGATATAACCTCCACGTTTGGATATTACCAGTGAGGCAAATAAGGTAGACAGTTTCGTTTATGGGCTACTAGCTGTGCCCGCGACTTTATCCATGTGGAACATTACCTTAGATACCATTATGTTTTACCCCTTTAAGGGTAAAATTTTTACAAACATTTAATGTCATATTTATTTATATTTAATCAACAGTATAGACATAAGTATCAAGCTTCTAACTTTAATAATGACGATACTTTCATATAACCTCACATCTTTACTTTCAACCCCTTACAACCTTTTTTTCGCATTAAAAAGTAGTTTATATCCTTTCCCAGGGTCTAGACTATCTGGGTATCAAATTTAAATTAAATCGGTTCAGTAGTTTTGACATGACAGACAGACAAAGTTACTTTTGCATTTATAAACATATTATATGATGGAATGGTAAATCCGCTTGCCTTGTTGGGGGCCACAATTAGAAGATAGGATAAATAATAAAAATAATAAAAAAGAAAACTCTAACATATAAAATCCTCCTGTTGCAGTGTTAATTGTCATTCTAATCCGAAACCGGTTGACCGATTTTGATGAAATTTTATATATATACTCGGTAGGTCTGAGAATAGACAGTTATCTATTTAATCTACCTCTAAGTGACCAAATAAACGTTTATATGTATAATACATGCGTGTTATAGTATAGAACAAACAGAGAAATTCAAAGATTTGTAATGCACTAAACGAAAATGTACGAAACCGGGACGGTCAGACATAAAAAAAAGAACTTCGATATATTACCTGCCTAACCTTGTAAATCGGTACTAAACATCAGCTAAAAATAGTTAAAATACATACATTTTTTTTGTATTGTTGTTATTATATAACATTTGGAAAAACATATTATTGTTTAAGTACTGTAGTTATTTATAATAGTAAAATATAAATTTATTCCCTTATTTATATTCTAAGCAGATACTTCAAATTTACTTCTAAAGTTGTCAAAACAAAGGTGTTGTCCTTAACTGATCTCAAAATAATGAATTAATTTGTGACATTTATGGCTCGGTTCTTGACTATGATAATAAGATGGCTTCGGTGGTCCAACGTTTAACACAACGTCTTACTGCCGATGGTCGCGGGTTCGATTTCTTACACGATACAAACATTTGTATTCATGGTGACGTATATATTTATATATATTATGTATTTATATTAGTAGTCTAGTACCGATAAAACAAGCTTTGATCGGGTCTAGATGGCGCTGTGTGGATCCTCCGTATCCTGGATATGGATCCTGAGATTTTTCTTTGTGGTTAAGATCAGGATAGTGTCTTTGTTTTTATATACATTAGTAAACAAGTACAATCTAAATATTGAAGGTACATACTTCAATCTTTTGTTACTTGATACTTCTATAACTACTTATAATCACTGTGTTGGTAAAAAATTTAAAGCTACTTTTTACGGATGCATCAAAGAGCAATGGACTTTTTATAGACGATGAATATAGATCACGTCGAGGATAATAGCTTAACGGTTAAACTAGTAAATTAGCTATAATGTATCAATCTTAGTAGATACGTTAGAAGAAAACAACGAGAACAAATAAATACTTTACTGAAACAAAATAATCACAACAAGCATTTATAAATAATTAACGCCATATATTGACAAAAGGATTGAACGTTGGATAGAGCCAATTATTTCTGAAGTGATCAATAGTCGGTGGTACAACAGGTTTAAATATATCCTTAGGAAACCAGGCATCTAAATGTCTCGGAACATTGAATGGTTCTAGATCAGGGTGGTTGAAAATATCTTCTTCGAATGGTACATTAATTTTTCCAGGCCATGGCTTGATATTCGGTCCGTACCCAGATCTTGCTGATACAACTACTGATTCAGGATAGATTTGTATGCTGTTGCTTGCGAATTTTCCATCACTCTCTTTAGAAACCGTTATTGGATAAAAGAATTGCCTCGCGTTACTGTTGCCAACGTTAATTGGTCGGTTCATTGTAGGAAATAATTTGACTCCACTAAGCGTTGAAACTTTTCCGTTTCTTGATGTAACATCAGCAAAGCTAGCTACACCGTTTATCCCATTATTTAACTTAAAAGGTGAAGTGAAGACTTCTTGACGTTTGGTTTTCAGTTTTTGCTCATCTGAAAAATGTAGGATTGGATTATAATTTATCAAGTTTATATCTATCGCGTGTTCAGGTAATGACATCAAATGATAGATATTGTAGAATCTAGTCTAAGCTTGCTAAGCTTCTAATCTAAAGTTGGACACAGCTTTAGATTTGTAACTGTGTTATTTAGTAATTGTTTTAAGTTTTTTAAAACTGTTTGCTTTCACAGTCATGTGATAGTAGATTTTTAGTTGGTTAATAAAGGGAGAGAAGGGTATTTGTAATAAGAGTAATATTTCTACCACGCGTGTTTTTTAGAAAGAAACACTATAAAAAATATAAATAAAAACAAGAAATTGAGAAAGGTTTACTCCTAATGGACATATTATATCTCTATATACAAAGTATCAAAGAAATTTACGTAATCTCAACATTAGTCCCAATTCCCTTCGAGGTCTCTACTGCCTGTATGGAGCAGTCGTCATGGAGAATTTACCAGATCCCAACATTATTTTGAACTGAGATGGTATATTTTTTGTATACTACGAGGTCGGCAGACAAGCATACAGCGCATCTGATGGTAAACGGTTACCGTAGCCTATGAACGCCTGAAACAACAGAGAGGTCACGTAGGCGCTGCCGACCCTTAAGAAACTTAATACTGCTAGTATCTAGTCTCCATTACTAAAAATAGTATTCTAAAATATTTTGTGTTGAAAATACGTACTGTTCCACGCCGCGGTGACAATGGCAATGCTGCAAAACAGCACGCCTCGGGATAGTGTCCTCATGGTGCAAATTCTCTGTTGAAATGCAAGCGGGACAATGATTTCTCACTTTATATTCATAACAAACGGTTCTTAATAAATACAAATGGCAGTTGGACGACAGATCAATTTTCTTCGCGCCCGTCTCATGTCTATAATTCTTCCAAAATTACCATTTTAACACCTGGAATTAATTCCAAATATTTATGCGCAGGCGTTAAAACACTGTAATAACGGTCTTGCAATTGTTTAAAGCAATCATTGGCTTTTTGCACGATGTTAAGATGTTACGGAGTTTTGAATAGCTTAACGGTAAAATAGAATGCCAGGTGTTATATCGGAACCGGCTTGGAGAAACGTGCTTAAGCATTTTTTTCAGCTATATCGACATTGCTGTTTAATTTTAAGTAATCCCAACTTGATTTACGATTGTCTTCATCAATAGAGAGTATGTTAGTATATAAGAAAATCTTGAAATCACTGTTGCAAAAAGTAAAAAAAAAAGATATTTACATCTTAAATTGATTAAAATATTTCGTTATACACATAAGTACGAAGTACTGCAGAAAACTTTACCCGAGTCGCATAATTAAATTATAATAAATAAATACATCTATCAATTAAAATAAAAGAAAATTCAATATTTAAAATTATTAAATGTAATTACTTAATTAAATTATATTTTAATATATTTTTTGCGACAAATACCACAGACATACGATGTGGTGTCTTGAAGTCTAGTCGTGAATTCAAACCAGTCAATTGATAACTAGAGATACAACGGTATATGTATATAAATGTGTGAGTGAGTTGTATGGCTTCGTATGATGTATAGATATATCATACATATAAATCAAGAGTCAGAACTTAAAATATATAATAAATTATCTTTTTTTTTATTAATGATCAGCCATATGTTCTTTTATTTCTACTTAAAAATCCATACGACACAAAAAATAGAGAATGTATTTATTTTATTGAAGGTGACATATTCATTTATTTTACTGTTGAACCCACTGTTGATAAACTGTCAAAGGTCACCACATTAGTCATATTATAATATATTTGCGTTTGTATGTAGGTATTTGGAATATAAACTGAATATTGGATATCTAACTGTAAATGATCAAGAATATAAGGCCTGCGGAATACGATTCAACAGGCAGTTAATTTACTTTATTTTTACAGATAAGTGCAAATAAATCAACACAGCACTTGTGTGATAACATTCAATAATCTACACCAGTCTGGGTTCAGTGATCCCAACAAATGCTCCTTAATTATTAGAATTATAGAGCTGGTCGATGCGAACCTATAAAAAGCTGAGTTTTATACGCTGTAACAGCATTTCTTCAACATTATTATTGAACATAATAGTATCCACTTCAAATATGTTTAGACTTGGTTTAATATTATTTTTATTTGTTACAATGTTTAACATAGCTCGAGGAATTCCTATCTTATTGAAAGGTAAGTATTGCATATAATATGAGTAATAAATGTGTTCTTAAAATTATATGTACTTTATAATAGAAGAATAAAGGAGGATATATAAAAAAATTAACAAATTGTCCTCTACGTGTAATACGTAAAATACTACAATAATTAAAAAAAATCTATCACCAATTAAAGACGCTCTTTTGTCTGATAACATAAACATATTAGTATAGAATCTCTAATGTTTTTTTTATTAAGATTGCTATATTTATTACATCCGTGCTTGGCTAAGGCAAATGACTGTTTACTAAATTATATTGACTATTTATTAATTCATTTGTTTCAGGATCATCACCTTCCGGTGATGCAGTGGTGACGATATCATCTAACGATCCACAAGTTGTAAAATATATTGAATCCAAATATCCATCAAAGCCTGGCGTTCCACGAAATATTGTGACCAACAATCCAGAGGACCTTATAAGAAGCAGCTTCAGTTTCGCCGGGCCAGGACATGCGGTTGCCGGCACTGGCCGTAGCATAGTATCTGCAGCGTCCTTAAACTCATTTGTGCCACCCCTATTCTTTGCACCGTTGAATTTAGATAGTCTGGGACTTGGTGAGTTTGGACAGTTAAACAACTGGTTCAGGGGTGTCAACGGATTCCCAGATACAAGGTTTGGAGGCAATGGAGAAATAAACACAGTTGCAGCTATAAATGACAACGGCCACATATATCGCAATGTGAAAACAGTGACTTTTAACAGACCAAAAAGAATAATTAGTAAATACAATTAGATTATAATATTCTGTAAATTATTATGACTTGCGGTAAAATAAATCTTGTACCTAAAATATACTTTTATTTGAAAACACCTGAGCCTGAGATTTCGTACTTGCATAATTTGATGTAAACCCATTAGAGTAAATCTAAATAAATTTTTCAACAATACTTTAGTGATACCCCATACAAATAGGTATTATAGAGATTAGTGTGCAATAATTTACAGATAATAATTGTTTTTGGTTTTGGTTCTATTACGACGTCAATGTAGTTGTCGCAATAAAATTATAAAATAATAGCTTTTTCTCATGTATCTTCCATACAGGGTCACTTATCATATATATACTAGCTGTACCTGCCTTCGTCCGCGTGGAAATTTACTTTAATTTTCTATAATAAAATATGTTTTTAAAATAAAAGTATCGTAAGTTACCTTATTACATCAGCTACCTGCCAATAAAAGTCCCGTCAAAATCGGTCCAGCCATTTCAGAGATTAGCCGGAACAAACATACAGACAGACAGACAAAAATTGTAAAAAATGTTATTTTGGTATATGTACCATATGAATGTAGTAAAAAACGGTTATTTCTATATTACAAACAGACACTCCAATTTTATTTATATTTATAGATGAAGCAAAAACTTTGTACCCCTTTACGAAAATTGCATGGCATGTACTCCTCGTATGAAATTTCACACACTTATGGTTTATATAGAGAAGTAGTACAGAATGCTAATATTTTTTTTAATTATACAAAAAAATATATCATATCAATAAATAAATAATTACAGACACGACTATCTGTTTGACAAAGGCATTTATACTCTTTTGTTTATTGTTACGACAGTGGTCAAATTTAGAATAGATTAATATTGTTTATATGTAATATTATTTATCTATAGTCTTAGTAAATGTCAAACATAACCATAATAAATTTATTTATTAGAATATATAATAGTTATTAGTTAAATACGGCACGCTCTATTAAAAAAAAATCTCAATATAAAATTATAAATAGATCCTAGTTATAAATATAATATAAAATTTCAATATGAATATTTGTGTACAAGTAGCTAATCTGAATTTGACCTTAATGTTCAAATTTATAATTTAAATTAATTATGGTCGAATTTTTTTATTTTTTTTTATTAAGTATTTTACGGCCCTGGAAATTTCCTTTCAGCCAATGGTCGAATTTAGACCACTGTGTGACCACTACTAAATAATCAAACTTTATACTAGTGTTTTATAAATTTTATTAGGAAAGAATAGAATAGAATAGAATAGAATAGAAAATCATTTATTCAAATAAACTTAATTTAAGCACTTTTGAATAGTCATAACAATTTGTTTTTTATCTACCACTCGTTCGGAAAGCTGTCTCATCACAAGAAGAACGAGCAAGAAACTTGTGTGTTGCTCTTTTAAATAATCCTTGTAAGTTTACATTTACAAGTCGAAACGTGTGAATACAAACTACCAACAAGCACTAATTTTTTGGGTCAAATATAATCATGCAATAAGATTAAATCAGTCGTAGTGATAAGAGCAGACCAGTCCCTACAAGCAGCACTCGTTCACGAGTATGACGGATGAGCCAGCCATCACTGCGCTCGACCATATTTTAGGGAGCCCATTGACCCGGCCCACCACGCCGCCACATGTCTGGACATTTTAGTGAGCATGACTACTCATTCCACACGACCACGTCACAGCTACAAAAATTACTATATGGTAGTTACAGTATTCGCACTTTACATAAGGATGCATGCGGCAATCAATACAAAAGCCGCTACGCTATCATATATCAAGAAAGCAGTATGAAAATTAAAATTATAACGTTGTCCGCAAATAAACTTATTCTTGCTATATATTGCTATCATCTATAAATTCATCTATCTTATAATAGGCTTTTTTACATAACATTTGTTTAATATAAGATTTGAATTGCCTCTCTGTAAGATTTAGCGTAGACTCTGGCAGTTTATTATAGAATCTTACGCAATTACCATAAAATGAATTACTAACTTTGTGTAGACGGCATTTAGGTAAAATTAGCTTATTTTTATTGCGTAAGTTTCTACTTGTACAGTCTTTAAGTTTCTTGAAACTATCTAAGTTTTTCCTTGTATACATAATATTTTCATAAATGTACTGTGAGGCAACGGTGAGGATATTTGATTGTTTAAAGCATTGACGTAATGACTCTCTAGAACCCATACCATAAATAGAACGTATGGCTCTCTTTTGTAAAATAAATATAGTATTTATATCGGCAGCTTTACCCCATAGCAGTATGCCATATGACATAATGCTATGGAAATAACTAAAATATACAAGTTTTGCCGTCGCCACGTCTGTTAATTGCCTTATCCTTCTAATTGCATAAGCAGCAGAACTAAGTCTACTGGCTAATTTTGAAATATGGGGCCCCCATTGTAACTTCGAGTCCACTGTTATTCCTAAAAAAACTGTATCATTAACAAAATTTACTATTTCATCATTAAGCAATAGCTGCGTATTTACTTGTTTTACATTAGGCAGCGTGAATTTAATGCACTTAGTTTTGTTGGAGTTCAATAATAGATTATTACATGTGAACCAATTTAGTATAGCAGAGATAGCATAATTTACATCGTCTAATTGATTACATTGGCGACCAATTTTAAACACTAACGAAGTATCATCCGCAAATAACACTATATCTGCAACTTTCTCTACCATGTAGGGAAGGTCGTTTATATAAATTAAAAAGAGAAATGGGCCTAATATTGAACCTTGAGGAACGCCCATTTTTATATTAGTTCCCTTGGACTTTACACCATCAATATCTACAGTTTGCACCCTATCCTCTAGATAAGTTTTCATTAGACTTAGGTCATTATCTCTAATACCATAATGTTTGAGCTTGTACAAAAGTGTTTCATGATCTACGCAATCAAACGCCTTCGACAAGTCACAAAAAACGCCGAGAGCATCCTGTGAGTTTTCCCATGATTCGAATATATGTGTAATAAGCGCTACACCTGCATCAGTAGTAGACTTGCCGGCAGTGAAACCATATTGCTGACTGTGAAGCAGTCCGTTATCCCTGAAGTATTTTAACATTTGGTTAAACATAATCTTTTCAAATACTTTACTTAGAACTGGCAAAATAGAAATTGGTCTATAGTTGCCTAGCTCAAATCTATCTCCAGATTTAAAGAGTGGAATTAATTTGCTAAATTTCATTAATTGAGGAAACAGGCCATTATCAACACATTTATTGAAAATAGTAGCTAGATAAGGAGCAACAATATCTATGAATGAACTAACTACTTTAACTGACATGTCCCAGAGATCTTCCGTATTTTTTAAATTTAACTGTTTGAATATTTTTATGACATGAAAAGGGCTGACATGTGAAAATTTAAATGTTAAAGAGCAAGGGCTGACATTAGCCTCCAGTAATGTTTTTGCTCGAATTGGAGATGAGTCTAGAGAAGAGGTAATATCAATCGGAATATTAGCAAAAAAATCTTGGAAAATATGAACTATATCTTTTGTTGCTGTTATTAACTTATTGTCATAATTTAATGAGAATAGATTGCAGGCTTTTTCAGACCGTCCAGTTTCTTTGTTTATAATTCCCCAGATGGTCTTAATTTTGTCAGAGGACTGATTAATTTGTTTATTTATAAAATTAGATTTAGCTGCAATACAAACTTGTTTGAAAATTTTAGAGTAATTTCTCACATAAGTCGTAAATTTGTCATCAAATCTATATTTTTTTTGATCATATAAATCAAATAAAATGTTTCTACTTTTAAGTATTCCTACTGTTGCCCATTCTGTAAATTTAGATTTAACACAATATTCTCTTTTCTTGAAAATATTCTGGTATTCTTTTGACAAAAGACTAATTAACTTGGTGTAAAGAATATCAGGATTATTAAGACTGACAGATTGTAACTCTAAGTCTAATTTATATTTAACCGTGCTTTTGTATTTATTAATATTGTAAGCATTTATTTGTCTTTTTGATCTTTTATTATTGGTATTTTTTTTAGTCTGATTACTAAACTTAACAACTTGACCACAGTGATCCGAAGGAAGTTTATTTATTATTAATTTTTCAATATACTCACAGTTACAAAAAACATTGTCAAGACAAGTAGCAGTCGTAGCGGTTACACGAGTGGGTTCCTGAAAGACATTACTCAAATTAAAAGACTGAAATAAACTAATAATTTTTGTACATGTGGGTGTATCACAAAGAATATCAACGTTAAAATCACCACACACAATGATTTTTTTACTGCTATTAAATACTTTTTTTAATATATCCTCCATCACCTCTTCAAATACATTATAATCACTATTAGGAGGCCTATAAACACATATAAGTATATAATTATCTAGTTCTATACATGAGATTTCTGTACAACACTCAATAGAAAGTCTAACAATGTCAGCACGTTCCTTTACTTTAATATTATTTCTTGCAATTATCATAGACCCACCTCTGTTAACTGACTTTCTATTGAAGCAGCTGACAACATTATAATTATTTAAACTGAACATCATATTGCTTTCTTTAAGCCAATGTTCAGTGAAACAGATAATGTCAATATTGTATTTTTCCAAAAATAATTGTATAATTAATTCACTGCCGGGAAAACTTTGTATGTTCTGATGAACAATTACCAATTCTAATTGCTTTCCCTTTGTCTTTGTTAGCAGTTTAAATCTGCAGTCAAATTACTTATATCACTATTTAAACAAAAATTAATAGAATCATTTGTTATGTCACAATTTTTATATTGAAGTTTACCATGTAAACTGTTCATGAAGTCAATATTATAAGCCACTAAAGTGGCTATTTTATTCTTAGAAGATTTAGAAAGATACATTGTATCTTTTGTCAAATAAAAATCACTAATAAAACTATTAGTGTCAAAAAATGTAAAAACGTCACTATGACGACATGTCAATGTATGTAATAAATTATTAAGGTAATGTACCTTATTGTTAATTTTTATGATAATGGCTACTTGTATAAGGAAGAGCGCACAATACAATCTTATATACATTCAATTGTAACAAATATTGAATACCTTTAATTATATCCTGTCTATTTAATTTAATACTATTACCAAAAAATAACACAACTGTGGTCATTTTATTCATTTTAGTAGATTTAATTTTGTTAATAATTTGTGCAAATGATGCCCCTGGCATACAGTAATTTAATACATCACCCTTAAGATGATACTTCAATATAGACCCAAAATTACAGCCTATTCTGTCAGAAAACACCATTGTGCTACTTTTAGGATTATAGTCACTGACACAAATCCCCTGAACTTCATTTATCTGCACAGTTGAAACTGAATTATTATTTGGCAAAGTTGAATGATCACATGTACAATGTTTAGTTAACGACTCAAAACGGTCAGCATTGTATTTACTGACATCAATCAAATCATCCATTGCTAAAATATGCTCCTGGATTTGTTTTTGTGAGATAGTATACTTGTTATTTAAATCATGAAGCGATGATTCTAAACTCTTTATTTTTGAAGTTAGGTAACTTGTATCCATGTCATATAACTTTTGGCTTTCCACTAGTTTATTATTATACTTATTAATATAATCATGCAATTTTAAATTGTTTAAACTAGTTTTTTTCAGCAACTGACCATTTTTGGAACGTTTATATAATATACTCCGAGTCTTAGTTATAAACTTTTTTAATTTTAAATATTTTTTTAATTTATTATGACTCAACATACATATATTATTATTATAGTTGCCCTGTGATGTGTCACTAGTAAGGTCAATCACAACTGGATGGCTGCATGGAACTGAAGTAGAAGGAGGCATACAGTCGACACTAATAAGCTCATCATATAAATTACTAATCTCATTACTTTGTTGAGATTCAAATTTTGTGTCAAGATCATTAATTTTAAGATATGCCTGCTTTAACTCAAGCTCCAACTCAGTGATACGCCTCAAGGCTTGCTCATGTGTATCACTACATTGGTGAAAGCTACTTAATAGGCCTTGAAGCTGATCCCGCTGCTCAATAACTTCCTGATGACTATTATGAAGTTCTGATAATTCAGATTTTAATTGTGTATTTTTATTTATAATTTTTAAAATTTCATCTTCACTCTCTTCTCTCTCCCTGATCAACTTGTCACTGAGATCTTTGGATGCCTGAAGTTCTTGTAGGGCCACTTTAAGCTTCATCTCTGTCTGCCGTGCAGTTGTGGAACGGGTAGATAGTGACATTATTAAGAATATAAATAGTTACTAGGGAGAGTAAAGTGAGCTATTTCTAAAAGAAGCTAAGTATTACAACGAGAACAGCAGCTGAACCTTACTATACAGTTTAAGTGTTAAAATTGTGAATAAATTCTCCTAGGTATATTATATACAAGTTATATTTGATAAATTGATAATCTAAATAAACGTTTTAACTGAATAACGAAATAAATGTAGATAAATTGTGCTCTTTCCCTTTAAATTATAATAATACAAAATATAAAAAGACTTACAATTAAATTAGTGGGTATTTTTTTCCTTCGACGTATGCAACAACCGAACTTCACTATAATTATTATTAATTTAACTTAATATGAATATTTTATGTAAAACTTGCAATGATTATGAGTTTCTTGGGATAAATCCAACAAACAATTGCAAAATAATTTTGAATAAAACTTAGTTGTTCACGAACAGTTTGACAGATGGCCGGTACACTATTTGTAATGTCGATTTTTGCAAGTAATACACCACTAAACTGTACACAAACAACAATCGACACTAATTACACTATTAGATCACTAATAACAATATTGAAAATATAATATTTGTATGATAAACAATTAAAATTTATTTATTATTACGGCCAGCTGAAAATGACAATTGTCGTCGGTGTTGCCAGTCGAAGAAAAGAAGAAAGAAGGTTGCCATGAGATCGATGGATTCCCTCGGGAAATTAAATTACAATATTAATCTGATTAATATTGTAATTTGAATTTTATTTACACGAGATTGTCAATAATTGTGATAGTTAGAATTATAATTATATTTATACCTCTGTACCATTTGATCTCCAGTCAAAGTTAATTTCATTTTAATTTTGCACATATATGTACATGCATATTTGTTGTTTATTTACAAATACCATAGTTACCACTAAGTAAGTATTTCTATATATGTTTTATCTTTTACGTTACATTTTAATAATTGTAGATATTATTACATTTACAACGATGATCGAAATCGTTTTTGATAGTTTGATAATTGCAAGAGTTCACTATTTTTTGGCTTGACTATTAGTAGTAGTAGCAATACAATGATGAAATTTAAATTAAAGAATGCTAATTCTTTAATTTAAATTTTGAACTCTCAAAGAATGCAGAGTCTGTTTGATCTGTGTGGATCAGACAGACTACTACTACTACCAGACTACGAATTTGTTAATAGAATAATTATTTCTTAGAATATTACCGATATTGCATTTAAAATAAAACAAAATGTAATTACTACTAAAAATTTTAATTTAATGAGTTCATTTAAATAAATAATTTAGATAGGAAGATCAACCGTTTTACTTGCACTTCGTTTTACTTTATTCTCTAGTAATATCCAGCGTTGATGGCGTGAGATTGTGCTGATTGTATGCCGGGTGCGTTGACGCTGGTGGCGCCGCTGTGTTGTACCCCTGTACCATGATGCTGAACAGCCTGTGCAGTGCTAGCCTTTAGTCCACCGATGTTCTGAGCCGCAGAGGTAGCTGAGCCGAAGTTTGAGTACCCATTATGCGATTGAGCGTTCGAGACAGCGGAACCATAATCCCTTCCGTTGTTGGCAGCGGATATCGCAGACTGATACCCGAGTCCCTGTTGGTTTTGTGCTGCAGAAACTGCCGACTGGTGGTGATTGCTGTTTTGTGCAGATGAGACAGCTGATTGATACTGATTGACTGGTGTATAGCTTTGTAGCCAACCGTTATTCTGTTGAACTTGAGCAGCGGAAGCGGCGGACGAGTATTGTGGATTGTATTGCCTTGCGGAAGGTCTTAGGTAGTAAGCGGATGGTCCTCCGTTTGTCTGGCTTGTTCCTCTAGCGTATGTATTGCCAGTACTTCCAACGCCGGAGCCGTATGCTTGAGAGTCGCCAGTTGAAAATGAGGAGCTGATGCCAGAGGAATGTCGAACGCCAGCGATATCACTGCTGAATCCGCTGCCGAAGCCAAAGGCTACGTTTGGTGATTGTGGAATGGGAGGAGTGATAATTGGTCTTTGAGGCAGACCACCGTTAGCTACAGCGACACCATCAGCTGTAACAAAAATACTTATAAATACTTGTATATACTTTATGTACCTACGTATATATGCATATAATGAAAGACAAAAGAGAATACTCTTTTATCCATTTATAAATTTACAAAGATTGCTAACTATCGTAATTCTATGTTTAGTGGTCATGGTGCTATTAACAGATTATGGAAGAATTTAACATTTGTTTGGTGATAGTGTTGATATTGCTCTATACATAGCTTATAGCCTAGGAAGACTATTTGAAATTGAATTAAAATAATTTAATGCCAACACACTTAGATCTTATTCTTTATCAATAAGTGACTATATAATAGTGCTCTATAGTACTGTTTTCAATTTAATAAGTGACAATGGATATTCTAAAGCATTGTTTGAATTGTTCTTCAAGATTGTTGTACATATCATAACGGAATATTTACCGGGATTACTTTGTTTATAATCTCGCTATATTTTGATGCAGCATCGGTACTAATTACGTATCGCTTTTGCAATGGTTATTTTCAAAAGTATGACATTAAAAGTGTTGCGTCTGTATTATTTATTATTACAACAGTTTCAGTTGTGTAAAGAATATAACATGCTTTTATATTTATTTTTATTTAATATATCTGCCACTGTTATATGTTACAATAAAACCAAATCAAAATATCTTTAATCATTTAGGTCTATTTGCAGACGCCTATGTGAAGTGAAATATATTTTTGTTCTGGAAGTAATATACTAATACATAATTCGAAAATTAAATTATTTTCTTCCTTTTAACATAAGAAACGATTCAAACAGTATTATATAATCTAGCTTTAGATCAAGAACTCACAATAACCTTATGTAGTTGCAGCATATTATAGATAGAGCATTTATAGAAAATAATGTATTCCCAATAACTTATTAAACTTTTATGATACAACAATTGATTGTAATGATAATGTATTATCTAAAATACTACATGTAACTGTTCCCAATGTGTACAATGTTTGTGAGGAGAAATAAAAATAAAATATTATTATTATTATATAAGAATGAAAAATTGCTTCTAAGCGATTATTAGTTACTTGATTGTGTATTTAATATTTCGACTATAATGAATTAGTGCTAGTTTGTACTTTGTATTCACAAATTTCACCTTGAAAATATAAAGTTACAACAATTATTTAAAAGAGCAACAAGTAATTTTCTCGGTCGTTCTTCTTATGATGAGGTAGTTTCGCGAATGAGCCGTACATAAAAAAACAAGTATGGTTATTCAAAAGTGCATAAATTTAAGTGTATTTGAATAAATAAATTTTTATTGTATTCTATTCTATTCTACGTAACTTACCGAAAATCTGTATAGGTACAGCCTGCGTGAGAGCAAAGGTTGTGAATAGGATCACAAATTTGATTGCCATTATTGTCTTGTAAAGTATTGAGAAGTTGATTAAAATCCTTCGATAATGCTTGTGGATAGCTCAGAAGCATTTCTCCTGACTTATATACTAGAAATGTTCTCCCCCCACTATAACTTGACTAGGCATCCAAAATAATAACGATAACCATAACTGAATCTATAGTTAATTTTTCATTTAAGCTTTTTTGCGGACTTGAAAGGTACTTATGCCAATGATGAGATGCCCGCAAATTAATTTTAACCTGCTCAAGAGCGATTTTTTTTTGTATCCCAGGATCTTTGACTGTTATTTTTAATATCTAATAATATAACAAAGTCGCTGTTTTCGTGTGTCCGTCCGTTTAATTTTCCGTTTATTTCAAAATTATGAAATCTATTTTGATAGGATTTTCTGATTTTTATATAATTTAGAAAGATTTATTTGAATAATACACGTATGTGGTTATATATCGTTACTGCGACCTTCGTCACATACACTGTACGCCCGTGCGAATTCGGGAGTTTAGCTAGTTTCTTTTGTATATGACAATTAAGATTGAAAATAGATAGAATGTATTGTCAGGTGAGTGTTTTAGTTCGATTGCTATATAGGTATTAATTAATGAAGAAAAGATAATCATATTTTGTTAAATGTTAGTCCCGGCCTTACCTGCTGCTAGAACTAGTTCAGTTCGTGACTTCGTATGCATTTATTTTGTCTTTAAAGCGATTAGAATAAAATAAGGATTAAGTTTTAAAATAATCTTACTACTAATAATAATCTTACTAAGTTTTAAAAGTTATACATTAGTGAAACTGCATTCAAATTGGTTATGTTCTTTCTGAGATTAGCGCGTATAAGTGTAAAGACGAAGTGACATACATTTTAAGCATCATTAATTTTTATTGTGTTGATAAAGTCTTCTTATTATAGAAGACTTTACCTTTTGTAGGATATTCGTCCATGTAAACACAGCCATTAGTTACATTTTAATTATAATAATATGTGTTGAAGAAACATGGGTTGTAACTCTAGACTGATTGGCGTATTATAGAGACGAACTTCTAGAATTCGATGGATTCACCGTGCGGGAACCAGATAGGTCCATCGTGTGGCAGGGAGGGAAACTCCGACCAGTTCCCGGGACTTGTGACCCGGGTGTAGATTTACGGGATCCTTACCGACATACATACGTTAACACTCATCTTCACCGCTCGTGCTTCTCTTCCTGCCCTGCTAAATCGGATAAGAGCCTGCTTAGTGTAGCTGTAGACACAGGTACTAGTATAGAATTTACTGTGGTTCTAAACAGGCCAAGATCTTTTATAAGATTATAGATGAGAGATAGAGAGATGTCGCTGATATACCTCTCCCTCTTACGTCGACGTTCTTTGGTTCCTTCTTTGATTTGATTTGATTTGACCTAAATATAAATTAACCAAATAGCTATTTTTAGTCAATTTGTTTATTAGTTCGTAATATTTATTTATTATTGTATAGTCATTAGACATTTGTAGTTTTTATATTAAATATATTACTTTTACTATGAATAAGAATGTATGTATAAATTTTTGCTAAAGAAATTGAATTATTCATATTATTACGTAGTTTTATATTACTTTCTACTTGGTGTACATTTGATTGTTTAGCGTATATTTCATGCATCTATATAATTTAGGTTTTAGGCATACATAGAGATTTACAGAGTTTACAGAGGATACAGAGAGGAAGAATTTTACTAGGTGCGTGTAATTGGGTACTGGATTATTATAATCCAATACGATTATAATATAATGTACTCCAGTACCCAATTACACGCTCCTAATAAAATTCTTGTACTGATTGTAATGTTTGTGTGCTAATAAATAAATGAATGTATTTATTAATAGTCTTAACGATCAGAGACAGCCTGTCCACGCGGGCGAAGCCTTAGTCAAAAGCTAGTCTATAATATGGATCATCTGTGCGCCGGAGTTGATTTACCGTTAAACTTTTTAAATCTGACTAACAACATATCTGAACCTGCAATCATTAATTACAATATTTGTATGATTTAAAGACTTGCAGCGAGTTTGCTATATATATATATATATATATATATATATATATATATATATATATATATATATATATATATATATATATATTATATGTTATCTCAGAAAATCTTAGATAAGAGATATTTATAGCTACATCCAAATTAATTTAATTGAAGGCCGAGGTGGTCTAACGGTTTAGAACACCGCCTTATTTCCGATAGTCGCGGGTTTGATTCCTCGAAAGGTATAAAGATTTGTTTGTGTGTTGATTTGATTGTTTGTTTCGGTCTGAGTATTTTCTTTTTATATTATGTAAGTGTTTACAAAAAATATTTGTATGTATTTGAGTCAGTTTTCTAGTATCCATAACATAAACTCTGCTTAGCTCGGAATCTATGCATGGCTTTTTTTACTATTACTATGCTGTTGGCTACAGCTGGCCTCTAGAAAGAAAGAAAAATATTTTATTCAGTGCAATGTAAAAAATACAATACAATACTCTACAGCTTCACCGGACGAAGCCTGCGAAAGGACTTATGGAACTGTATCTGAAAGTTAACTCCTGCCAAACGGAGACGACTTTAGTCTTAGGGAACCGCTAGGGGTTCGAACCTCGGCTCAGGCTGTCGTAATTTCGATCTTCGTTTGTATTGGACAAGAATTGGAATTGGACATTCGACCGAAGGGGGAGATCGGCCGTGTGAAATTATTATTATTATTATTATTACATTAAATTTATTTGTATCTTTGGCTATAATATTGCTATGCATTTTTAATGACAATTATATTGTTGAATTTTATGTATATGTTATGCTACAATGACAAAGAACAGTCAAGTTTAAATAGAAGTTTAAAAATTATGTTAATTTGTTTTGTGGTAAGGAGTGTGAGCGCCGGCGTTTTAAACTAGGCCCAGCCTAGTCCTTGGGCACACAAAATTTCGGGGCCCTTTTGGAAAGTAAAAAAAAAAACTCATTAGGTATAAGAACATAGGAATAGGCGATGTAATCGGTATAGTGGGGTAGAATTTGCCTTGAAAATGCCTTATGATAACATTACTGATTTGTGAAAAAAGTGTAGTGTGCCCGACAAAAATATTTTGAGATTAAATGTGTGAAAAAACTGTCAATCATTCGGGGGCCCTCCGAGAATGGGGCACGGGCCCCGTGTGGCCTTATGGTAAAGACGGTATTGAGTGTGATATAAATCAAATTTATGACCTCTTCTCATGAATTTTAGTAAGAATTCGGCAGTATTAGTACTTCTAACTCGTCTATTTCAGTCGCCAGACATCTTAAAATACAAGCTATGTTTCGGTTGAGGCATGACATTTTAGTCCTTTGGAATGGTTAAGCTGAGTTGTATCACGGTCATCGCGGATAACGGAGTATACGTAGTGCTAGTCATGTATATAGAGTATACATCATGTATATACAGACGTCGGTTACCACTTACCACCAGGGCTGGCCGCCATTCTATTAGTTACATTAATAAAAAAACCAGTATCCTTTCGTATAAAGGCTGACACATAAATATTGGTTACTGTTTTTATATATTATGACATGCGTGGACATTGGTAGCATGGGTTCGATTCTCTGTTCAGTCATACGAAATATATTTTAAAATAAAAAAATATAGGTATACAGATTTCAGTAAGTTCTTTTTTTTATTATAATTTTTGTAAATACATAGAGACACTTAGATCCATACAAACAATCATACTCATATATACAAATGTTTGTACCGTGAGAAGAATCGAACCTGCAACCATCGGAAGTGAAGCAGTGTAACCGCTTGACCACCGAGGCCGTCATAATTGTACATGGATACTAAATCAAAGGTTAATGATCTTCGATGATGCAATACTGGTTATACTGTATCGTTCAATGACCGTGAAGTTATGACTCTTATTGTAAGCTCGTTATATTACTTAGTAATGTTACGTATACATTTGTTACGTCAAGTTTTGTCATTAATAAACATTATGGTATTAATTGGGATAATTAAAACTTGTGCATTGTCTCTAACAGTCTTTTATTTTTATTAAAGTAAACTTACATACAAAGTATAAATAAATTAAAAGTTCTACACAGTTCTTGCTTATTTCCAATAATCTCTTCAAAGATATTACTGATATCAAAATGTATCAATAGCGTTTTGAGAATGTTAATTCCAGGATTATTCTACACATAATATTATTTTGTTGTACTCCTACATCCAAAATCACATATAAGTATAGATCCCCATGATCACCATCCATTTTAAATACAAGTTGTAATTTTTTAAATATTATTCATATTTTTTATGTATTATTATAATGTAATTTACATGTTTCATTTATTAATTATGAATAAAAAAGCAATAAATTGAAGTAAATATGTTCAAAGTCTGATCATACTAATATTCGTTTAGTCATAAATAGTTGCATTTACAAATATGAATATATCCTGTATTAGAATATCACTTATCGAGGACAAACGAGCTTGCGGCTTACCTGATGGTAAGTGATTACATTCACCATCAAATGCGTTGCCGGCCTTTTAAGAAGGTATAAGCTATTTTCACTTTATAATCATTACATCACAGTAGCAATTCACCACACTGACCTTATCTGACTATATTATTAGTGACGGTAAAATCTAGTATTTATCGCATGAGATTGGGCCGCTTGTATTCCAGGTCCACTGATGATTGTCGCACCGCTCTGCTGGAGACCACCACCACTCCGCTGGATAGCCTGAGCTGTGCTCGCATTAAGATTGCCAATGTTCTGAGTTGCTGAGATCGCAGACCCAAAATTGGAGTAACCATCGCCAGACTGAGCGTTCGAGATTGCTGATCTATAATTATCTCCGTTCTGACTTGATGATATCGCCAATTGATAACCTGGGCCCTGCTGGTTTTGAGCCAGTGATGTAGACGATTGGAAGTTGCCAGCATTTTGAGTAGAAGACACTGCAGATTGGAGTTGACCATTGTTTTGTCCGTAATTTTCGTAGCTCTGTGGCCACTCGTTTGATTGAGAGGGATAGTAGTTTAAAGTGTTTTGCTCTTGGTCATTTGTTATGTAGTTATTATCATAATCAGGTACAGGGTTCCCATAACTATCGTAGCGTTGTTGGGATGATGTAAAAGCTGGGAGGTATGAAGTGGAAGGGGCTGCATTAGCTACACCTATTCCTGAAGCGTATGTGTTCCCAGTACTCCCGATTCCGGAGCCGTAAGCTTGAGCATCGCCAGTCGAGAATGAAGAGCCGATACTGGTGGAGTGTTTGATTCCGGCGATGTCGCTGCTGAAACCGCTTCCGAACCCAAAAGCAATGCTTGGCGTACGAAATATGGAATTGATAGCTGGTCTGATAGGTGTGACGATAGGTGTAATTGGTCTGTTTATGGGTTGGTTGACGGGACGGTTGACTGGCTGATAAATACCATTGATTGTCGGTCCAATGGGCTGTTTCAGCGGTACACCGCCGCTGGATACAGCGACCCCATTAGCTGAAAATAAACATATTTGTAGGTCAAACAAAATGATATATAGAAAATAGGGCAATGACCTAAAATTTCTTATGAAGTTATATAAGACAAATTGTACAGTGTCATTTATTATTAATTACAAAATAAGTAATAAATGGTATCATTATCAAAAACATCATCAATAACTGTTACTTGATTAAGTATACCTAAGAAAAAATAAGGCCGTATTTGAATATCTAATACTAAAAAAACTAATAAACTTAATGAAGAGAACAAGAAACAGCTTGTTTTTGGAAATTTTATAGTCTTGTCACGCACGGAGACAACGATTTGATATTTAATTGGTGTAGCAGATACAGCAGGCACTATAAACCTAATAATAACTATATTATATTTATAGAATATACTCATTATTAACTTAACAGATGAAGTGCATGGAACAGCATAAAAAAGTCGAGAGGATATAATTAGTTTAATATCACGGCATTTTTGCATAAACGCTGCAGATTTTGCCGGCATTTCATAGACACTTATTAACAACTAAAATCGTAGTTTTAGGAGAAAGATTAAATAAGTAATTTGCATAATTGCTTGGTAGATTTACATAATAAACTTACAAAATATTTGTATGGGCACAGCGTTAGATAGCGCGAAACTAGCAAGAAGGACTGCGAGTTTGGTCAACATTGTTGCCCTATCAAGTCTCGTATTTTGATGAGATCACCTCTTTCGCTAATATTAGTTTACGATAGCCCGGAGTCATTTCTCAAACCTTATATACCCAAAACACAAGTTCCCCCACTCGATCCCTGATCACCACAACATCTAAAAAATGCTACCGATACCCATAAAAAATATCCACTATTTTAGCATTTATGATGTTTCTAATGCAAATTTTATGTATTTCATCATTAATGTCGTATACGAACAGTTATAAAGTAAAAATTTTATCTCGCATTATTGGAGCAGAACTTTGTAGATATACATCTAAGGAAATGTCGTATCTATGTGTTAATATGTATAGCAAAAATTTGTACCCCTTCTGAAAATTTCGCGGACGAAAGAATATGAAATTTCGCATACTTGTAGTTTATATAGGCAAGAAGTTCAGAATGCTAATGTTTTTTTAATAATATGCATAAAAGTACATTAAATCTTTAAAAAAAGATATTTCATTTTTGACACACACACACATATATACTCCTTTGATTATTATGAAAGTCTGTGGTCAAATAAAAAAAAATCATAAATAATGTTTGTTTTTAATATTATTTGTCTAACTGAATATCCTACATTACCTCTGTGATTATCTAAATATATAGTACTCAAAGGTGACTGACATAGTGATCTATCAACGCACAGCCCAAACCACTGGACAGATTGGGTTAAAATTTGACATGCAGGTAGATATTATGACGTAGGCATCCGCTAAGAAAGGATTTTGATTAATTCTACCCCCAAGGGGATAAAATAGGATAGGAAATTTTGTATGAAACTTTGTCAATTTTAAACCGATCGGGCTGAGACTTTGCTTGCATAAAACTACTATGACGTAGGCATCCCCTAAGAATGGATTTTGATAAATTCCACCAATAAGAGGATAAATTAACGCGAGCGAAGCCGCGGGCAAAAGCTAGTAAAAGTATAAGTCTTTGACAATAAAAACTTAATAATGTTCTAACTTATATTTTAAATCATTTGTGATCGAATTTCGACCAGTAGTACCTACTTATGATTTTATATTCGACTAAGTTTTACTTACAGTTACTTAAAAAGACTACTTAAAAATATGGATACATAGGTTACGTTAGCAAACTAAATTTTAAATAAAATGAAATACAATCAGGCAAAAAAGATTAATTTATTAATAACTACATGTGCTTTCGACTTCGTACGCGTGGTATTTGTAATGACAATAGGTTTCCGGTAAATAGAGCGTTTTTAGAAAACACGTAATATATATTAAATAATAGATATTTTTTTTATTTACGTATAGATTGGTTTGCAATAACCATGAAATGTTACAGGAAGCTTGATATAATATACCACTGAAAAACTGCATTTAATTATTATGATTTATGTCATTTCTAAGATTATCATGCAGAAACGCATAGACTAACAAAACTACAAAAAAATGTAATCTACTCTTTGATTTCGTTCACATAGAACATGTACATTTCTTTGTTGCTTTATGATTTTGCTACGATTATAAATATAATTCAAATTAAAATTCAAAATATTTTTATTCATGTAGGTCTATTACAGACTCTTATGATTTGACAAATGTACCGTCAGTTCGGAATGATTTCGAGATGAGAACACGTGCTCGTATTCTTTTCAAATAAACGTTAGGTATACATGGTTATGTTTACAATAATACAAATTCATTATAAATTGAAATTTGGGAGAATAGAATGACCACCAGTATATGCTACTGCAAATGCAATGGGTTATGAATGTTGATCCGATACTTTATTTGGTATAAGGGATAAACAAGTTTGGCTCATCTGGTGGTAAGTGATTACTACCGCCTACCAGTCGAAGAGTGGCACACTTGTTAATCGCCTGGTAAAGCACTCGTAACACCAGGGTACGTGCAAGGGCATTGCCGCTCTTTTGAGAAGGAATAAGCTCTTTTATTGAAGGTTACATCGGATCGGTGCAAATTTACTAATCAATTTTAGAAATAGTATAATTTTAGAAATATCCAAACCGGGAAGTAACAGAACAGAGGAAGCCGCCGGATTAGTATTTCGTATTCTCAATTCTAATTAAAAATCTCACATATTCATGCCATTTTTTATAAATTCATAAGCTCCGTTATCATTTGTCAATGAGTTTAATTTCATTAATTATGTTAAGAATTATATACATTGTTCATCGTATCCATTATCACATCATTGTTAAGAGAATCCATATTTCTTTTAATTTATCTTTTTTCTAAATTGAATAAAGGTGTAACTTCTTTCGGCTATTAACCCAACCCACGAAGAGAATTTGGTATACCTAAAACCGCAGTTGCGGATGCAAACCGGAATTCAATAAATGACCTAGGTCTGTGGCTATATATACTATTTTGTGTTATCTACACATAAAAGTGGAAGATAGGCGTGGCACCTACAAATAATAATTTACTGGACATTATTTATGAGCTGCACGATATAACTGTTAGTCGCGACTTTGTTTGCTTATTTACAAAAGATAGCCTTCGTGATGCAATCAATTTTATATTAAATTTCATTAAGATTAAGGTAATAAACAATCAGATATACACTGTGTATGAGATATAATAACGCTTATAAATATTAGACGTAGCAGGTAGGTTTTATAGAGTATAATTATAATTAATATTATAAACGCGAAAATTTACATATGAGTATAAATAAATAAATATTATTAATTATAAATAAACTTGGATTAACACAGCGCCATCTAGGCCCATGATAAGAAGAGGTTGTGTTATGGGTATTAGTAAATTAAGTTTATTTATATGTACATTTTATTTGCTCTTTTTTTTCGTGTGTTGTTTATAAAAATATAAATATTTTTCTTTCTTTCTTTCTTTCTTTCTAAACAACTGTAAAAATATAAATACTTAGATACATCATTTTTTGTACATAATATTCATAGAAAACTCTCAGACCCAATACAAACAATCATACTCATAATTACAAATATTTGCTCCGTGCAAGGAATCGAAGCCGCGACCGTTGAAAGTAAAGCGGTGTGCTTACTAAACTGCTAAACCACCGAGGCGGTTAAAAATGTATAACCCTAGCCTATTTAGTATTAATACCTTACTTATCTTGGATAGCATTTCTAATTATTTAGGCTAATTATAAAAAGCCACAGAAAAAAGTTTTAGAAATGGCGTTCAAAAATGAAGGTAGATAAATAAATTTTAGATAATAAATTTTAATGTCATATTTTTAATGTTATATTTAAATATATAATTAACAGTCTAAAAAATAATTATTAAGCTTTTATTTTTAGGAATGAACACACACTTCCATACAACTAATTAATATCCCCTTTTAAAACTTTACAACCCCTTTTTCCCAAAAAAGTATTTTCTCAGAATCTAGACTACCTGTGTACCGAATTTCATTTAAGTTCAGTAGTTTTAGCGTAAACAGACAGCGCGATAGACAGACAGAGATACTTTCGGAGTTATAATATTGGTAAGGATATAGGAGTATGGATGGATGGATAAGATATTTGTTACTCTTTCACGCAAAAAATCCTAAACAGAGTTTGATGAAACTTCATATAATATAGCTTATAGAATAATACGGATGCTATAAATTTCATGCGAGTAAAACAGTAGACACTGCTAGTGATTTAAAATATTATTATTATTTTACTTTTGTATTAATATCGATATTGACATTAACATCAATTTATACAAAATTTCAATTATATATTACGAACTATAAAATACTCGACATTAAAATTTTGAGTAATCATAGATTAAGAATTTTATTTGTAAACGCTTAGCATGATAATATAAAGAAACAAAAGAGCACGGACGTGTGGAGCAAAAGAAAATAAAATTAAAAACAACATGCTTTTTATTGTAGGTCTTCAGCATGAAATTCAATGTTTTTTGCCCCATTATAACATAACAAAAACTGCCAAAGTTCGCATGATCGCATCATATTGATTGATGACAAGTACATAAAATTTATCGTTACCAAACGCCTCAGTCGCCTGTCAATCAATACAGTAACTTTAGTAATTGCTCCTAACAGTATGTACACTTTTTATAATGTTGTTAGACTCCAACCGACTATATGTACACACCAGTTCACTGATCCCACACATATGCTTATTTAATTACAGGAATTATAGCCCAAGACCGCACCAACCTATATAAACCGACGTAATAAATCTACAGACTCATTTCTTGCAATACTGTCAAAGAGGTCGAGGATTTTTGAAATTAGAATATTAAATTAACAGTAGTTAACATGACCAATTTTTTGGACATTACATTTTTATTACTTTTAATGTTATATACAATTTTAGCAAATCCTATTGTCATAAAAGGTTCGTTATTATATTTTATACTATATTAGACAGAGTACACGTTTTGTTTACTAATATCAGTATAATTTAAGGTATTGTATTGTGTAAGATTATAACAGATAAATTACTTGCAGGATCATCGCCCTCTGGAGATGCAATAGTCGCTATTTCGTCTAATGACCCGGAAGTTGAAAAGTATCTCAGATTTGGATTCTCATCTAACCTCGGCTCCAATCAAGATACTATTGTAACGTCAAGTGTTGAAGATATTGCACAAAAAAGTGCTAGTGTTGGATCTTTAGGCCAGCAAGCAGCTGCTAGCACGGGCCGCAGCTTTGTATCTACATCAGCATTCAATCCTTTCTTGTTACCTTTATTCTACATGCCGTTGAACTTTGAGGGTATTGGACTCAGTGACTTTGGATCCTTAAATCATGACAGGTTAAAAGCTGTTGAGAGTTTTTATGAGCCTAATTTTGGTGGCAACAGTGAAATCAAGGCTGTAGCAGCCATAAGCGATAATGGCCGAGTGTATGGTAATATAAAAACTCTTACTTTCGATAACAAAGGTATTAAATAGATTCATAAGGTTTAGGTTAAGGTTGTTTTATATTATAGACATTAGAAAATAAACAATGAATTTTACAGCAGTCTTTTATTAATAATCTCAACATAGAGTTATATAAACAATGTATGTAAATTTATAATTAAATTATTATAATGACAGTGAGATAAATACCTTTAACTAGTCATCTCAGCATCGTTATATCGTATTGATTTATATTAATATCACTTGTGATTTGACATACTCGGACCGTTGGCAATTTAGTAGTAACCGGTGTTGACGGCATGCGATTGTGCTGCCTGGATTCCAGGTGCATTAACACTGGAGGCACCGCTTTGTTGAAGAGCACCACCGTTTTGCTGAATGGATTGGGCTGTGCTTGCTCTGTATCCTCCAATATTCTGTGCTGCGGACACTGCAGCGCCGTAATTGTTCAAACCATTACGGGACTGAGCAGAGGAAAGAGCAGAGCCATAGTTGTTCGCATTCTGAGCAGCGGATATAGCTTGGCCATATCCGTTATTGCTGTTGGCAGCGGCAATTGAAGAATCATAGCCGAGATTTTGAATGTTCTGTGCGGATGATATGGCTGATTGATAGCGGGCTGGACCAGCATTTTGAGCGGCGGATACAGCTGACCCGTACTGTGGCCCGTTTTGTGATTGAGCGGCGGAGACAGATGCACCATAGTTTCCTCCATAATTCTGGGCTGAAGATACTGCAGATCCGTATGAGCCACCGAAGTTATAAGGATTGTAAGTGCGGATGTAAGGTGATGGAGCAGCATTAGCAATGCCTACTCCGCGGGCATAAGTGTTATCACCTGAACCGCTAATACCAGCCCCGTAGGCTTGACCATCGCCTGTAGAGAACGAGGATCCGATACCGGATGAGTGGGCGATACCACCAATGTTGCTGCTAAAGCCGCTGCCAAACCCAAACGCCACGTTTGGAGAACGTCCGATACGCATAACAGTGGCGGGGTAATATTCACTACCTGAAATTATATTAATATTTAGAATCAATAAATGAGCCATATCTTTATTTTCGTTCTGCTATATAATTAATAATTATGTCATTTTTTATGCGACGAGGATGATAATAAAGCTTACGATACCCTACCGAACATATATACATATATGCATCTTTTGTGGATTTCCAACACTTGTGACACAAGGCTTCTAACAATGCATACTTGAAATCTGCTGAGAAAAAGAATTAACGAAGAAAACAGAAAGAAATAAAGTAGTGTAATAATTAGTTTCTTTGAAATACAGTAATACATTTTCTGATTTAGGACCTTACTTGCACTTAACAAAACAGAACTTGTAATGTGTAGTATACGATTGATTTTAGATTAAAGTTGGCTTACCGGTGATCCATATTGGCACAGCGTTAGCCGCCGCGACAGCTGCTACCAAAACTATGACTTTGAACACCATTGTGTCTTTTATTTTGATTTCTTCAAGATCAACTTACACCTTTCGCCAATAGTTATGGATGTCTGTGAATCATTTCTCCGAGCTTATATACTAGTATAATCATAGCCCCCACTCGGTGCCTGACTAGGTCACTATGTATGGTACCAATAAGCTATTGACATTCATAAATAAAAATTATCTTGGAACGGTAAAATAATTTGATGTGTTCAGGTAATAGGATCTCATAAATTGGCAGTTACTATAGACACATGAGAGGCAAGAAGCGATCGTAGAAGTCATTATATTTACAAGCCTTTACAAATAAAGAAGAAAGATTGGATTAAGACGCATTTATATAAAGATGTTTAAGATCAAATAAAGATCCATGTACATGTTTTCTAAGAAATAATTAACACAGCCTTTTCACATATTCAATCAAATAATTAATGGTAGTAATTATAATAGAATTACTACACTATGAATGGCTGCTTCTAAGTTGCGCTTATAAACAATGTTCTCACTAAATGACTTAATTATTATACTTACTTGCTTATTATACAAACGTAGTTTTAATTACTGAGTTAAAAAAATAGGAATGTTGGTATAATGATATCTATTACTTATATAATAACAATACTAGTTGAACCCGCGACTTCGTGCCGGGTTCTACTTAACTTAATATAATATTACAAACGTGAAACTCTTTCACGCAAAAAGTACTGAACGGATTTTGATGAAACTTTACAGTAATATAGCTAATGTATCAAAATAACACATAGGCCATATTTTACATTGAAATTTAACTCGGGGAACACGCGGGCACAGCTGGTTTCTACATATATGACTTTTTCTCATATGAATATTCGATAAAATACTTATAAGATATCATCTATTTTTTATTGGTTAATTAAATATTAAAGTAGTTGGTGGCATATTGAATATTCACAAAAATAATTATTTCTCCCTTTTTTTATTATTTTTCTCAACTTTCTGTAGCCATTATGTTGCCCATACTTAAGAATATATTCAAAATATATCCTTATTTAGTCGCTGTATTTAAATAAAAACTTAACAATCAAGTAGATATACGTCTCGGTATTATTTTAATTACTTTTTTTTGTGTGTATTTACGAAGATTACAAGAAAAATGTTCCAATTAAAGTATATTTAAAAAAAACGTAATTTCAGTAGGTTATACAGAATTGCAAAGTGAAAAGATTAGTTTTTGATGGGATATGAAGATGGGATAGAAAGACTTTTAAGTTTCATAATCCTAGTTGTTTTGGTTCAAGTTCCAATATATATGGTACTTAATTTATTTTTTATTATAATTTATAAATATGTTTATATTATAAATATGTATTACTACAAATTTTATCACTGTTTCTAACATGTTATACTAATGTATCATTAATATAACATTTATTCCAATATACAAAATTCTCATTTGGTCAAAATAAAAAAAGGTGAAATTATTTGTCAATTAATCAATTTCACATTAAATGTGATCATCATAAAATTTAATAGATACCATTTTTTAATATTGATTCTAAATATTTGAAATCTGAGGTTATAGACCCCAAAATAAATGATCTAAAATTTTTATTACTGCGGAAACTTGATGTCATTATTTAAAAGGTAGGTATAATATTTGTTAGGCACATCTTTGATATCGAATTCGTTGCAAGCAATGTATTTTTCGTATTATGCAAAACAATTTCTTTTCTTCTTTTGTTATTTTTGAAACAATATTTTCCTGCGCTTGGGTAAGGAACATACCCCAGGGTAAAATAACAGTAGGTAGCATAAAGTAATGCTGGGTTATTTTTCTTTTTTTTGTTCTACTTACCTCTATGTAACAGTAGTAGTAAATATATACTACTAATTATTAAATTATAATTAGAATTAGAAGAAAGGAAAGGAATTCTGACACGTTCTCATTCATAAAATCCTTAGCGGCACTTGAAAATTTATATACCAACAATTTACTGTCCCTCTTTTTCTCTCATATAACAGTTATAAAGATTGAGAGATATGAATTTTATTTACAATTGGAAATAAATTACAATTTCAATTAGCTTAATAATAAAAAAAATATTTATAATAAATAATTTATTTAAAATCTATAGGTCACACATTTACTTAAGAATACACAAATCTGCTAGACAGATGAAGCTCACAAAATATGTAAAGATTTAGTATTCAAAATTTATAGACCTGAAGGTGGACTTTCGCTAATCAAATGTGCATTATAAAAAATGATCCGAATTGATAGGAGCTTAAGTGAATAGCAGGAGGTTGGGATTTCCTGAATATACCATTCGTATTATAATGGGGGATAGCGGCGAGTTAATTTATGTATTCATGCTAATGTTATATCATTTATAACTGCAATTAATTTACATAAATATAGCTTTTGTGTAGAATTATCACTGAGTTTAAGCAATGTGGACAAATATCACATTTATATTATTCTGCTATATTTATAGACTACTAAATATTATTCGTTTCTTCCGCCCGCTGCTGCGTAACTTCCTGCAATTGCCAAGTTTCTGGCACCATTGTTTAGTTGTCCTTGATTGTAACCATTATTATTCTCATCGCGTTCATGGTCGTTTCCTTCCTCATCAGGAGTTTCATCAAAGAATGGTCCCGATGGTCCTTGGAAACCATATCCACCTCCGTTTCCACCAGGGCTGTAGAAGTTTCCGTTAAACTGACTGTTGTATGCGCCCTGACCATTGTTGAAGTAACCAGGCTTCTGGTAGCCACCATATCCTCCCCTGTACGGGAAACCATGATTAGGGTAATTATATTGATAGTTATTGGGATAATATCCATTACTATATCCGCCGCCTGCTTCATTAGCCGAAGACTGGGATTGACTAATTGCTATATTTATTGGAGGAACTTGTCCAGGATAACCCTGTTGTCCATATCCTCCTTGGAACCCTTGGTGACCACCCTGGAAACCACCCTGGTAACCTCCACCTTCGCAAATTCCATATTTGTAGCACAATTTCCGCTTAATTAGACCACGTGGAAGCCGCACGGTGCCGCTGACCGCTCCACTCTCGGCTGTAGCATCTGCAAATTTAGAAACACAAAGGGTCCCATTACGCGCAATTATCTAACGGTGCTGATAGAGTCGATATCGCGAATTTATGGCGCGATCATGACAGCACGCTGAGATTATAGAGTAACGATAAAAAATTACAACCTTGGGCCATGGATGGGCTCCATCCCATAGACACGATCGCAAAAAAGAACGGTAACAATCGAAAACTGGACATGTTTTGATGAATATTCCTTTATTGGGTGTGTTGATTTTTTTTCGGATCAAAGCAGTTTTATAGTTTGGTACGAGGCCATCCCCCACGTCTCAGATGCAGAGACATTGAAGTTTTATTTGTTAAAATCTCACGGAAACAAGTCGTAAACAATGCAAATTTGTAAACAATACCGTCATATGGAGTATGCGGTTTCGGAAGTATATTATTCGTTTAGGAAAACGATAGATTTTATTGCCTTTAATAAATAGCGATTTAATTATAAACTTGGACCACGATTTATGGGCCAAGCATAATGTTATCAATTAAATTGGGCGGATGAGCGAATAACTGGTGATTTTGCTAATAAATTGCTTTGGTGAAATGAAGATCTAAGATTTAAAATGTTTATAACTATATAATTGGTGGTTTTATTAAATTCTAACGTTATTAATAATTATGGTTATTTGTCTTTGTAAGTAAATTTAGTACCTACTGTGAAATATATAGTCTAAGTATAGAATTATATAAAAAATATAGAGTAATATAATATGTGTCTATTATTGTAATGGTAATTTTATGTAAAATACTTTTATTTAATCGTCCTGCTTATCTTTCATTTCTAATATTTATTGAGTTCATAATAATAAAAATTTATTGATTACTATTGCTTCTCATCAAAACAGACAAAAGTATTTTTATATTTGGTATATTATCTTAGTTTTATGAAAGAAATCTTATTAAATTGAATTGTTGAATAATAAACCTTATTACTACAGTATGAATTTTAAAATATATAAATTTTGCAGAATGTACGTACATTTATCTTATAATACAGAGGAAATAATAGTTTTCCCATACTATTAACACAAAGTTATCACAATTATTTCGTTTAAAATATTTAAAAGCTCTTATGCAAATTATTTATTAAAAAAAATGAAACTTAGTTTTGTAATAGAGTTATAATTAAGTTTAAATATATACTAGGGTGTATTTCAAAATAAAATTGTACATAATTTTATTAAATGCACAATTAAAACTGATTTTCAGAGAATTATTCTTTTTCTTCTTGTTTTTATTATGTCCAATATTTCCTTCGTACAGCACGATAGTAGTTTGGGACGGATCCGCAAATCTCCTAAGCAGTGATATCTCATTCGAGCAAGTCATGAATATTAAGGGCTTCCTAAATATAGCACTGCAGATCTGGGGGCAGCCTTTTTGGCTTGTAACTTTATTATTACAATAAAAACTAATAATTATTTATTTACTTATAAACTAATAAGCAAAGTCTTAAGAGTTCTATTTATGACTTATTTTCTATATTAATGTATGTGCTACTAAAATACCAAATTCTTACAAAACCTATATATAGTGTGTACACATACTGTGTTTGACTACTTATCAGGTCATTAAAAGATGCATACACTTTGTATTTAAGATGGGCGGAAAATATTTTTTTCGATAATCTATGTATTTTAATTTCGCGGAAAAAATCACGGGCACAGCTATTAATAACCGGAAGTGTAATGTTTTGTTTCCTACCTTGAAATAAGGTTTTGTATAAATTATTCGCGATGTAATTTTTGCCTATAACGGAGATAACAAGGCTCTGTGTGGGCGTAATCTTTATTAAGTTGTTTAACCAATGTCAAGAGATAAATATCTTTCTTTTATATGCTCTTAATAAATAGTAATAGTCTATACATAAAATTGGAGTGTCTGTTTGTAATATTGAAATAATCGTTTTTTACTACATGCATATGAATATAAATACGGTACATACACCACAATATTTCTTTTACAATTTTTGTCTATCTGTCTGTTTGTTCCGGCTAATCTCTGAAATGGCTGGACCGATTTTGACGGGACTTTTATTGGCAGATAGCTGATGTAATAAGACTCCTTATTACATCAGCTATCTGCCAATAAATAATAACTTAGGCTTTTATTTTAGATAAATTATCTAATTAACGTTTTGATTAAATTCCACGCCATTGTCAAAAATAAAGAATAGTCGTCCACTTTTTTATTTTAGACAAAGCAAGCTAAGCTAAGCTTTGCGGGTGAATAAGGTGAGACTGAAGTGAGAAAACTCGCGCTGACGATTTTTTACAGTCTACCTAAAAATAATTAAAATAAAAGAGTAATTGGAAAATTTGAAAGCACACATAGACAGTAAATGATATATAACTACCTGACATATACAACAACCTTTAACTAATAAAGATTTTAGTGATAGGTCCTTTTTTGGGGGGAGTTTGGGCTATTGTCAGATGCTTGGACCTGTAGCACTGCGATCCACATAGATCTATTGTGCTCGCCTTTTTTCAGGGTTGGCTACCTGGACAAGAATTGAAGGATATTCTTAGAAGCGATGATTTTTAGCTCCTCAGGATAGATTATAGACTTTCCAAAGGAGATAATTACGTTTATGCATGAGTGGGCTGCAACCATATAGATAGGATGTGTAGTGGCGTTTCGTCTTCAGTTGGCAAAAATCTGCAGATTTTTGTTGTGCACAAGTCTAGGTTTGTTCAATTTGCAGTGTTCTGTGAGGGCCCTAGTCATGATGCAGTCATAAGAAGCTGAAGTAATTTTTTTGTTTTAACAAAAAACTATGTTGTTTTTATCTTCTTTTAGGTACACATGTGCTCACATTATCTCTAATAAATATTATTACTGCATCCGAGCGTTTGCAATAAAGTGTTCATATAGAAATTGAAAGCATTTATTTATTGAAATCTATATATTATCAAATTGAAGGTGGTCAACAAGCTTAAGTTTGTACGTTCATAACCTTGAGTGTAATGAACTTGAACTTAGATTATATAGTGCGTGGTGCAGTGACGTGTCGGATGTTTTGAGATATTATATTACTGTTGTTCCGTACATATTTATGATCGATAATTAGTAATTGTGTATTGTGTATTGGCCTCAGTGGTCTAGTGGTTTAGCACACCGCTTTACTTCAGATGGTTGCGGGTTCGATTTCTCGTACAGTACAAAAAAATATATTCATGAGTATGATTGTTTGTATGGGTCAGAGTGTATTCTATGTTCAATATCTATGTATTTATAGCGGCATTTAGTCCCAAGACAAGCAGAGCTTAAGTTATGGATATTAGACAACTAATATAAATATTTATATGTAGATTAAACTCTTTATCTTTTATATGTATTTATACATAATTTATATTTTAAATAAGTGATTGATAAATAAATTGTGTTAATTGTTAAAATAAGATACATTCATTTATTATTTTGTAGCTGTGCAGTTTTACTCGCGTGAAATTTAGGTATAGCCTGTGTTGTGGTGGGGTTCTTTTGTGTTGAGAGGATATGTTTACTAATAAATAATATGTACGTTTGCAGCAGAAGAATTGTAGTGTGTTTTAATAATTTCCTTTTACAATAATGTCAATCTATATTTGACAACTAAACTATTATAAAATCGTAATAGGTGAGGAGGCTGTATATACACCTAACATCCTCCCGTAGACATGAAGTGCTATTCGGATAGCCTACAGCAAATGAGCTTCCAATACATCAGAGCTTCCAATACATCAGTTTTGAGTTTGTGTTTACCATGGCTACTCTCTCTATTTCATCCCACAGGGGTACCATCTTTCCCACCAAGCGTAGCATCTTTTCACCCAAGAGTACCATCTTTCCACCCAACCTCCCCTCCACCAATGTTGTGGTGGGGTTCTTTTGTGTTGAGATGATATGTTTACTAATAAATAATATGTACGTTTGTAACAGAAGAATTGTATTGTCTTTTTTATAATATTTTTACAATAATGTCAATCAGTATTTGACAACTAAACTATTATAAAATCGTAATCGATGAGGAAGCCGTATATACACCTAACAGCCTGTGTTATTCTAAGGTACAAGCTATGTTATTGTTAAGTTTTATTAAAATCCATCCAGTAGTTTATGCATGAAAGAGTAATAAACATCCATTCATCCATCTATTCCATTTATCCTCACAAACTTTTGTATGTAAAAATAAAAAAAATGTCAATATAAAAAAAACTGTTGTGATTAAACAGTAAATAATATCGCATAGTCATACTCATAAACATAGTAACGGAAGTAATATGAATACAAAGCAATCTAACGTTTTAAAAATACACTTGATGTGACCTGAGGTGTTTTCAAGTATTGCAATAAACGAATATATTTGCATAGCGGTATGTACTGTTAATTTCATGGTTGATAGTCTGATGGATAGTTTTTTTTAATATTAAGATAGATTGTAACAAATTACTGTTCATTATTAAAATATGCTTGGTAACATGAAAGTGCACTTAAAATTCGGTACCCTCATATGTCATTTTAAAGCATATATTACTTAAAATTTATTTTTCTTTATTCATGTAGGTCTATTACAGATTCTTATGATATGTCAAATCTACCGTCAGTTCGGAGTGCTTTCGAGATGAGAAGAACTAACAAGAAACTCAGCTCGTTTCACATGCCGTCGGCCCAGTAAAAAAGGAACAAAATTATTAATTTGTTTTCACTCCTAATACTAGCGAGCGTACACCGAAAGCGCAGCCGCTGTATTGAAAGGCAATCCAATATACAACCACATAAATAAAAAAAAACAAGGTTGTACATGTTTACAATAATACAGATTCATTTCAATTTAAATTTTGGAGAATAGAATGACCACCAGCATATGCTATTGCAATTTTATCAAAAGCAAATAGTTTATTCAGTGTTCGTAACCCGAATAGACCAGTCACCGCACAAGCAGCACCCGTTCACAAGTATGACGGATAGTATATTTTAGTATCAAATAGGATACAATAATATGTATAATTCTTATTTTGTCATCTAACTCTTCCTAATCGGCTGGACTGATTTGTATGTAACTTTGTATTCTTGTAAGTTGATGCATGATTAGAAAACATCATTGGACCATTTATAATAATTAGTTATAGGTACATATTGCATATAATAAAAATGTAGAGCAATACATAGTATACAAAATCTACTATAATAAAAAAATAAACTAATAATAATGATGAAATCCCTGGATAATCGATATAGCGCCATCTAGTACCAAGCAAAGTTCAGCTTTTATGTTATTAGACAACTGATATTTTCTAACTACATACATAATATACATAGAAAACACTCGGACAGATACAAACAATCGTATTCAAAAATATAAATGCACCGTGCGAGAAATCCAACCCGCTACCATCGGAAGTAAAGCGGTGTGCTAAACAACTAGACCATCGAAGCTATCAAAATCAAGTCGCTTCTATTTTAAACCACTATATAAAGTAGATATTCTAGTGCAATTTGCTAAATCGTGTAGTGGAGATAGAATTGTACAGCTAAGAGTTACCATAAAATAAAAGATCACTTAAATAAAATTTTGTATAAATTGTAAACAATAATTAAATTACAAAATATGATATTTTAATAAATTAATATTACATCTAATCATGTTATTTAATTTGACTCAGTAAATAAATTTAAAATAATCTTATTATTATTATACATAAACAGAAACACAAACGTTTGTGAGTAGGTATAGATGGATAGATCGATGGATTTTGATAAAACTTTGCAGTAACATAGTTTATACATAAGAATAACACATAGGCTATAAATTTCACGCAGATGAAAATGCGGGCAGAGCTAGTAATCTATAATATATTATTGTAAAATTTAATTAAAAGCCACTCTGTAGTTACAGTGTCATCCATCCATCTATACTTATAAACTTCCACGTTTATTATTATAAACATGGAAGTTTATAAGTATAGATGGATATATACATATCACTAGCTGTGGCCGCGGTTTCACTCGCGTGAAATTTATAGTCTATATGTTATTCTGATGTATAAGCTATGTCACTGCAAAGTTTCAACAAAATCTCTTCAGTAGTATCTGTTTGAAAGAGTAACAAACATCAATACTTACAAACTTTCGTGTTTATAATATTACTAGCTACTCGCCCCGGCTTCGCACGGGTGTACATGTATTGGTGTGTATATATAAACCTTCTTCTAGAATCACTCTATCTAAAAAACAACCGTTGCATAGTTTTAAAGATTTAAGCAAACATAGTGATATATAGCATACAGACAGGACAGTGACTGTATTTTATACTATGTAAGGATGATAATGATGATTAAGATAAGATTATAACATTTCTGAACTGTGTAGACAGATGTGACGTCAGTGACCGTTGGCTTTAGCTACAGCGACAGCTATTGCTGACCCTGTGTCGCTCTGAGCGTTGCTAACTGCTGCGCCACCATTTCCACCCCCACAGGAGTCACACGGTGGCTGCTGCTGAGATCCTGAGTTGGATGCTGCGTTGGCTGCACTATATGACTCTCTGTATGGTTGCCTTTGCTCCCAGTACCGGTGTGGTCGATGGCCCCAATGTGGTGGTGGAGGTGGTGGCCAATATGGCGGCGGGGGACAGTCGCGGTAGTAGGGTGAGCGACGTAACCGATGCACTATGTTACCATCTGAAAATGCGGTTAAATTTGTAATCAATTTTTTTGGCTTATATAGTTTCTTTTTTTCAACAGCCAAAGAAAATATAGTGTGTATGCCTTACAAAATACAAGATAATTATTAATTTTTATAATCGACAGATATTCTGGTAAACAGTCAAAAAGTTTTGGATTATTTAAGTGGTATTACTTACACATACCAACATCAGAATAACTTAATCAATATATTTTTTTATAATTCTTTATTGGTGGTAGATACTGAAAAGACAGATGGCTCTTCCAGGTCTACTCTTAAGTCAGTTGATTCCACGATCACGAAATAAATAACTACAATTTTCCATTTAGTTCCAAGACTATAACAACATATAATATCAGTACATTGACAATCTATCGGAATTGGTTTCAAGAATAGACTAACAAGTGACATTCATTTTCACTAAACAAGCAACACCTCAGATGAAATTGTACGTAAATTTAATTGTAGTAATATATCAGTACAATTCACACAACACCATCTAAACCCAAGCTAAGCAGAGCTTAGTTATGGATACTAGACAACTGATACAAACACGTAGATACAACTTTTTTGTAATACATGCATTATATATAATAATGCCGATAATGAAATAAATATTAATATCGAAAGTAAGGTGGTGTGCTAAACCACTAAACTACCAAGGGCGTTAATGTTGAGTTGACACTTCAAACGACATACTTACATTGATTATCGGCAACTGAGTTTTCTATAATTAAAACTACCAGTACTGCAGTTACACCTATTCTCCACATGTTGTTCTATTGATCTAAAATTTTTGTTCTAAGTTACATTTTTATATAGTCCTCCCATATAAATAGCGTGTTGTTTACAAAAATCCTAAGAATCATCTATTATATTGCATACTGGTGATAAATAATTAGGTACACTTATAGAGGTGTCAATACCGTGTAGTAACAGGTAAATCCCATTGCTTTGTATACATTTCCCTACTTTATATTACATTTGTGTGCAATGTAATTTACTTGTGGTTTATGATGACATAATAAAAGGTAATATCTGAATCAATTGTATTCCTTACTCATTAAATAATAATATTAAAACACACTTTATTAAAGTCCAAAATTCTCCATTACAAAGATGCCAAATGAAGGTATCATATTGGCACCAAAGGCGTTTATATAAGCTTTAATCAATGCTCTGGAACCCTGATATCAATGTTGATATGTTTGTTCTGATACTATACATAATATATATATGGTATAAATGCCCGATTTATTCAATTTTCTTACAACTCTATACTACATATTTTCAGGTTGTGAATTAATAATGCGTGGGTATTGTTGTGTTTATGACATATTAAAGAGTAACATATCAATGCAACCTTCAATACATATTTCTAATACGTTATTCCATCTCACTTTGGAGTCAGGAGAGGTAATATGGGGTTTTATCTATATGTAACTTTTCTTAACTGGATGTCCTTTGTTTGTCACTAGTTTAAAATACTCATTGTTAATTTTTGATCCTATGCTTATAGTTGACTAAGTAGAATGATTCTAATTAATTTAGTTAAAGAAAAAACAAAAATTTCTCACTATTTATTTTAATGTAATCACGAATTTTGTAGGAATAATATAATTATACAGACAATAACAGTAATTAATATTACGTACATTATTTACCACCAACGGACACTGCGATCGCTGGGCCACTGCGGCTTTTAGCGTTACTTTGGGCATAGTCATTTCTTCCACAGGTACTGCAACCTGATGTCTGAGATGCTTGCTGGCCTTGAGACGCTAGATCGGTAGCAGCACCAAGCGCTGACTGGGCATCTTGATACGACTGTTGACTAGAAGTACCATAACCCCCTCCAGAAATGCCTTCGCTGCCCACAACGTTTGATCCAGATGCACTTTGAGATTGTGCGCTAGATTTTCCATACGAGCCAGAACCAAAGTTTCCAGTTGAACCACTAGTAGCTGATGAACCACTAGTAGCAGATGAACCACTTCCCGATTCGGATCCAAGCTGTACCTGTTGCTGTCGTTGTTGCTGCAGTTCAGAACCTGCCACACCATATCCTCCTGATACACCACTACCTCTCAATCTTCCAAGTTCTCTTGGGCCACCCGATCTACCTGTATCTCTGGCATCAAATGACGAGCTTTGACTTTGAGAAGATGCACCAAATCCTCCCGAATGGGCTTGTTGCGTGTCTCTGTTATAACCATCATTTGACTGAAGTGATTGGCCATATCCACCATTAGAATTAAAACGACTGCCACCACTTTTTTGGAAAGAATATTGTGATTCTTTGAAGTTTCCACTTGTTTGAAATTGACCGCCGCCAGATCCACCGAAACTCGATGATTGCCCACCTCCACTTGAAAGTCCTGCATATCTAGAAGTGTCACCGTAACCAGAAGACTGGCCATTATATCTACCACCCGAATTACCAAATTCGGATTGTCTGCCGTAACCACCCGAACCACCATTACTTCCTGATGTGGCCACAGAAAATGCCTGACCAGATGCTTGAGCTCCTCCATCAGCAGCAGCTGCTGCACCGCTGAATACACCTTGCTGTGATCCATCATAATTTCGTGCGTATCCGCTCCAGTGGTGTGAGCGGAACCTCGGTGGCCAACGTGGAGGACCAGGCGGTGGTCCTTGTGGTGGTCGGAATCCATCTCCATCACCACAAACATCGCAAGGGGAACGTACTACTCTCTTTAATGCAGCATCTGCAAAAATAAAGTAGATATTCCAGACTAAATCTATAAACACTGAATACAATATACAAAATGATATTATTCCAATTCTATTTTTATCTCTATAAATGTTGAGCAGGTGCTTGATATCTCCCAAAAAACATACCTGCACTATTCTGCACACTTTGAACTGACAATGCGATCAGTACTAATAAGGCAAATATTGATTTAACCATCTTGATGAAGGTTCAGACAGCTCTGAGATAGACAATCCAAAATTGTCACATTTATAGGTAATTGATTGGTGAGATATTAGGCGTATTCCAAGAATAGTAACCTCGTCTGGTGGCGTCCACCAATTGGTAATGTAAACATATGGTTGTATTGTAGCACTTTAGATAATTCACACAATTTTGGTAGTGTGCACACATTCTGTGAGAACTAGGGGTTTTGTAAAGTAGTCGGTACTTAGTACTTTGGTTTAAAACCTTAAATTGAATTATCAATTAATAAACAAGGTGTTCCCACAATAATAACCAATTGAAGGATAACAGATAAATATTTTGAACTGAACTGAACTAAATTATCTAATAAATATAGAGCGGTGTAATGCTCTTAGAAAGTACAAATAGATACAGAAAAAATCTCTTTGAATCAAACTTTAATAGTCATCTTTTTAACGAGAATCAAATTTGCGTGTTACTCTTTTAAATAAATATTGTTCAGCATTACACCATTAAGGTTTGTGTGAATACAAACCGCCAAATAGCAAGATTGACAAAACTAATATAACTAGTTACTGGAGTACAAAATAAATCAGTCATAGTTATCAGAGCAGGCCAGTCCCTACGCCCTACAAGCAGCATCTGTTCACTGTTAATATAGATATGGTATTTTTCTTTATGGTGGCCATAATTACATTTCAGCAAGTCAGGGTTTTGTGTTATTTAGCTTTCCTTTGCTATTCCTTTGCTACGATGTAAGCAAAGGAAAACTGGAAATAAAATATGTATGGTATCCTGGGCCAGTATGAGTACTATCATGCAAGTATTATAAAACGTACCCATCAACGATTGCGAAATACTGTTCAACATCGATCGATCGGAATTAATTCGTAGACAAGAATTATCAGTATTATCCTTGACTCTACACCTTCCTGAGAGTAATCATCAACAGGGTAGTTCTATTTTTGTATTATCATGATATGGTATAGTGCCTGCGTCAATAGCTTATGTTGGCAGAGCACTACTGAAGGATGACAGGGTAACTGTGAAGTTAGGTCAATTAGCCCATCGATTGCAATTTCACCAAAAAATAACCAAAATCTAGACAGGATAATTAAAATTATCACATAACTTTACTTCGTTGGTTTATGGGTTTAGCATACAGCCTTACTTCCGATGGGCGCGGATTCGATTCCTCGCACAGTATTCATGAATATGATAATGCATGTATTTACCAAAAAATATATTTAAGTATTTATGTAAGTGGTCTAGTTAATATAACAAAGCCTATGCTGGTTGCATAGGCTTTGTTTAGTTTGACACTATGTATAAGGCGTCAAACCAACTGTCAATCTCAACTACTCGGGTTAGGACCTCATGGTACTGAGTTGTAGTCTGACGGTTTGTGTTGCACTATATCTGAACAAAAAAACCATGTTCAATATATTGTTTCTCATAATAACTATACAAAGATCTACTAGTTGATAAATTGACTTGAGTATATCACGTAGTATAACAAGGATAGGATCACGTAGGATAAAAAAGGTGCAAATTTTGATGAAACTACAGTAATATAGCTTGTACATCTGATTAACACATAGGCTATAAATTTCACGCGGGCGATACCATAGGTACAGCTAGAGTATACCATAAAATGTCGGAATATCAAATTTGCTCGACACCAAAAATAATTTGTGTCCATTTATATTTCTGCCGATTTTTCCGTGATAGAAACATACTGTTATTTATCACGACGTCACCAATTAACAATGCCCCTGACTCCCCATGTGGTATTACAGTCGAGAAGGTGTATAAAAAAATACATTTTGAATAAAAGAAACACAATTTGGTATATAAAAAAATAACTTTAAATTTCCTTTTTGCACTGTTACAATTAATTCATTTACGAGAGGTTGGTTACAATTACATAAATCACAATTAATTCTAATTATTAATATAATAACAATCAGTTAATATATAAATTTAACAAATTAATACAAGACACAATGGATTCTAATATTCCGACCGAAAATTGAACGTGTTAATGAACGTGTCAACACGACAACATCGATAATTGACAATGCCTCTGACCACTGCATCTGCGATAACAGTCTTGATCAGTATATATGTATAAACTAAATAATTAATATATCTACTAAGCAAGAAGATTATAATGTCTTCACTTCCCTCCCGCAGCAGAATTCGCACTTGACTGCGAGACGCCACCCCGGCTTATGCTAATACTTTTCGATATACTCAGAGACCCGGAACCACCGCCTAATCCTCTTCCATAACCCCTTCCATAGTCAAAACGAGGTGGAGGTGGGGGTGGACCTCTTAGTCTTCCATATTCGCCACCAATAAATCTGGGTTGGTAATTACCACCACCGTAACCTGGTCTGCCGTAGGCACCAGCGCTGGCTTGTGCGTTTGAATTGGCATAGGATCCAAATTGCGGTGAGCGTGCTTCACGAGTAGCTGAAGTAAAAAATAAAATAAATTATGATATGAGTTTCGTTAATATTTTTCTTAAAATTTGGATTCCGTAAAGTAGTTGAAGTGTGGGTTGTATAATTTATTGTTGTTGAATATTGTTTAATTAAGCTTAAAAAATGCAAATTGAACATTAAAAAATTGTGTAAAAATTTGACGTTCATAAGCGGCTAAAATGTCCTACATGAATAAATGATTTTTGAATTTAGAATTTTTTGAATTTTAATTTTCTCGATAAGGTCAGAAAGCCGTAACCTATAGCCTACATTTTACCATCGCATTGATAGCCATCCACAGGGAATTCATCCCCATACAACGTTACCTACGTTGTATGGGACAGTGCGATTTCAGAGGAGCCTCCTCCCGCGTAGGTACACTTAAATTGTGGAATGCAACGCGCACGTTACATCTCTGATTTTCCCGGCGTCAAAGGATACATTAATTATTTATCATCAGAGGACCTGTGCTTGTTGCGTTTGCGAGAATGTCAATTCTCGTAGTAAATTTAATTAAACAAAAATAAGTCTGAAATGTTTTTGACAGTTTAGCATGAAAACTTCTAAAGGAATAATTAATACATATAAAAATTTGGATTTTTTTATACGTAATAAGTTATGTATAATATATGGCGTGAAATTGTTAGGGTAAACTTCGAGGGGTTCCTCCTGGAATTCATAATGGGTTATTCCCGGTCAATTCGCAATGATGAGCTAACTGACCTGACTTCATCTTCAACACGTAATCTTCTACTAGTATCCCTACAACGTACACCATTAACTCCGGGTACACCATATATTATCATGAACTTAAAAATTATCTGTATTATTTCCACTGACCTGCATCTGTTGTAATGAAATTAAGAGCTACTAGAAGAACAATTCCAACACAAACTGTTAGGTGAGCCATCTTGTTCTATTAAATCAAAGGCTTGGGACTGACATAACATCATAAATCATGTCTATATATATTACTCACATAATTATGTTAAGTTCTATTTAGTACGCATATGACAATTTTCGCGTTTCAATATTTAGTTAATGTACTTAATCTTTATTAGAATGTATTAGAGGTTATTTTCCAATGTTTCAGATACATGTAGCTATTTTATAGGTATTGTTTGGTATAGGGAAATCACTTATAACGTCGATGACCTATTATTAAATATTTGACTATTGTATTTGCGTGACTCTAAGGTTTAGGTTGACTATATTGATGAAGGTAGTAAAGGTAATCGGGAAATCATGTTTCGGATTTTTCCTATTTGATTATTCGTCAGGGAGGTTGAAAATGGTTTCTTTGCAAACTCAATGTCTAAATGACTTTCCAGCACTGGTACGAGTTTTTTTCCGAACCGATACGATATTGAAACCTTAAAGAAAATTTATTCCTATAATGCTGGCAACGCATTTGAAATTTCCCTGGAGTTGCGAGTGCTTATGGGCGCCTGAAATTACTCCCATCAAGTGAGCCGCAAGTTCCTTTGTACAGTTCATTCATTTGTACCTTAAGCTACAGAAAAAAAGTCAAAATAATTTATTCATATAGGAGACTTTCGGAAACTTATGCATTATTTATTTTTATCACCATCCCTACCAATCGCAATGAATAAAATATTTAGAATACGCTACTGATTAAAAAAATTCTTTCAACTATTGAATTATTAAAACAACTAATAAATGGAGAGTAATGTCGAATAGGGATAAGGATTAGGTTAGGAAATTATATAGGATATGATATTTACAAATAATATACATACATTTTCTTTGCTAGTTATAAATTAAAGACGTTTCCCCGTTTTGTTGTTGGCGAAATACCCTAAAATCGGGGTGAATGGCATACCACAAGAGAGTAATGTCAAATGTAAGAAAAATATTCGAAAGTAGGTAGGTAATTTTACTGTCATTGTCAACGTCAAAAAATATATTATTTCTTGATAGAAAACTATTATAAGTTTCATAAAACTCTTTAGAAATCTTTAGAATTTGCAATGTTTTCAATCAAGAAACTGGAAGAACCGAAGAAACGTGACAGAAGTCGTTTCCAACGACACTCCAGTATTCTTATATGGAAATGCTACCTACAAAGACAGTATGTCTTTAATTATTTAATATCTCATTTAATTATTACCATCTAACAGCAGTTTTATCAATGTGAAGTTGAATAGAAAGTATTCTATACTCTTGTGATTGATGTCATATCCTATTCTAACAGACGCATTGCAATTAAAGGGAAACGAGTCTATTGTTTCCATTTAATTACGATGACCTGAATGGAAGTTTGAACGCCTAGCGAACTAAAGTCAGGCAGAAGTGTAAGGACCTACGGCAATAGAATAGTTTTAAGCATTTTGTGTTTTATTCAGAATAATCTTTATTTCTCTCAAATAATAAACCATTACAGTTGCTGCTTATAAAATTTATAAATAATAATCGAGACAAAACAGTCTATAACTCAGAGGGGGCAGTGAGTCCACCCTACCCTGCTATTTTGTTATAGCCTTTATTAGTATATTAACACACACAATTTCTAAACTGTCCTATCCTAACAAAGTAAACATACAAATTTGAGAATATGGTCTCTATATCTTTGAATGTATTTGTTATAATAATTCACAAACATTCGAATAACTTGCCAAACATTAACATTTACAAATTACGAATTTGATTATATTGTAACATACTCGTAAACTACTAGCTATTATCCACAATGTAAATAATGATGCTTTGCATCTTTTTTTGATTAGTTTGGCAAAAACCACTAACACGCTATCACAGCTTGCATTATAAGTATTATGAGGTGAATAGATTATTATTATTGAACTAGCTTTTACGCGCGGCTTTGCGTTAATGTATCCCCTTAGGGGTGGAATTTATCAAAATCCTTTCTCAACGTCATAGTAGCTTTATGTATGCAAAGTCTCAGCCCGATCGGTTTAAAATTGACAAAGTTTTATATAAACTTTCATCCCCTATTTTATCCCTTTCGGGGTAGAATTAATCAAAATCCTTTCTTAGCGGATGCCTACGTCATAACATCTACCTGCATCCCAAATTTCAGCCCGATCCGTCCAGTGGTTTGGGCTGTGCGTTGATAGATCACTACGTCAGTCATCTTTGAGTTATATATACTTAGATATTATTTTAGACGAAGATGGAGGCTGCTGGTAGCTGAAACCTTGTTTGCCGGTGTGCTATTTCTCATAGCAGTATTCACAGCTGTACCCGTATTCCTAACGCCATTACAAACAGAACCTGAACCTCCTCTCGCCTCCTCTGATCTCCTGGCATCATCAAGAAACAACTTTATAGGATATGCTCCCAATACAGAGCCTTATATAAGTATCATGTTGAGAGCAGCAGAACTGTTGCAAACAAGTAAGTTTTAATTCTATAATACCGACTTTTTTTATTAGGTACGTATTGTATAAAAAGTTGTGTATAATACCTATTATATACAACTTTTACACAACGTGTAGGGGGGAAAACTGGTTGTTAGTAATGTAGATTGATGACCCTACTGCTAGCAATGTACTATGTCAGGCTGTTAGGCAGGCGCGGTTCCCTCTGGAAACCATCATGACACATTTCTGGTAATTTGCTAACTGACCTAACCTCATATTTATCTTATCATCCTCCGCTGGTGCCTCGCCAGCGTAAACCGATAACACAGGCGGGTGCACCATTCTATTAACATCCAATAAAGAATAATACACTAAAAATATAATACACTAATATATAACACTAAAAAAAGGAATATACACACCGGAATAAAACACAGGCCTGTATGTCGTGACATGAAAAGCGGCAGATATTACTTTACAATCAAATTAAATAAAAAATAGGTAGACTTTATATAAAGTCGTCTATGTACCTGTATCTACTGATTAACAACTTGATTTGTAGCTGCGTTTTAATGGTGAGATATGGAAGTGAAATTACAGAGTATGGAGGCATATCACAGTCCTCAGCAATAGCAACACAAGAGGCATCAGGTAACAACGTGATGTCTACTGTATATATGTGATTATTACCACTTACCAATAGACGGGGCGTGAGCTTGGTTACCATTCTGTTATATAAAATACTAGCTGTGCCTGCGACTTCATCCGCGTGGAATTTAAGTTTATTTTTCTAAAAAAATATTTTTTCTAAAATAAAAATAGCCTAAGTTAGTAATAAAAATAGCCTCCTTATTACATCAGCTACCTGCCAATAAAGGTCCCGACAAAATTGGTTCAGCCATTTTAGAGATTAGCCAGAACAAACAGACACAAAAACTTTATAAAATGTTATTTTGTTGTATGTCCCGTATTTATATTCATATGTATATAGTAAAAAACGGTTACTTCAATATTACAAACAGACACTCCAATTTATATGTATAGACTAGCAAACACGCATAACTTCGTTTACGCCAAATTTTCCCCGTTTTTGCAACATTTTTTACTGCAGCTCCTCTGCCATTTCACGCAATGCGTGATATTATATAGCTCCCTCAATAAAAGGGCTATCCAACACTAGAATTTTCAATTATTGGTACAGTAGATCCAGATATTATCTTCTACAACCTCACAAACTGTGTCTACCTATGTATATAAATATAGAAAAATAACCGATTTAGTAATTTGGTTATCATAATTATTTATATCAACTTGAGTCAAGTCTATTTTTGTTTATAATCATATAAATAGAAATAGAATTGTTAATTTATTATTAATAGATTCTTGTGTTATTGAAAATCATGTTGGTTGCACATTTTATTTTGGTTATGCATAGTATTGTACACCTTTTCTTAATTTTTTTAATTCATTATCTTTCACGTAGGGTTGTTAAACTAATATTATAAATGCGAAAGTAACTCTGTCTCTCTCCCTCCTAACTGTCTGTCTGTCTGTGTGTCTCGCTTTCACGCCAAAACTACTGAACCGATTTAAATGAAATTTGGTACACAGATAGTCTAGACCCTCAGAAAGGACATAGGCTACTTTTTAACGCGAATAAAGGATTGTAAGGAGTTGAAAAGGGAGATCAAGGATTGTATGGAAGTATTGTCATTTTTAAAACTAGAATCTAGAAACTAATTTTTTAGGCTGTTCATTAAATACCTACTATAAATATAACTAAGTTTGTAAAATTGTTACCCTTAAGGGGATAAAAAATAGGGGATGAAAGTTTGACTAGAAAATCGTAATTTTTTAATCTCATCATTGCAGCCCGGAAGACGTCCACTGCTGGACATAGGTCCCACCCAAAAAAACGTCCACGACGAATTTTTTCAATCTATAACGAGGAATCTTTTTTCTTTTTTTGGGTTAGATTATTAAATATTTTTTCTATATTTGGTCAAGGTCACTATAACACGCGGTCGTATGCGATCATAGCTAGTAATAGAATATAACAAATGAAGTTATTAATATTATTATTATAGCGTCTCTTAACAATATTTAAAAAGGGTACAATGTCATACACATGTTTATAGAACGAATAAATTTTGATTTGCTCTCTTTTTAACTTTTTCATTGATCTTCGAGACCTACCTTATTAGTAATACAGATGTAGGTGTTGTTCTCTTTGACATTATTATATTTTAATTATTTACACCGTATTTGTAATGTAAATCCTTATAAATAACCTTTGCTGTTGCAGATATAATGAATGCGGCCACTGAAGACGATCTTAACAATATATTATATAACCTTTCTATGGAGAAGCCGATTAACAACTCAGTTATATGGGTGGTTTGGAAGCCCAAGGTATTTTTTGATGGAAAATATATATTTTTTTATTTCAGGCTACTAATAGGCCTATTTTAGAAAAATAAATTCCACGCGGACGTAGTCGCGGGTGCAGCTAGTATACAAAATGACTTTATATAATTCATTGACATCGGAATATATGTAATATCATTATACTATAAATATATTTAGGTGTTATTTTGTACCACCGAACAGTCAACACTAGGTTTCCAAACTGTATGCTAAAAGAAAAACAAAAAACAATTAGAAAGTTAATTCAATCAAGAAATGCTATCAAAATTGAAATGAAATGCAAAATAATTAAAACTCTTTATTGATCCTTTCAATTTGTTAATAGGATGAGAATATGTGGAAGTTCAGCATAAGGAGCACAGAGCGTGCTCGGTATGTGAGCAGCACAGAGAGCACAGAGTACCCGAATCCTCATCTGCGAGCTGGTTTCCTGGGTGTGCAGACGGCTGTCAGCCAGGCAGTTCTAGAGCACGTTAGTCCCACGATACCTATGTACGAGGTTTGTTTGATACTGACATTCCCTGGTAGTCCCGTCAATTCGTGACCACGGTGAGGTCACCGTGGTCACGAATTGACGACTAGGTAGTCGAAAGGGGGAAAGAGGATTATTAGTAATGTGGATTGATGATCTTATTGCTAGCAATGTACCGTATTAGGTAGATCTCCACGCGGTTTCCCCTGGAAACCACCGTGATAAGGCCCATTGATTTTTTTATAGCAACCGTAAGTACCAAAAATGTAAAGGAGCAGTGTTTGTACGATATATATTTAATTAATATATATGTTTTTGTGCGTAGTACTGATATTAACGACGTATTTATTAGTCCCTTTGTTTGTGTGTTTGTGTACGCTGATCTCAACGTATTTGTATGAGACTCTCATTAATGTATTGTTAGAGGTGACCACAATATTTAGTGTTTCTTTTCTTAAGTAGGTTTACAATTACAGAATTATAAGTTACTGTTTTTTTTAATATCATGCGTACAAAGTCGCGTGCACAGCTAGTATGTACCATTGAGGAATAACGTCTTAGTCCACAAAAATGGCAATCCAGTATATTTTGTGATGTTTATGATGCTGCTCATGAATATAATAGACGGTCTCTGTGGTCTAGGGATTAAGTACACCGCTTTACTTTCGATGGTAGCGAGTTCGATTCTTCGCACGGTACAAACATTTGTATTAATTACGTATTTATAAAAAAATGTATTTCAGGATTAGTATCAGTTACCTAGTATCTATAACACAAGTTCTACCTAGCTTGGGACTAGATGGCGCTGTGTAAATTGTCCAGTTATTATTACTACATAAGCAACAATTGCCATATCCTATCAATTAACCTATAGGTGTCTATGACATTATAAAATAATAAGACTATATCATCAAGGCAAGATAAGATATAATTAATTAAAAACAAAATGTATGGTTTCTAGTAAGAATTTCTCGTATAAAATATATGTCAAATGAGGTGCGGCGATAACACCGCAAAATAATTGTAACAGCGCATCTAATCAGCATGGTCACGTACATAATACATCAATGGCTGACAACCTGTTTACGCGGTTATCATTGACGGCAATGCGTCATCTTGTTTACAAGCAATGAAGTGTAAAATATTTTGCTATATAGTTTATGTCAAGAGTTTAAAATATAACCTGTTTAATATCAATATTTAACAATAAAATAAGTAGATATTGGGCCACGGTCTCTTGTATTAAGATGTATATTAAATCTCAATTACATTAAGTTACATATAACTTCGTATACCTAAGTAAGTATATGCGGTTCTCACATTTCAGTTTTAATATTCATATGTTTATATATGTTCATATCCATATGTTTATACTGTACATGTCTTTATATAATATATGTTTAAAAATATTATTTAATAAAATAAATACTAATTTTACTTCTAAAATAAGGTAAAAACGTTAGTGCTTGAAATCAGGAATAAATTTTTTTATTAATCGACAAAAGAATTATGCAAATCTAAATAATCTACTGGTAAAGGCTATAACAGAATAACAGAGAGGGTGGACTCACTGTGTCCACTGAGCTATAGACCGTTTTGTCTCCTTCATTACTTTTATATTTTATTATTGTATGGGCAGTAATTGTATTAGTTTTTGTTTGAGACAAGTAAAGATGATTATTATTATTATTATATTATAAGTTGTAGTGTGTAAGATAAATATAAAAAAATGCAATCGTATTGAGAAAACCTTCCTTTGGTTAGTCGGTGAAAAAAACAATTGCGTATGTCATGATGTTGATTAAAAAGCCCTAAAATTTCTTATTGTATGTATAATGTTACATTTTATACATGCATTTTTATTAATAACGTTAAAAGTACAACAACAAATTATTTAAACAAAAAGTATGCCGAAACCCGGGATTGAACCGGGGACCTTTAGATCTTCAGTCTAACGCTCTCCCAACTGAGCTATTTCGGCGGTGGAGATGTTACTGAAAATATGAAACACTTCAGATTACGTCACTAGTATCAGCACAGTATGTACTAATAAGTACCTACTTTCTGGCGATCAATCAAAACTTACTATTATCATCATATGAATTCTGGTAATACAATCAACATTTATCATTTACCAAATAATCAGTTCAATGCAACAGCATACCTAACTTTATTTTTTACTAGCTGTCCCGCGCAACTTCGTCTGCATCACACTTACTTGATATTTGTCATTATATTTTGCCCAATTTACATAATATCTTACTAAATTATAGCCTAAGTGTTATTCTGATGTATGAGCTATATTATTGTAAAGTTTCATTAAAATTCATTCAGTACTTTTTGTGTGAAAAAGTTATTATATATACATATATAACAAATATCCATCCATACGCACAACCTTTCGCGTTTATAATATTAGTAAGATAATTATTGCAATTTTTTAAGTTTTTTCTTTTCATTTTGTGTGTATGTATATTATAATGTTTATTGTAATTGTACCTACATATATGTCGTGTGTTTAAGCACCTACCGAATAAATACCATTGCATTTCTTTTCACCTATTAGTATTGAAAAGACATACCTTAAGAAATGTTTTTATTTTTATATTTAGGTAATTGGGAAAATAGCATCGTAATTTGAAGGATTTTAATTAAAACGCCTGCTTTAATTAAATATTACTCATATATAGATATTATTATGTAGAATTCTTATAAAGACTATCTGTTATTGTAAAAAGTCGTATGAAGCACCCAGTCTCATCTTCTAATGTGTTACGGATATATATTAGCTAGTTGACCTGATTTATTAACTAGTTGTGGACCCCTGTCAAACGTCGTTTTGCCATATAAATTGAAGTGCTTATATCGCGATTAAAAAATAGACGTTGATGGTATAAGGGTAAAAACTTAGAGTTGTATTTTTAATACCGAATCATAGAATATATGTAAAAAAATTGTCTAAAACGTGTTCCACTATTATTTGAAAAAAATACGAGCTGAGTTTCTTGTCAGTTCTTCTCATCTCGATATCATTCCGAACTGACGGTAGATTTGACATATCATAAGAGTCTGTAATAGACCTACATGAATAAAGATATTCTGAATTTTGAATTTGAATTTTGAAAAATTGAAAAATTGGAGTGTACCGCCATATTACGTCATATAGACTTGACAGACTTACTGAATTTAGTAAAAATAACACAAGATTGAATAAAAATAGGTCAAGCAATTTCGGAGGAGTTTTGCTACAAATACTGTGACACGAGAATTTTATATACTAAATATATATGTATATACATATATATGTCAATATTTATATGATGAATAGTTTTAAAGCAATAATAGAGAACATAAAATAAAATATAATAAATTATAATATCGCGTTTTAGGATTTGGTCGAGTTTAAATTTATTCAAAGTTAATGGGATTTATATGGCTATCAATGGATATTGGTATAACAGGTGTTCAGTGGGTGAAATGGTAATGGTATATGGTGAATTGTAACGTGTTTATGGCAGTGATAAATAACTTCCGTGCGAACAACAGCCAGTTTTCTTGTTTTCTTAATTAATGTCTGCCTAGCTCAAACAGCGGCCCGTATGTTATACTTAAATTATATTTTTCACCTCAGTAATGTAAGCTGTATGTAAAATCTTATACCTATATAAAATTCTCGTATCACAATGTTAGTTACCATACTCCTTCGAAACGGCTTGATCGATTTTTATGAAATTTGATATGCATATTCAGTAGGTCTGAGAATTGGTTACTATCCATTTTTCATTAAACATTTTTTTTTATCATTGGTAAATCTTTTATTTTTTTATATTGTGGCATTAAAAAATACGTACAACCCTAAGTTTTCACCCATCTATCACCAACCCCTATATTTTTTAATAGCAAAACAAGTAACAATAAAAAAGGCGATACGGTTATCGTATCGATTTGTTTTAACTCAACCATTATTTATTGTAGACCTCAAGGAGAAAGGGATTGTTAGTAATTTGAACTATATGTTTAGGTATGATAAAGTCGAATTCCACGTGGTCTTCTTGGAAACCATCCTGGTCAATTCCTTTTGAATGAAAAAGTCCAGTCGTTTGAATCCCCTCCTCTCTCCCTCTGACCCTCGTACTTACACACCGTGACTGACTACGCCAGTCAGGAGTGAAATACTATAATTGTAAATATAGAATTATACCTTTGTATGTCCAATAATATTAGCCCAAACCCCCCAATAAAAAAAAATCAATTAAATTGTAAAAAATGCACATCATTTTGTCCCGTTGTGTTTAGAAAGACTGAGCTACCCAAGCTTCTATATTTTATGTGTCTCATTTATATGGCATCCCATAAACCTTTCGTTCGTACTAAAATGGTAAGTTAATGTCATTATTATTATAACTGAATCATCAAGTTATATAGCAATTTTATAACAGGTACTGTTACGAGTTACGGTTTCAGTAAAGACTCGCTTTATTAGGTTTGGTCCGAACGGCTCGTACTGGCGCGGCGACACCGTTCGTATGGCGCATTTCTTGCTACTTTCCGTTTTCTTTGAAATGCGTTAATAGAACGGCTTTTTTTGGAACGGACCGTCCGGATTATCTGATTATTAGCCCACTTTTATTTGTGTTTTGTTTTATTTACTTGGAATATATATATGTATATATAAATAAATAAAATTATTGTTCAAATAAAAAAAATATGGATTGTATGCCATCCACTTATGGGTATAAAATTTTAGCAAAATCGATTAAGTCGTTTCGATATATATTAATTTAACTATCCATCCTACACATATTAATAATTATCTCATCCAATATTTATCCATTAGCTAAGCCTCGTGTCAATGCCAGTATCTCCATTGATGCAAGAGTATCAGGTACGAAAAACCATATCCGGGATTCTGCTGATTTTCACCGTGGCTCTCATACCTCCCGTGCTTGACACTCAAGCCCTCGTCGTGAAGGAAACACTAAGCCGATTAAAGGTACTAATGTTAATTTTACAGTTTGAATATACATCTACACATATAACTAAAATTGGAGTGTCTGTTTGTAATATTGAAATAACCGTTTTTATTACATGCATATGAATATATATACGGTACATATACCAAAATAACATTTTTTATAATTTTTGTCTGTCTGTCTGTCAGTCTGTCGGTCTGTTTGTTCCGGCTAATCTCTGAAATGGCTGGACCAATAATCTTATATCAGGAATGTTTGTTATATAAAAGAAGGAGTAAAGGAACCCCAAATAGCGCTCGTGACTTGTGAAACGGGTTAAATGCATTAACACTCACTTTCGCTACCTGCGGCATACTCCTCGTCCCAACTAAATCTGGGAAATATCCGTCAATGCCTCCAATATGCACAATTGCATTTCTCTTATTTATCTGATAATAATCGCTCTAACCTTCAACTCTCGCTACGTCAGGTCAATCCATCCAACACTCTAGTTGTCAATGTTACAAAGATTATTTAGGTACCGGCCTCTGCCGTTCCGTTAGGTTCCGTTCAGGTTATTCTAATGTATGAGCTGAAATATTGTAAACTTTTATTAAAATCCATTCCGTAGAAAAAGTAACAAACATCTATCCATCCACGCTTACAAACATTCGTGTTTATAAGATTTGTAAGTTGAATAATGTTTAATTTCTTTTATCCATTAGCGTGCATTTCGCATACGACACGTGGATTACTCTTCAGTATACGTCGCCTGGCTGGTCTACGCTTATTTGACAGCTTTCCCGATCTGCCTCCTTGGTGCCATTACGCTGATCCTCATATTCAGATGGATCCACCTTGTCTATGCCCTGCTGATACTGCTCGCGTATGTGTCCGTGATGATAATGCTGGCTCTGATCAATGCTATGTTTCATAGCAAAGGTTTGTCTAAGTTTCGCTACAGATAAAATATTAACTTGTACCAAGAACATATTGTGGTAGTCTCAACATAAAGTAAACCCGTTTGATAAGAAAAATCGAGAAAGGTAAGTTGCACACAATAAAGTAAAACTCAAAATTATTTATTAATACGACATAGGACCTTTTAGCACCATTATATTTTGAATCACTAACCCTACCGTTCAGTTCTGCTAGTTGAATTTTTTGCCAGTTCTTCTTAATTTTAGTAGATAATTGTGAAAAACTGGCAACGAATTTAATTGTCATGTTTTTACTCAATTTATAAATATAGCCGAATTGAAAACGTGTTTTGTACACATATGGACCTTAACCTAAATTAAAAAAAATATTTTTTTAATGTTACGTGAACAATTAAAAAAATATGTGAATCACATGTACGTAGTAAGATAATTTTTGAAAACAATTTTGTTTCAGCGTCCATTGCCTGTCTATGGAACATCATGTTTACATTACTGCAGATGTTCCTAGCAGAACTATTGGTGCACCATAAATATAATTTGACGTATGGTCCTCTCGCGTTCCTACTCCACGTGGTGCTTCCACCATTGGGACTTGTGCACGCCTTCAATCAATTCGCACTTTTGCAAACTGGACGTTAGTTTAATGACATATAATTTTTTTTTTCTTTAACATACCCAAAATGTAAGATTCGACTTAAGAACCGAACCGAAAGGCATTCCTTACGAAATAGTTACTATAACAATTGCTACAGGTGGTGCTACCCTCGGCGATAAATATTCGCTTCTATATACTGTAGGCTCTTGGACGTTTATAAATGCACTTTATTTCGCATTGTTGATGATGTTACAACGAACTATTGGACAGGAGAGAGCTATAGGCGGTCAGGTGTCATGGAAGTCTATAATATTTAAGAAAGTTGAGGTAATTACAGTTATTTTCTGGTTCAGTATTTTCTTTCATTAATTTATATACTTTCAATAATAGTATTGCCTTAAAGATACTTGTACATTGTGATATTTTTCGTGCCATTAATAAACTTAATTAATTTAGGATGTCAATAAACTGCACCATATCGAAACACCGACTGGTAGAGAAAGAGAAAAGTTACAAGAAGTAGATGAATTGGTTGCTAAAGCCATAAGTTTCCGCAATGTTTCTAAGGTATACAATATTTTTATTTCCTACAAGGTATATAATAATAGAAATACTCATATGTATATTGCAATTATTAATGGCGTATTGGTATCTTCACATTCACATAGATATAAAAGCCGGTTTGTCGTTGTAACATACTTTATGGAAAAAATAATAGATAATTTATATGGTTTCATTTTCAATGTCTTGCAGAGCATAATGAATGTACCCGTTTTAAAAAAGATCACATTAGATATTTACCGTGGTGAGTTCACAATATTGATGTCGGAACGGGTTGAAGAAAAAATGCTTAACACTATTGAAGACTTGTTGACAGGTCCGTAAAATAATATTATTTCCAAAAAATGTAATTTATAAAGACTGGAAATTGTACGCGTCAGTCTCCCTAAAACTCAATAAAGATGATAAAATAAAACTTGTTTAAAAAATATGTTTAAATTTAGATTAGCTTTCTGTTTTGTTTAGTCCATGTCTACTTTAGGAGTAGGTAGACCTTGAACAAATTATTCTGCATGGATACTTACCTACCAATCTTAGCTTGTATGATATATTTCGGTTTAATGTGTTTGTCATTTTGCATTGCCATGTCTCATAGTCTCGGCACGAAGTATTATCCTGAACTAACGGCATCTACAGCTTCTCCAAAATATTTATTTTCATATTATTCTCAGCTTCATGTTATATAGCGTTATTGACTATATACCTGTATTAGGATTGACACACGCTGATGAAGGTACGATTAACGTACTCGGAAAGATACTGAAACCTGGCAAAAATTACATGATCGCTCCTAACATGATGGGTTATTGTCACCGATGCGATGTTGTTATTGAAGATTTGACTGTGGAAGAGCATCTCATTCTATTTGCTGAGGTTTGAGGTTTAAATGGCTATCCATATGTTCAACATTGATTGGCTGATGTATAAAATTACTATATTTACAAACTGAAATTTTGAATATAGACTAATTTAATGATGTATCTTTTAAGAAAGGACGTAACTTACTCGGGAACAAAATTAAAGGGTTTCACGTGACAAAATTATGTAATAGTTTAGATTCTATCCCACGTGAAGTCATATATCTGTTTCTGCGGTTAAGTAGTTGGAAAGATACAGTAGTGAAATTTTTGTATATAGACGACGATTATCCGTTTCAATTAAGTGGGCCGTCAGCTGGTTTTCCATTATACATACAAAGTAGTTACATTAAAACTCTCTCACTTGAAGGAATGTAATAAGTTCCAAGTCAGAGAATCATATGATTATAATAAGTTATCTCTTAAAGAAGAAGAAATCCATATTATTAACAATCCCATTAATACGAAGTTTTAATCGAATTACTAACAATGTATTCTAATAGATCAACGTCCACGCGTTCTCCCTGGAAACCATCGTCGTTCAATCCTTCTTAATATACCTCGATGAGCTAACAGACCCAACTTCATGTTCATTCTATCTTACTTCACTGCTGACTCACCCACGTGTACCTTTAGCAACAATATTCCGTATTCATCCATTACTTGAAATCAAATTGTACATATATTTTACAGTTATGTTTATGGAATGAGTCGAAACAATATGTGACCGAATATGTACATATGCGCTGTAAAAGTCTATTCGAGGAGTGCCACCTGGATCAAGTGAGGTACGAGTACGTGAAGCACTTGGACGTCTACTACCGTGCACAGTTGTGCTGGGCGATAGCTGTGCTATTGGAGCCACGGGTAAGTATTACTTTAGCTGAGAACTTGGCCATAGATTCACTTTATCTAATGCTTAGCTTCATTTTATCTATGCTTTATTAACACACTTCTAATTGTCTAGGTGATTATTATACCATACTTTATTGACCAACCGCGGTACATATCGGTCATTAAGCATAAAATAATGGTAACTATTTCTGTTGATTTAAAATTATTATGCCATTTTATAATTGAATATTTATGTTATTGTAGCGTGCAAATTTCAAGTTTCATTTCTTTTCGAGCTTGTATAATATTATCAATATAATAATAACATAGTTCTTCTCAACTGAAGTCGAAGTAGACTGTAGGGATGGAGATAAAAAATATGACGTGCCTAAGAAAGATTGTGAATGTGAATAAATTATTTTGTCTTTGATCCAAACTTTGTATCTTTTGTATCTGGCGCTCGAAATTTTAAGGCGTAAAACTTTATACAATAGTTACAAAAGTTAATATTTACAGCAATATAAGAAATATGTAACCATAGTCAAGATGGGACATTCTAGTTTGCAATTAGAATATGCTGACCGTGTGTTTCACTTTGACAACAAACTCCTCGTTTTTGGCGGGACACCAGCTTATATGTTTTTTAAATATGGTAAGGTCTGAACTTCAATATTATATATATATATTTTTCGTGGATGTTGATAGTGTTATTTTAACACTACAAAGGCAAGCCACCTGTGGTAGATGGTAGAATCTTCGGACAGTTACACTCTCGACCCTGAAATCAGGTCAGCACCACCAATCACCAGCAACCATAATGATTGACACTGATTGCACATAGAGAGGCATTGTATGAAACCTCAGAATTTTGGCATAATGATGAACTGACGGGTTTGTCCTAATATTTCTCAAAATATTTTGTTTAAAAATACTTTGTTATTATATCGTAGAGATTAAAATTTTAAAAACATACTCCAACGAGAGAAATTAAAGAACATTCTAAGAAATAGTCAATGTTTCTTAGAATGTTCAATGTTCAATGTCAATATTCTCTCCTATACCCATAGCTAGTATATATATCGTCACAGATAACATAATATTCATGCTATCGCTAAATATCATCTTAATTGCAAAATAGATACTCGTAATATTTCAATGCTGTGTAAATAATAAAGCAATGTCCAAAGTCACTGTCCTCAATTAACAAAAAACACATTTACAAGTTCCCAATTAGTAAATTCTCATCATTCAAGTCTAATAGAACAACATAACAACATTCTGCTTTTAAAAGCCATTTATTTTTCCATTTTAATATGCAACTAGATAATATAGATCAGGGCTATCTACTATGTTCTAAAGTATTGAAAATTTAGAGGTTACAGAAAAATTTTAGTGTGTAAAAGTAAGCTTTGTTAGACAATATAGCTACTCTTGTTGTCCTCAAATAAAACAACGTTTTATGTGTTTGAAATATTTGCAAGTAGTAAATATAATGTATCTATACAAAACTGCACTCGTACTTTGTTAGAGGCTGTTATCGACCCTTTTAAAAAAATAAGTTTCTTTTGTCATTTGTAGTAAGACATTAAATCTATTTTCTGATAAAAAATATCTATTTTCACATATACCAAAACGTAACTGTATATTATTGTTTGTTGACTTCTGGAAATTTCATCACCAGAAAATATTTTAGACTAAAAATAATACATTAAATTCATTATCTGTTAAAATATTCTAAAAAGAATATCACTCTACTTTTGTTTTGTAATACAACAATTTAAAATCTATTTTTAAAGTAAACTTTCCTAAAGATGACAACTTATCAACGTTATATATACTGTATAAAAATAGATAATAACTCTTTAGTTATTATATAATATGGCACAGCCCTATATTTTTTATAAAATAACCGATTTATTTAACATATTTGTAAGCTTAATCAAGATATAGGTATACTAGTATAACTAAACTATAAAAAATGTGATCACTCTTATCGTGTTTCAGCTAACTCGTGAAAAAATGAGGGAAGCTAATATTTTTTGGGTATATACTTGTAAGGAAGTATCTACGAAGTGAATTCGTGGACTTAAGGTGTAGTCAAAACAACTTGATAGATTTTAATGCCTGACATGTCGATAGATTTTCCTAATTGTGACAAATGTCACAGTATGAAGGTAGTGGTCATAAATTATAAAATTCGTACTGTTGGTATTAAAAAAATATTATAAGCTACAACTGTAATGGCCTACCTATAATTAAAATTGATGGCAGTTCCGTTGACCACCTGGTCTATTTATTTAATTATCGTTACATAGTATAACATAAAGTCGCTAGCGCTATCTGATTTTATTACGCAACGGATTTGAATGCAGTTTTCAACAATAGATAGAGTATTCAAGGGAACATTTTTATGTATAATACATGCGTATTATACAGTATAGTATATAACAATCTGAGAAATTCAAAGATTTATAATGCATCCGTGCGAAGCTGGGACGTGTCGCTAGTATATTTATAAACTCTATTGCACCAAATATGTGATACAATAATTATATATACAAAATACTTAAGGTACAAAAGGCGGTCGTATCTCTCAGGAAATCTCTTCCAGACAATCTAAGGAATCGTTAATCAACCCTATCATTTGTATCCCTGCTGTATAGGTCGAGATTACCGTGTACGCATGACGTTCCAAAGTGGTGGCAGCATTGACAACGAAAATATATCTAGTTTGTTGGAGCGCGCTGAACAGTCTGGCGCTACCGTGAGAGCTCATCTTGGATCACTTCTCATACTGCAACTGCCGGCCACACCCACGGCACATGTGGCAGCTTTGGTCAAAGATCTAACTGACAATGCAAATGTATATGGCATGACGTCATTTAGCATCAGCGTACCGGACTCCGAGGAGGTTTGCAGACGGTAACATATTTGCTAATTTCCCGCTTTCTCATTAATGCAATTTGTTAATAAATTGTAAATAATATTTGAAGAGACTGACTTTAAAAGATCATAAGTTGAGTTCCTTTTAAATTCTTATGAACTGTTTCTTAAACAGAACGCAATCAAGCCTACATCATTTGGAATAATAATTTTGGCATTATATTTCGATAACACTGCAAGTGCTTACAAATGTACATATGGTTCGTTCTGATAAGAACAGTAAATTTAAAATTTTGTGACATTAAAACTAAAACTTACAGATCACACAATATAATTTACTTACTATTGCTATTAAGTATTGTGTTTATTCTTCTGATTTAATGTTATATTCTGTACTGTATATTGTACTTATAATATAATAATAATAATAAATACCTATATATTATATCTAATAAGATGAATAATTCATTTTAATTTTTACTTTACTCTTGCTATAGGTACGTATAATATTTAATAAGAATTAAATCCATTTCAAATATAACAATGTTTTGCCATTTTCGTGAAAAATGTTCAAATTAAGAAAGTAGTCAGAAAAAGTCAAACATTTCAATAAATTACGAAAGATATTAAACATTTGTCTTCTTCTTAACTAAGTGGTTATCAATAAACATATTTTATGTATCAGGGCTGTAAAGGAATCGAGATTAACACAGCACGACATTACTGCAATACGTGATGGAAGCTCAGTAGCACTGAAAAATATTTCAGGTAATTAGTTACTTGCGAATATAATCTGAAACAGAGTAAATTAGCCTCGAGAGCAGCTTGCTACGTTTCCGTCGAATAGTGAGATATGGCAGTTTAATTACAAGGAATGGAGGCACGACACGTTAGTCTACGGAGTCACATGATGTTTGTCATTTTCAAACATGGTGGTAGGCCAGCTTGTATACCATTCCAATTACATAAAAATAATCAATTTTAAATTGTAACCTACCGCATTGTAATGATTAAAGGGAAAAACCGCACTAAATATTTGTCTCATACATGTTCCAATAACATGTAATAGTATAATATTACATGTTATATATATTAAATATGTATTAATAGCGGAATTAAACAAAATAATATAAATCTAATTCAATCAAACTGGATAATATGCCCAGTTTTATTTAAGTTATAATTTTAGTCACGTAATTTTATAACAGAACCTCGGCGATGGAAACGAACCAGCACATTGTTTACAAATATAACTCAATTGAGAGCAATTGGATGGAAATATTGCTCGTTCTACATACACTTCAGATTTTATTTGATTGTCACGGTTAGAATGTTTTGGTTTTATTTATTTTGGATTACATTTGTCATAGGTATTTATTGCCTTTTTGTTTTGAGCTAAAGAATTAATAATAGCATTTTGTTCTAGTTTCTGCTTTAAAGATGTCATTGCGAACGAGATTGTTTTCATAAATAATTTAGATGGTTAATAAAAATAAAATCCTCTTATTTCAACTAACATTTACAGTCTATGTTGTATTAAATTTATACAAGTATTTGATGGAAATATTTGCTCGTTCTTTAGTTTCGATTTTATTATATTGATCACGGTTCGAATGTTTTGGTTTTATTTATTTTGGATTACATTTGTCATATGTATTTATTGCCTTTTTATTTTGAGCTAAAGAATTAATAATAGCATTTTGTTCTAGTTTCTGCTTTAAAGATGTCATTGCGAACGAGATTGTTTTCATAAATATATTTAGATGTATTTAATAAAAAAAAATATCTTATGTATTTAACATTTTATCTATGTTGTATTAAATTTATACAAGTATTTGATTTAGTATTTGCTTTTTTAGTTTCGCTTTATTATATTAATAGCTTAGCTTAATATTATTTCAAACTGATAATATTTCTAACACGTAGTTTTTCATATCAGGTAATATCTGCTGTGGTTGCTGGTGTGTTTATTGGATTGTCTTTGTCTACTATGTTGTTTCATTTGGAGAAGAATCGTGGCGCTGAAAAAATGCTACATGGCGAGGTATTTAATTATATGTATAATACTAGCTGACCCGGCAAACGTAGTTTAGCAAAAAATAGGGGTTGATGGTAGATGGTATTTTTTAATCTCGAATCATAAAAAGAAATATATTTTCAATAATAAAAAAAGGGGTTGAACCACCCGTATCATTCAGGGTTACGTAAATTTATACTAGGAGATAGCTAGGGGAAAGTAGATTTTGTGCAAAATTGTCTGATTACGTTTGCAGTTTGCAACCTCTGAAATCAAAATAACTTTATCCATGTAAGTCTATTACAGACTATTATGATATATCAAATCTACAATCCGTTCGGAGTGCTTTTGAATTAGAATTGCTAATAACAACTGACAAGAAACTCGGCTCTTATTCTTTTCAAATGAGCTTGCATAGTTGTTGATTGTTGATTACAAAATACAATTCGATTAGGGAGAAAATAGTGACCACCAACTGCATATGCTATTGCATATTTAACAAAGTTAACATATTCAGTTCAACTATCAAGTTATTGGCTTGAGGTCGCAACAAATATATGAAGTGTAATTCTTTTTTCTGTATTTTAATAATCGTATATTAAAAATTATGTAGGTACTTACTGTAGAGGCATTAGATCGCAAGACAACACTGGTACTACGTGCAGACAATTCTACAGCTGCCAGATCTATTGCAAAGGGGTAAGTTTGTTTATTCATTTTGAATTGGTTACAAATATCTTGGATAATATATATTCAGTAATATTTCGAGTATCCAAATTTAAATCATTATTGAACTTTTTGCGCAGGTACATTTGACCCTAACGATTGTAATAATATCCATCTGGATTCGACTCACTTTTACAAAATCAATCAATAATACCACAGATAAAAGAATATTTATTAAAATATAACTTGATATCTACAATCTGGATTAGTTATAAGTAAACATATTAATACCGTAAATTCAAAATTTAATATAGATATTAATTTTAAAAAATATATACTCTGTATATGTTAACGAGGTCAGTAATATACTTTTTAGAATTTCCTATCTATGTAATTTAGAATCCATGCGTTGCTGTGACAGAAATTGGTATTTTTCTTTTATTATTAAAATCGTAGACAAAGTATTTTTTAAAGAATCATTATTTTAATTTTTTTAATACGTATTACACCTATGAGCACAGATAAGATAATATTACATACATATATGGGTGAATTGAAAAGTAATATAATAAAGTGTTGTATACTGCACTGGCTAATCAGAAATGTAATATTTATTATTCTAAATATGTATTTAAATTTAAAGTTCTTTTTTTATACATTCTTGTTTATACTTCAATGTCTTGACAATCGTTCATAATTTATATATGCGTATCTCCGTATTCCATGTCTTTTACTGTATTTTTTTACCCGTATTCTCGTAGACATAAAATAAAACTACAACAGAAAGAAAGGTCATTGATTTTATAATAGGCGCTCCATATAAAATTATTACCGAGTAACGCAGCCTTATGATTGATGTAATGCAGACAAAAAGAAATTAATAAACGTCATTTTGAAAAGTGCGATGACCATTGGAGAACTCGTGAAATAATCGGTTCAATGACCTTAAACCTTAAATCGTATGACGTATTTTACTAAATGATTACTTTAATACACTCGTAATAAGATACAGACAGGCCACAAATATTCGTCTATAGACATGTGTTAAAATGAGATATCTATTTTTTTTCTTTTGTAATAGCTTGGCACTTGGTCCAATTGCCAACATTAAAGAGAGATATCTAAATAGTTAATTTCACTGAAATTGTATCATTACTCTATGGTAGGTATACGTAATTTGTACTATTGAAGATATTTAACAATGTATTTTAGCAATTTCTGCTTTCCGCTTTATTTTTATCCATTAATTAATTTGTGCTATACACAAAATTATAATCTAAAGAAATAAGTGACTTTTTAATTTATATATGTCTCAATAAGCGATTTTCAGAAATTTTCAAGGCACTATGGTATATCACGTTATTAAGAATTTAGCGCGTAAACAATATATGTACATAGAATCGGAAGCAGAGAGCTCAACCTGATTATGTTGAACTATTGTACCGATTTGTTAGGTATATATTATATTTTAGTTATTTACAAATAAAATGTGATTTACTCTTTATTCCAGTTATGTTTTATCTCAAACAAAAGCGAAGGAAAGTGAAATAGAAGACATCATGTATACAGCTCTGACGCACACTGAGGTTAGATTTTCTGTTTTTTATCTACAACTGTGTCATTTCTAAGATCTAATTAAAAAAATATTACATAGTATAAAATAAGGTTGCTTGTCACTTATGAGTATCTTTTAAACTACGCAACGGATTTTAATACAGTTTTTAGCAGTAGACAGAGTAATTCAACAGGCAGGTTTATACTCGTACGTACAATATTTGTACACCCGTGCAAAGCTGGGGCAGGTAGCTAGTAATATCATAAAATTGGGTTCGATAGTTACGCATATAATTATATATGTAGCATATGTATACCATATGCTACATATATAATTATATGCGAACCCTAAGGACAAGTTATAATTTAAAATTATATTTTTTATATCCTGACCATGCAGGAATAATAATATAATTCCACGCAGAAAAAGTCGCTGGACACAATAAAATTACAATAAGTTAAGGCTTAATAAAATTTGTGATATTACATTGTATTGTGAGGACAGATAAAAGCTGTGTTTTATTTCAAAAATATCTAGAAAGGGATGGAATGAGACATAGGTACAGATGTATTCGCGGCTACCACATTCCGTAAAGATTCTTATAAAAATAATAGTTTTTTTTTATTCCTGTTGCAGAGTCTCACTGAGTATTTAGTTACTAGAGCCATAGACTCGCCCCAGCAGTACGTATACATGTATGCTTATGGTATGGACGTCACAACTGATGCAACTGGCTCATTGATTGTTAGTAGGAAAAAAATTGTCAGTCTGAATAAGTTCCTAACATCTAGAATTCTTTTTTTAACCATTCTAATGCTGTTGGTTGCAATGTTTACAGCTTTATAGAACGATATGGGAGACGATTGCAGATAGCACTCTAAATCTGCGGTAGAACTTATGGAGCGGTTGAAGGGCACCTCCTATTAGACGGATACGACTTTAGTCTGAGAGCATCGCTAGTGCGTCGAACCTTGGCTCAGGCCGTCTAAATTTTGATCCCAGTTTGAATGGAACGGGCGATGAGTTTTTAACAGTAAAAAGGATAGCAAACGGCCAGTTTGATGTTAAATATAGAAATGGACATGTGTAATATTACTTTATTGCACAATCTAAGTTTTAAGATAACCTTATGTTTTTTTATTAACATAACTCTAAAAATGTATATTATATATAAATGGATATTGCGTTTGTTATCTACAAAGTTGCTTGTTATTGCTTATACTTATATTATTATTATATTAAGCAATATACTTAATTTTTTGTTAGTTTATCAGTTATCTTTTTTAGTTACTTTAAATTAATGAATACTCTACCGATCTATCTATCTTTATCTATCTATATAGACAATAAGAAGTTGTCTATGTGGGTACTGCAACCTCACCTATTTCAGTCACCAAGCAACTCAATGTGTAATCTGATTTTAGGTTGTAGTGTGAGAAAAGGCAGTGATTTTTTTTTGGCAAAAAGGGCTTCAATTATAATATTCTAATCTAAATAATACATATAATATAATATTTATATCGTTACTATTTGTTCTTAAAACAGAAAGGTAGGAATACTCTGATTCTTGAAAAAATAAGTAAGTGCTGTCTCTCAGGTTCAAGCACTATATAGTCCAATGCATCACGACCAGGGAGCGGCAGCTCGCTCCCTCTCTCGAGTGTACATGGCTCTGATAAGACACTACACGAACCAGTTGGATGCCTCCATCGAAGTTACTGATGATCCCTTAGCATTGGATTTGACTCCGGTTAGTAAACATTACATGTTTATATATGAAATAATTAGCTCGAGAAGTGTTGTTTTGTCATATAAATTAAAGTACTGCTAATAGTACTATAAGGAAAATAGGTGTTGGTGGTAGAAGGGCTATCATAAACAAAATTTTAATGGAGTTTTTACCAATAGATGATGAATGATTAAAGAAGAAGGTTTATACGTACGAAGCCGGAGCGGTTAGCTAGTATTATATAATTTGTTTTCAGTGGATGATGTACGCCAGTCAGCCGCCGTTGCTAATTCAATTTCTTCTCATAGTGATGATATCCCACATAACGCTTATACCTTCTAAAGAACATGGCATAATAAGGCACTTGCAGGTATTCTGTAATCAGCAATTTTTAACACTTGTAGAAGAAATTTTATTTTAAAACTTATTGTTTTAATTCCGCGGCATTTTAATCGCCGACGAAGTCGGTAACAGCTAGTTAATATATTAATTTTGTAGTTCATGGCCTACCGAAGCGAATTATTTTATATAATTATATCTATATAATAAATCCATTAACTTTTTTATGTAATTGCAACAGCAAACAGACTAACGGCCCTCTTAAGTAAACGATACTCGGCACCTATATACATGAACAACACTACGGATAACACGTTATCACGTGACACCCATGACACTCATGCGTTGCTATTATCGAGAATTAAAATGTTATACCTTTTATCCTATAATGTCTCTGCCTAATCTGGACTCTACAACCGAAACAGCTTATAAGGCTGCTTGGCGGCTTAAAGGAGTGAGACTGAGGTACCCATCTGCACTCTACAACTGTAATAGGTTATAAAGCAAGCTGCTTGGTGGTTTAAATGGGTGAGACTGAGGTAACCATCTGCAATCTACAACTGTAATAGCTTATAAAGCAAGCTGCTTGGTGGTTTAAATGGGTGAGACTGAGGTAACCATCTGCAATCTACAACTGTAATATCTTATAAAGCAAGCTGCTTGGTGGTTTAAATGGGTGAGACTGAGGTAACCATCTGCACTCTACAACCTACAACTGTAATAGCTTATAAAGCAAGCTGCTTGGTGGTTTAAATGGGTGAGACTGAGGTACCCATCTGCACTCTACACTGTAATAGCTTATAAAGCAAGCTGCTTGGTGGTTTAAATGGGTGAGACTGAGGTACCCATCTGCACTCTACACTGTAATAGCTTATAAAGCAAGCTGCTTGGTGGTTTAAATGGGTGAGACTGAGGTAACCATCTGCAATCTACAACTGTAATATCTTATAAAGCAAGCTGCTTGGTGGTTTAAATGGGTGAGACTGAGGTAACCATCTGCAATCTACAACTGTAATATCTTATAAAGCAAGCTGCTTGGTGGTTTAAATGGGTGAGATTGAGGTACCCAAGCACCCAACTGTCTACCTCGTGGAGATTACTGTGATAATATTTTCTCATTTCTTTAGAGTCATGCAATGAACTTCTCTCCAGCGCGTTACTGGTTCAGCTTGTACTTCTATGATCTGATCTTGTATTGGGTCCTTGTAGGCATGGTGACTCTTGTTATGGTGATCATTATGTACCTGGTTTTGCCTAAAGCACATTTCCAATATGGAGACCTATGTGAGTATCTATTACAATATACTAAAAACTCATATCTTCCTGCATTGAAAGAGTATCGCCTTTTTAGTATCTCTCATTGACAGTCTCGGTGTTCTAGAGATTTAGCACATCCCTATCTTTCAACGGTCACAGGTTCGATTCCTTGCGTGGTAAAAACATCTGTCTATGTCTGTGTGTAAAATGTGTCTATGTATATTTATCAGTTATGTAGTAATCCCTTGCCACTAACAAGACTAGGGTACCTAATCCCTTTAGAAAATCTACGTCATTAAATGGAACTTTTATAAAAATTAAGATGAATGAATTTCTGAAATTTGAGATGTTAAGCTTCCGTATCCGGTAATTACTCTTCTCATAATTCGTTGTTTATAATCTTATAATATAAACGCGAAAATTTGTGAGTATAGATGGATGGATGTTTGTTACTCTTTCACGAAAAATTTACTGGACAGATGTGATGAAACTTTACAATAATATACCTTATACATAACACAGAAGCTATAATTTAATAAGATATTATGTAAATGTAATGATAAATATTAAGTAAGTGTTCAGACGAAGTTGCGAGGCTAGTGTTTTGTATTTCTTTGATGTGCAGTGGTAGTACCCTTGCTACTCGTCGTCTACGGACTGGGTTGCATACCGCAAGCTTACTTGTTCAGTATGGGACCACGTGCAGCTCTTAATTCCATGACTTTTGCCATAGTCAACATTGTTTTTGGTTAGTCTTTATAACTTGTCTTTATTTATAATTTCATACAAAATTGGAAACCTGAGTAAATTATAATTAATTGTTAAATAATACAGCAAATAATAAAATTAATTCAAATGTCTATAGACATGTCCATTGCCATTTTATATTTAAAATTAAGTGTTCTATACAAAATCTCTGAATTGTACTTGAAATTTCGCTGGGTGTACTCGTATTTGAAAACAACGTGTAAGATGGCGACGTTACTCGCATAATTTTTTTGATTAATATCGATTATTCCTTCATCTGAGTCTGCCAGATATATAAATTGACACAATTGGCAGAAATTTATATTATTTTCGGTTTTAGGTTAGATTTGAATTCACGATCTCTTGGGTGGATATAAATCCTGGAATCTAATTTAGCTATTTTTATTAGATATACTTGTATATTTATTTACCGTTTTATTTATAGGAGAAACTACGGTACTAACTAAATTATTATATGGGAGTGCTCTCAACTACGCACTGTATTTCATGAGAATATCTCCACAGTTCAACTTTTCGTTTGCTCTCGTGAAGATCAAACAGATATTCCTCTATAACAGCGAATGTATCATATTTAAGACGAAGAAACTCTGCTCTGCGAAGACACTTCATAAGTGTTGCGGTACTTAATTTTATCTGATGTCCCATTGTAATTTTTATTTTTATAAAATTAATGTGTCTAATGAAATCCAATGCTGTAAAAGTCTTCGTTTTGCCATTACAAAGTGACCTACCATTGTTCCTCTACCTTATGAATCGTTACTGTGTAAGGATAAAACGACATAGTGGCCAGGAATTTGGAAGTCAACAAATGATGTTGATCCTTGGACGCATATGAGGTAAGAGATGTAAAAAAATTAAATAGCATTTATTTGCTTTTAGAAAAATGCGGCGTACTGCAGAAGTGTTTCGCTCGGAAAAGTTACCTCTCACAATACCCAGGTATAATGAACGAGTTGATTTCTATAATTGCCACCGGTGCTATATTCATGACATTGCTCATGTTGTGGGAGTACAGACTAATACAGCGGGCCTGTTCTTATGTCATGTCACTTTTGGGACCACCAGAAAAGTGTGACGAGGAAGTAGAGTCATTAGGAGTGAAGCGGGAGAAGGTAGACGTACAAGACAAGATTGCGCAGATGAAAGCTAAAAGATGTTAGTTGATTGTTTGAAATTTTTACAATTTGTTGATAACCCACCTGATTAGGAAAAATTGTAGAGAGATAATGGAATGGAAGACAATAGCTAAGGACCTTTTCTTGAGACAAGCTATGTTAGAGTCTTGTCTTTTGCTGTAGACAATGAATAATTATGAAAAAAACCAAACACAAACGTTCTGTAAATTAAATTGTCTGCTTTTTATTATATACTAATAATAATTTCAGTTATTGACGTTCTCACCGAGCTAGACTTTATAAAAAGTCGCCTGCCAAAAGGCTTGTTTTGGTTATACCAGCGAATTTACAAGATAATCTATTTTAGCCGCCATTAGGTGAAAAAAGCTTGTTTTGGTTAAAATACGTATATGAGTGATGTAGGCAGCGAAATTTACAAGATTTATATAAGTATATGCATATTGATAAATCTAATCTTCCGATATCCGTGGTGGTATTCATGTATAGGCAAATTGTAACATCTAACCTGGAGTTGTACAAAAATGGAAATTAAATAAATATTATAATATTAAAGTAAATTAAAAAAGGCACGGACGAATATGTCTGTGGAAAAATGTATTTAAATATAAAAAAAAAAAAAAACCATTAGGTGAACCTCATTGGCTAATTTACTTTTCCAATTACCTACATGAAGAAATTTCCTGATAATAATCTATATCTTCGGGTATTTTCTAGATGAAAAAATCGACACTTTCGGAGAATGTCTTTTAGTTGCCAATGTAAATAAAAAAGAGGATGGAGTATACGTGGTGCGTGACGTGAACCTTGGTATGGATAAAGGCACCGTCATAGCTCTCTCGGGTCTCAAGAGACACGGACGCCTGGACCTCCTTGAGGTACTAGCAGGGTACAAGATGCCCAGCAGTGGTGTACTCTGGGCGATGTCCCAGTGGAGATTGAATGTTGATCCGCACATGGTACTTTGTAATCTTATCTTTACATATATTTTTTCTTTTTTTTTATTGACAGGCTTGAGCTCGCAGGTCGCAGTGCTACAGGTTTGAAGCAACGCAATATGCTTTAAACCTGTAGCACTGCGACCTACATAATACTATTGTGCTGGCTCTTTTTCAAAGGTCGCTACGACTCGTCAGGGACAAGAATTGAAGGATATGATTAGGAAGGATGATTTTTATTTACTCAGGATACTTTATATTTTCCAAAGCAGATATGTATTTCGTATATGCATAAATAGGCATAACCACATAAAATGTGTAATGAGTAATACATATAATTAAATCGTACAATCGCGATTAGGATCTGTCTGTTTGTGTCTATATGATTTTGAATTTTGTTTCACCTAACCTGATCAATTATTCATTTCTATATTATTGCAAGACCTGGGAGAAGGAGTTTGCTTTCGTTTCAGTATTGTAAGCATATAACATTGAGTTGTGCCCAAAATTCGATTCCCACATGGATGACCGTGTACGATGGTCTAAAATTACTGGCAATACTGCGTGGCGTCCCCAAACGGCATGTTGATGAAGAACTGAGCACTTATATTGACGCACTTGGTGAGTTTTTTATGATACAATATCACACCTGATGTAAGGTAGCATCTCAATCGCCTCTATATATGAACCGTACATCACGTTATATGAACGTACCTACTTATTGAGGCGAACTCATGTGTCGGCAACACATGAGTTCGCCTGGGAAGGGAATTGTTAGTAATGTGGACTCATGACCCCATTACTAGCTTAAATACCATATCAGGTTGACCTCTACGCGGTTCCCCCTGGAAACCATTGTGATAAATTCCTCGTGAATTTGTCACGATGGGCTAACTGACCTGACCTCATATTCAACTTATCATCCTCCACTGGTGCTCCGCCAGGGTAACTGTTAGAGCAGGCGGGTGCACCATTCCATTATCATCCATAAAAAACTCATATGATGCCATTCCTAGTGTTATACCTGTATCATGTAATTTTATTGCTATATCTCACCCTGCTTCTATTTTGAGTAATTGGAATAGCAAACATGTTACTGCCGACCTTATGCTAACTGGTAATCGTCGCATATTCATGAACAGTCCAGGGCTATCATGACATCATGTGATGTCCGTGATATCTTTCAAACACTGCCATTTGGAAGTTCTACGATTGTCATGCCATATACAATAAATTCACTAACTTAGAATGAGCACCCTTCAACCGAAAACCATCTAATAATGCAGGCTACATAGTGGACAGCTTTTTAGGCTTCCTTTTTTTTAATATCTTAATACTAGGCTTAGTATCGAGTCTTATGAACTGGACAATTAAATCAGCTGTATCTAATCCCAAGGAAAGCAGAGCTTGGTTTATGAGTAATAGAAGTTGATATAAATACTTTTTTTTGTAAATACATATAATACACATAGAAAACACCCAGACCGATACCAAACAATGCTACTCATTAATACAAGTGTGAAGTCAATGTGTGAGATATCGAACCCGCAACTATCGGAAGTAAAGCGGTGTGCTAAACGGCTAGGGCACTGAGGCTGTCATTAGGCCAGATTACAGGCCAAATATTAATTTGCCATTAAACTTTATTAGGTTCTTATTACTGTGTTAAGTATAATTATTGTATCACTTATTTATTGCAATAAAGAGTCAGTAAATATATAGAACTGAAGGAGCTAGCAAACACGTTAATTTGCCGCATCTCGACCAACGACCGCACCCGTCTTCATTTCGCTGCGGCCGTTATTGGAGCACCCCCTATAATCATAGTGGATGAATGTACCGCTTACCAGAATTACTCAGTTCAACGGGCTATGTATTACATTCTGTACCATCTGAGAAAAAGAGGACATTCCATATTCGTCAGCTCTTCCAGGTATAAAAAAATATTTCTTTGAGAACGCATTGTAAGTTTTTACTGTGAAGTAGCAAGTCCATTTTTACTGACGGTAGATTATAAAGCAAGATCTTATGCCTGCCAAATGCCTTTTTTTCTGTGTATGACTCAGTAGCGCTAGTATATAATTAATCTACTATGATCATATTACCCTACCGAATAGTTACACCATACGGTCAGTTTCCAGGTAATTGACGTCTGGCAGGCCAGATATCTTATTAAGGGGATGCTACTTCCATCACTGCAATTGATCAATCCCATATATTTTTAAAGTCCCTAACTCAACATAGTCCTAAATGGCTCATTGTACCTCATGAAGATAACCTTATTTGTTGTACTTACACCGTTTGAGAATCCTTGCAACATTATTAGACTATGAGATTCTAATAGCCAATGTCCATCACTAAAAAGTTTTACCAACAGTAAAATATAACTGGTTGTTGGCGCGCCAGCGCTTATAGAGTACGGATGCGCAGACTGCGGGCACCGCGGTGTATTCCAACCGCCATCGAACCCGGTCTGCCACGGCGCCTCCTCGGTCATTCTGTGCATTGGGCACTGCACGTTCTCTCACATCTCTTATATCTTGTAGGTAATATATACGTACACACACATAAATCCTACAGTCCATTTGATAATATCATTTAATCACCCTATTAGGGCCTAATCAGACGATCCGGCTCGAAGGACCATACTAATTATTTCTATTTTATTATTATTAAATAATTCAATTACTAACGCGTGTAATTTTGCTTTTATTCATAGCGTTGAATGCCATTTACCGATGACCAAACAACTCGGTATATTGTTGGACGGTCGCATTTACGACATTGATATGGTAGATAATTTGGTGGAGAGGTACGGCCATAAAGGGTACACAGTTGTGGTCCATATAAAAGATGAGATTGATGCCAATAAAATGTTCGCTGAACACTTCAACAATTTTGCTATTAATGACACATCAGAGGTAATGCTGTATGTGAAATGTTTTTTTGTAATTCTTGTAATGATTTTTGTTTTCGTTTTCTGTGTTTTATTGTATAAGTCCATTTTGTAATTGTGAGTGTCGTATGTTTAAACAGTGCTCGGATGTTATCAGTGTTATGGCGTAGCTACCTAGGGGCTAGGCGGGACAGTGCTGCGGGGCCCTCAAGCTCAGGGGGCCCTCGGCCCTTTCCAGAAAATCTCGATCGAACTGCACTTTTGAAAATTCTCTCATTTTCAAAATAATTCTGACAGGTTGCAACCCGACAATAATTATGGCAACTCAGTTGAGAGAAATTCCCCTAAATTCTTTCTGTGTGTTGGCAGTGTTCAATTTGACGGGTAGCGATGTGCGTTTTAATAATACTGTAATGTAGAGTCTTTCTGCTGAGCAGTGGGGCCCCATTTTTTTATTTGCCCCGGGGCTACTTATGCCAATGGTTGTAATAGGGATTGTTACCTCTTACAAAATACAGCTTCCTTCATTTTAAGACTACTGAATTCTTTTTCATCCTAAACTGTAATAGTTTAGGTTGAAAAAGAGAGCTCTACCTAGTGATCTTATAATAATAAGCTAGAACAGTTCACACAGCGCCATCTAGTCGTAGGCCAAGCATAAATTGTGGAGGTACGAGACAACTGATAGAAATACGCAAATACATTTTTTTTGTAAATATGATAACATACACAAAACTCAGACCAATACTATCATACTCATGAATACAAATGTTTTTATCGTGCGAAGAATCGTATCCGCGACCATCGGAAAGTGGTGTGCTAAACCGCTAGACCACCAAGGCTGTCAACACCTACTATAACATTATTGAACGTTAATAAATAAACTTTATACAAAGAACAGTAATATGAATCCTAGCGACCTTTACAGGTTTTGGTAAACGTTCAAGTGCTTGACGATTTGACTTGGGCGGTCATATTCGAGAAGATGGAAATCCTACAATCGCAGAATCCCGAAGTTAACTCCTACATAGTAACAGCTATACCTATAGATTACATTTACAATTCCATTATAACAAATGAAAGCGGTCTCAAACCAGCTGCGGATTTCTTCTCGTGTTCTTATTACAGAAAGTTTTTCTCACAGACGGCAAGGAAAGTCCCAAACGAAAGTGTATTGGCCGATCTCATACCTTTCGAAAAGAAGTACGATATTACAAAGCTCAATGAATTGCCTTGGTCGGTAATATTTAATAGACAGATGGAAAATGAACTGTGTTAACAAGTACTATGGTATCAAGTGCATTGACAGGACATGTGATAGAAGCCCTTAGTTTTAAACCCTCAGCACCAATCCAGCATTAAGCAAGAATTTTTTTCTCGTAAGCGTATATACTCTTTATTCTTTAATGTTAGACAAATATTAGATTTAGTAATGCCAATAATAAAAGTCACTTATGGTATTTTGCGTTTAATTACTGCATAATTACACATGTTAGTTGGTTATACAAACTTAGCAAATTGCAGTTATCCCTTTCCCACACGATGGCACCCAGTGCGACAGAAACATCACCGGAACAAGCAGTAAGCAAAAAGTAAGCATGCAATTGAAATCGTTAAAAGCTATATGCTCGTAGAGCCCCAATATTAGTTTTTATATTATAGATGTTCAGGATTGTATATATATATATATATAGAATAAATAAATAACCCACAATCAACATGGCGACATCTAGTTCCACGGTAAGCAGAGCTTGTGTTATGGGTACTAGACAACTGTTATAAATATTTAATACTTTTCTTTTGTAAATACATATATAACAAAAAACACCCAGACCGATATAAACATTCATACTTATTAATACAAATGTTTGCACAAGTATTTGAACCCGTGACCATCGGAAGTAAAGCGGCGTGCTAAACCGCTAGACCACCGAAGCCTCGTTTTTTAAAAGCCGAAGTAAATCGTTTTTTAAAAGGCTAATAAAAGGACTGATTATTGTATATTGAATAAAAAAATCAGTCCTTTTATTAGATTTAGATTTTAAAAAACGATTTACTATGGCAGTCGATATATTCCTATCAGAAATTTCAGTAAATATAGAGGCTCTACTTATCTCTAATACACAGTTAAATAAAAAATCAATAGCCAGAAACAAGCATTGCAATTTTTAGAAAAGTTTTACTATTGTTGTCTCCTGATACTGAACCCGATGACTCCTCATGAATGTGTATTAAGACTTACTTGTATTCAATTCATATACCCGAATGCTTCCGCTATCGATCAGGGAACATTATTTAGAGAAAGTTCATTACAGTTAAAAAAACCCCTCCTGTATATGAAATGCATGACCCTTATTGATCAATTCACAATTGATCAATAAGGATCATCTTTAGTCTACAAACTTACATTACAAAATTAGTGTCAAACATGTAATGCACGTATCACAAAAATAAGTTCATGCGATGTTATTTCCACTCTACTAAAAAATTGTAAATGATGAGAGTATTGCATAGCCCTATATGAATAATTAAACGGTTTTTTTTTAAATCATGAGCATATCAAGAAAGTGTTTTCATATTACGACACCAATGTAAAATTTCTTCACCAATGTAAAATCGAAATCATGCCCTGAAATTAGTTTCATTCCTTTAGTTTCATAATGTAAATTAGGTTTTACGCAATTTAATGCTGTCACCTTGTTAGTGTCGCAAATCAATGCAAACATATTTAAATACGTATTACCGAGGGTTTGACATGTATTACCGAGGGTTTGACATGTATTACAGAGGGCTTGACATGTATTACTGAGGGCTTGACATGTATTACTGAGGGTTAGACATATATTACTGCCATCTAGTATAGCCTAATGCAATGTTGTATGCGACCTATGCAACTCGGCAGTCGATCCACGCGCATGCGCCATCATGTTCTCTATTCTATTTGTTGTCTCCCTTACCATAGAGAATTCAGATAAATCCGGTAGGTCTAACACAATGTGAGCAGAGAGACGTTTGTAAACAGAGTTGGAATCTTTTTTATTTCTCCTAGCTTCTTCATATTTTAATTGTTGTTTTAAAAATATAGATTGTTTTAACATTTCTTGTATGTTCTTGAAACTGGTTGCGGCACCATCCATAGATTTCACAGCACTGGAAATAATAAATATCAAATTACAAATATATATTTGCGACAAAATATTACTATTAATTTAGCAAACTTTTAATTTCGAATTATTGACATGTAGGGAGAGCCATCTAAGAAATCATATTCATAGGAATTAGGACAAAAAGAAAGTTAATTTGGCAACCATTACATTTCAATTAGGATATTTTATACTTGTACCACAAAGACTTGAATTAAAACATATATGTTACAAGCAAACAATTCTTTTAAACTAATATAAAATAGGTCTCTTCTTCCGTTTTTTTTAATTTACATCCTTTATAAAATCTTATTATGTACAATTAAACAATACATAAAATTAACTAGATTCATCAAGAGAAAAAGAATATAAAATGTAATATTATTTCCTTTCATATTATGCTATCTAATTATCTTTCATATAACATCATATATTGTACCAATATGTTTTCAATAAGTAATTAAATAAATGTACTTTTTTTAAGTTTACCTTAGAGCATATTCAACATCATAGCAACGACCCTGTAACTCATGCTGTAGCTTTGTGACTTCCACTCTCCTTTCCACCATAGGAGGAAGTGCCTTCCGGACATGTTCCTGCAATCTATACAGTGCCAATGATGGTTCATTGGCTACTATATGCATGTTCTCTGATATACGTTCGGCAGCTGAAAAAGGAATACATTAACATAAAATATCATTTAACTCATGATCATTAATTTCAGTATTTTTAATACAATATCCATGTGTTTGTTCATGGATATTTAGATAAAACTCTTGTCATATCTTATTATTTAAATTGGTCTTAATTAATTATTAAAGTTGGTCATTTAAAAATGTGACAGATACAAATTTATTAATATATTTTTATGAAACATTTTGACAAATAAAAAATGTTTTTTAGCATAGTCCCAAAATGTTATATGTCCTAATATGTCAAATATTACTAAGAACTAAATTACTTAACTGTTAAAGTCTAGTATTGTAATTCCCTAAATGATATCTTCTACAAATTGAATATAAATATTATATGATATGCTTAAAGAGCACTATGTATTGTAACCCAGTGCCCAGTGCACAAATTTTCATAATTCAAAATTCAAAATGAAAATACCCAGATTGTTAAACTAAATACAAAAGTGAGTATCTCTCAATAGTATTTGGTCTCCACAGTGGCCTCAAGAGCGATGTCTGTACATAAGGCTATGTTAGTCTGTCACACGCACAACGGCCCGAATGAGAGGCCAATTGCGGAAAATGGAGTCCAACCTACACACTTTTACTTACAAAATTTATATTGGAAATTTAATACATTATGTGATTGATTTTGTAGACAATATTTTTAATCATAGTATTCAGGTAAGTAGACTAAACATTTTAGGCCTCTGGAATGACACCGCATGGGGAGTACCAGTGACGCCACATGGTGACGTGCAATGTGCTTCTCATGTATATATATACATGATGGTTCATGTTGTTGCCTGAATGTTACAGTTACATAAAAAAAAGTTGGGTCCATCACTTTATTTGCCTTACCATTTATATAAAAATAAATAGTAAACCAATTGTATTTATGGAGAGAGAGCAGATGGCAATGAAAATGAACAATATTGTTAATCTGTTAACTTATTACAAAAATAAAGAAGTAAGTAATTATGTTACCTTTTTTAGCTTTGGACTCTAGATCTTGGTCTCCTTGATACACGAAAGCCATAATAGAAATATAAACTAAAGAACACTGGCGGAAGCTAACAGGGTTTGTTTTAAATTAGTATTTTGGCGGAAATTGTGATAAATATATCATACCCTAACACAATAACATTATTTTTTTATTCTGCTTTAAGGAAAAACAATAACATTAAAATTGTTGACATTGACATTCATGAAATGTTACCTTTTTAACTTTACTTACAAAATGCAGGCAGCAATACATTAATACAGTGGCGTGCGTATAATTTGATTATTTATTTTTATTTTCATTGCTTAATATTTGTAGTAAAATGTGTCAATGCAGTAATTGAAATTAAATACATATATTGTTTCATTTTATAGCTATAAAATACCTATATAAAATATGATAACGAACATAAACATGTGTTATTACATATTGAATTGTAGTCTGTTTGTAACTTGAGTTTTCAAAATATGCACAGTAACAATTTTTTTGTTACAAAAAATATACATGAAATTTATGTATCTTTTGTTTTAGTTTGGCAACACTTGTTTCAATTTGTCACAGAGAAAAAAAAGCGCGGGAACTTTGAGGCGGGAAGTTCATTTTTTCTACAGTCTTTTGATATTAAATAATTTATAGAGTTAATTAAATCCTAGCCCCGTTTTTGTGCGATAAAAATGGGTGCTGACAGTGGCGGCATCCCAAAACAAAAAAGGGATGAGAAATTCTCCTGCTAAACCACCACCAAATAAAAGGAAGAAAGAAGCTACTTTACCACTACCACATGAAGAGGAAAATTCAGATAAAGATGAGGACCCTACATTTTATGCGCCTTATTTAAAACCTAATTATATAAGGAGTTATCAAGAAAATTCACCAAACACAACATTTACTGTATTTATACAAAGCATTAAAGAAGAGGTTAAATTTGGTAATAAAAGTCAGTTTACTTAAATAATTTATTCAGTAGATATGTAAAAGGAGTCAAGGAATTGAGACGAGTAAATGCACTAAAATATGCCGTAATATTTGACAATGCAAAAAATGTAAATTCACTATTACGTGATTCAACCTTTTTAAATGTTCAAGAATTAAAAGCATTCATCCCCGCATCGACAACTGAATGTACTGGTGTTGTAAAGTTTGTTCCCACTGATCTCAGTAACAAACATTTATTTAATAAATTATCTTCTCAACAGGAAATACTTTCAGTGAGGCGATTTATGAAACGGTCCGATAGTGGAATGATTCCACTTCAGACTGTCTCTATAACATTTGCAGGTAACATTTTGCCAGAATATGTAACGTACGAGCTATGTAAATTTAAAGTCGAACCATACATAAAACCTGTAATGCAATGTTATAAGTGCATGAAATTTGGACACACTACAAAGTTCTGTAAACGAGATATGGTTTGCTCAATTTGTACAGAAGGTCATAATTATAAAGAATGTACTAATGTTGAGAATCCTATCTGTGTAAATTGTAAAGGAAACCATACCGCAGTTTCCAGACTTTGTCCAGTTAAAATTCAAAAAATACTTGAAAATAAAGAAAAAATTATAAACAAAAACAGTACCCTAAGTTCACATTTTCCTAATCTGAACTTGAGTTTTGCTAAAGCAGCTCAAAGTTACACACCTAAGAGAAAAGAGAAAGATTTTATTTCAGAAGTTATCAATAACGATTTAATTTTAACAGCTTTAGTACAAACATTAACTTCCCTTTCAAAAAAAGACACTAACTTACCTGTTAATACTTCTACAATCAAAGAAGTATTTCTTAAAAACATCAATCTATAATGGATCAGAAGGTTATTATAGATTCCTTAAATATTGTACAACATAATATACAAAGTTTAAGACCAAAGCTTCCTTTAATCACACATTTACTTGCTAAACATAATATTGACATCTTGATTTTAAATGAAACTTGGTTAAAAAATACAGATACAGTAAATATTAGAGGTTATAAAGTATATCGTTGGGATCACAATGTAAACAAAGGTCATGGCGGTGTTGCCGTCTTTTATAAAGAATTTTTAAAATGTTCTAATGTTACCACTCAATCAAATGATAAAATTCAAACTGTTGCAATTAAAGTTATAAATTCTGGGTTCTTAAATATTTTAGGATGTTATTGTCCTCCTCGAAGAGGGCGATTCCCTGTTACATTATTAAAAAATATTATTCTTTCTCTTTCTTCTCCGGTATTAGTCATGGGTGATATGAATGCACATCACACTATATTTGGATGTCAAAGTAATCAAATTAGAGGAACACAGATCTACGACATGCTAGACGAGATAAATTTATGTGTTTTAAATACTGGTGAAAGTACCACATTAAATCGTCCTAATCAAGCCCCATCTGCTATTGATGTAGCTTTTGCTTCTCCTGTCATTGCTGGTTTATGCGATTGGTCTGTTTTGTCAGATGATACTTTGGGAGCTATCATTTTCCAACTTTAGTTAATTTATACATAACACCACAAATTTATGAATATGTGGAACAACCAGAAAGGTTTATATATAAAAAAGTAGACTGGAGCTCTTATTCAGTAGGTCTACCACGAAGTGCAATTCCGAAATTTCGGATCGATATTTCGTGTGATTCGTACCATGAAAAACGTTCATTCCGAAATCGTGCCCGAAAACGGAGAATATCGTTTCGATCGTCCCAAATCGTACCATGAAGTATCCGTTCGTACGTTATTATGACGTTTTGACAGCACGTTTATCGTGATTTAAAGTGCGAAGTAGACGAAACCTAAATAGTTAACTTTTTACTTTCGTAAGTATGGATTTTACGTATATAAGTGCTGTAATATATAAAAAAGTGATTAATTAATAATTCAGTTAATGTGTTACAGTGAATAATGTGATAAAAGTTAAACTAATTAGTGTTTTTAAATATTATTGTGTTCAATATAACCTACAACTTAGCATTACTTTATTTTGATTTAGTTTCATTATGCCAAGATTGGCTGGAATTTTAGAAGCCCTCAATGAAGAAGAAATTGAAAGACGCAGGTTTAAAAGAAAAATGCGTACTAGGTACCTCTAAAGATCCATTCCCGACTTCGAGTTTGTATCTAAATACAGACTCAGTCGGGAAGTCTTCGAGAATCTTTGTCAGTATGTGGTACGATTATTACCCCTGCCTAAAAATAGTTGAGCAATCGATCCAATAACCAAAGTAAGATCTTATGTACATTTTGTAGATGAAAAAATTTAGTATTTACCTATTATTTAGTATTCCCATATCTATTTTTTTTTCAGATTCTCACTGCATTAAATTTTTATGCCAGTGGTAGCTACCAGGGTGCAGTCGGACAAAATTTAGACACCACTATGGCTCAGCAGTCTGTCTCAAACTGCATCAGGGATGTAACAGATGCCCTAAATACACCCTATATACTAAGGAAATATATAAGATTTCCTCAGTCCAGGGAAGACAGGAACATATTGAAGAGAAAGTAAGTTTATGTATATTAAATATGATTAAGATTTAACTTTATAGAATTTTATGCTCTTTGTCGATTTATAATACATATACTATTAATTTAGTTCAGTCAACTATTTGTAGCTGTAAATTTATAAATGATATTGTTGTTAATTTCAGGAATCAGCATAAGTTAATTGATGTTTAAATAATCAGTAGTTTATATTTCTTTTTCAGTTTTGCTACACAGTATGGTATCCCTGGTGTTATAGGATGTATCGACAGCACCCATGTAGCTATAATTCGGCCAACAGTCAATGAAGAGAGATTTTTCAATAGAAAACATTACCACTCTTTAAATGTTCAAGTTGTAAGTACAGTATTTTATGTAAAATTTGCATAGTGTATAAATAATTCTCAAGTTATTCATATTTGTCACTATCTGCAAATATCTTTATAATGTTTGTCCTATTTTTTAGATTGCTGACAGTAATTTAAAAATTATGAATATTGACGCCTCTTATGGTGGTGCCACTCATGATGCATTCATTTGGGAGCATAACGAGATCAAAGATCATTTGGAGAGTCTTCAAGGAGAAACAACTTATTTGCTGGGTAAATAAATCGTAATTGTTAACTTTGTAGTTGTACTACATATAAAATTGGTGAACAAACAAGAATACAATGTTTTGTCATTCCTTTTCATTATTAGGATGTCATAAAAGATGATTATAGATTGTATTTCAGTATTTTTTATGTTAAATATTATTAGCTGATATTATATTGAATAGTCTATAAGCTATCAAGTGCATTTATCAAATTCCAAGTCTCACAGTTAAGTATGTTTTCTTTTCTTTCAGGTATATAAAGATTAGAAGAGAGCCATACATTCTATTTATGGTATGGGTTCGAGATAGTCATTATATCAAGGCTTTAAAGAATCAAATATCCTCACCGTTGCCTCACAGTACATTTATGAAATATTATGTATACAAGGAAAAACTTAGATAGTTTCAAGAAACTTAAAGACTGTACAAGTAGAAACTTATGCAATAAAAATATACTAATTTTACCTAAATGCTGTTAAAATTGATATTAAACAAATGTTATGTAAAAAAGCCTATTATAGGATAGATGAATTCATAGATGACAGCAATATAATAAGTTTATTTGAATAAATGATTTTCTATTCTATTCTATTAGAAGTTAAGGCATTACTTATTTACAAAATTAAAAACTTTTTACAATAAAATATTTTTATTTTATAATCACATATATGTAGGTATATATATATATATATAGATAAAAGTAAAATCAAAATTGTATATTAAACATTTTTTAAAATAACACTAATTATAAATGATTAAACATTCATTCAGAAAAATGTTGTATAAGTATATGCAAACTAAGTAGTGTAGTTCAAGGCGCATTAAATTAATGACCAGTAAAAAACTGTAGTTTAGTACTTTGTGTCTTTGTTAATACTTATATAAAGCTAAGTAACATTTTTATACTCATTATTTAACAAATCAACAAACTAACATAATTCAACAAATCAACAATGATATATATAAAGCTAAGTAACTTTTTTATACTCATTATTTAACAAATCAAACTTTTTTATACTCATTATTTAACAAATCAACAAACTAACAGAATTCAACAAATCAACAATGATATATCTAAAGCTAACTAACTTTTTTATACTCATTATTTAACAAATCAACAAACTAACGTAATTCAACAAATCAACAATGATATATCTAAAGCTAAGTAACTTTTTTTATACTCATTATTTAACAAATCAACAAACTAACACAAATCTACATTAATCATGTCAAATTAAAAAAAAAAACAAAATTTCATCTATTCAGTCGTCTTAATTCTATTTGTAGACCATCCAATCGATCCCTTATTAATACATTTAATTCCTGGAGTGATTGGCGAATCAGCCCTGACTCTACCACCCGTCGATCCTCCGCTGCGATTCGCCGCTCCTCCATTTCGAACAAACGCCTGCGTACACTGCGAGGTCCAATGGCGTCTGCTCGACGGCGTCGTCGCTCTGGACGTGTAGTAGCCGTTGAAGTTCTAAAAAAGTTTTTTTTTAAATAATTATTATCATTATTGTTTTCGGTATGCATGATTGGTACTAATACCAGACTTGATGTCTAGGAATATACTAGTGATTAGGACTATAAGCCCCCATTACTAATAATCTTAATATTTACAGAAATATTTTCATATAACAATAATTTATTTATGATATAAATTTTTTAATCAATAATAAGGTATAAGTAAGTGTTATTTATTAGTACTGTCTTATCTTTACTTCTTAGTTAACATTGAAAAACTGTGTATATATAAAAAGGTACCAACTCTGTCTCAACTCATATTTCTGCTATGAAGCAGCTGTTCTTGCATAGCTGTATTTCAGTTTGAAAGGTGGGAAAAGGCTATTTAGGTACCTTATATACAGAAATAAAAGGAATGGTAATGCATGAGGAATACTATGGAAGTCACCATGTATTTTGATGACATCCATTATGTTATATATGTCTAGAGATAACAGTTAGCACTATTTTAGTAATGGTTTTACAACATACCTCTGGAAATGCAGGAACATGTGCATCCGACTGAGGTTCTCCAAAGCCCTCTCCCATAATACCCAATATTCTGCACTGTATTGGGTTTAAAGGATCAGCAGATGATGGCCCTACCCCAGTGGCTGTGGCAGACCTTCGAGCAGCAGTAGCAGCTTTTTTAGTTAGATATTTTTTGTCAGCCCATACCTAAAATTTATAAAATTTATAAAGTATCAGTATTGGAAAATTTTATTTAATAACAAAATTATTTAACATTTTAAATGCATATCACGTACTAAAATATCAAGAAAAGTGCTTACCTTCTGCCACTGCTTTACAGTTTTAGTGCATCCACCCAATGCATTGAGTTCGTCTGTGAGACGAACCCATAATTGGGTGGATCTTGTTCGCCCTTCTGCATTTCTACAGTGGCCACGAGCTAACTCCTGGTGCTCTGCTAGGAATGTTAGGAGTGTATGCACTTGTTCCACAGTGGGATTACTGATCTAAATGCATAAATACATTTGTTAGCGCTTGTCATAAATAGAAACTAATAAATAAAATCAAAGTTATTACATGTTCATTTTCATTGATGTTTAACGAACAAATTTAGCAATAAAAAATTATTTAAAAACACTTGTGATGATAATTCTTAAGTTTATATATAAAAAAATAAAAACAAAAATATTTGTAATACGCAGTAACGTTATTTTCAAATATAAATAGAGGTTTGACGTTTTCTTATGACATAAAATACTACTAATTTTAGAAGTTTATAATTTCAATACATTTAAATATAAACGACTGTACATTTTATTTTATCCGGAGTATACCACTTTATTTTTTTCCTAATTTAAGAGTGTATAATAAAAGACCTCTCATCTTTCATTCGTTCACGATCATAGTCTATGGTACCCGTCCGAAATATCTTATTCCGAAGAAACTTCATGGTTCCTTTAAACTAGTATTTCGGTCGTCTTTCGTTTCGTTACGCGATAATCGGCAGTAACTTTCGTGGTAGACCTACTGTACCCTGGTGGAATCAAAAATGCATCGAAGCTGTAAATAGAAGTAGATTTGCTTTGTATAATTATAAAAAATATCCTTCAATAGAAAATTATATTGTATACAAAAAAATTGATGCAGAAAAGAAACTAATTATTAAAGAACAAAAAAGAAGTAGTTGGATTGAATTATGTTCCAGTTTTAATAGACATACCAATATAGGAAAAATTTGGAATTTTGTTAAAAGATTTAATCGTATAAGACGGAAAAATGTAGTAGGTGATGATTCTTGGGTAAATGATTTTTTAAATAAAGTTGCCACTAATAAAGAAACTGAAAACGTTGAAAATATAAATGGATATTTTAAAATGAATGATTTAAACACACATTTAATAAAACCATTTACCTTTGAAGAGTTTATTCTTGCTTTGAACAATAGAAAAGATACTACTCCGGGACTTGATGACATACCATATTTACTTATTAAAAATCTTCATGTTAATTGTAAAATGAAATTACTTGAAATATATAACAATTTGTGGGAACATAATTTAATACCCGACTCTTGGAAAACTCTAGCAATTATACCTGTTTTAAAACCTGAAAAAGATCCGTCTTTAGCTGAATCATACAGACCGATTGCTTTGTCATCTTGTATGGGAAAGATTTTTGAAAATATGGTTAAAAATAGATTAGAAATGTACGCAGAAACTAGAAATATTATACCTCCATTACAATATGGTTTTTGTAAAGGAAAAAGTGCAATAGATAGTCTTCTAAAATTTACAGGTGATATTAAAAATGCTATGCTATGTAACTTACCTCTTATTAGTGTTTTTTTAGATGTACAAGGAGCATTTGACAATGTAGATCTATCAACTCTCGTTCAAATTCTTAATTCATACAACATACCAGGTAAATTTTCAGAATGGTTATTTAAATTATTTTATGGAAGAACAGTTTTTGTTCGATATAATAATAAGCTTTATGGTCCGAAATTAGCATTTAAAGGTGTAATGCAAGGCTCTACATTGTCTCCCCTCATATATTTACTATATACTGCGGAAATTCACCGATTTGTAAATTTGAAAAATGTAAATATATTGCAATATGCAGATGATATTGTTATGTATTCTTCTAGAGAAAATATTTTACAAATACAAATTGACCTAAATCTAAGACTTAGAGAACTGTACAAATATTATAAAACTAAATTGAAACTGGATATTAATCCCTATAAAAGTTCAGTTATGGTCTTTAATAGATGTAATTCTTTGTACAATCTAAATATTAATTATATAAACAATGTAAACATAAATATAGTCAATGAAAAAACATTTTTAGGATTAGTTTTTGATAGCAAAATGTCATTTTCATCTCATGTTACAAAAATATTGAATAAAATGGATAAAAGTGTCAATATTTTGAGATACTTAGCTGGTGTTAGTTGGGGTATGGATCCCAAGTTACTAAATATGTTGTATAAGTCCATTGTTAGAAGTCATTATGATTATGGTCTGTTTATTTATGGAAATTGCATAAACTATACTCAATTAAGAAAAATAGAGGTAGTACAAAATAAGGGTCTTAGAATCATAACAGGAGCAATGTGTTCGACTCCTATTAATTCTTTAGAAATTGAATCTGGCATTCCTCCAATTCATGTAAGACTTAATTATTTGATGGAAAAATATTATTTAAAAATTTTTGCAAATAATACACTGAGTAATATATTAAAAAATAATAAAATTATACAAATTGATAATGAACTATTAAATGAATTTGTTAATATGTATCAATGTGATAAATGGTCTTACGGCTCACTGGATGTTCAAACTACAAAACCTACAATAGTACAGGAGAGAGTGATGGATAATAATGAATTTATAATATACACCCAAACATATAAACCTGATTACAGAAAAATATTTACTGATGGATCGAAATCTGAAGACTCTACTAAAGCGGCATATTTTGACTCCTTTACTAAAACTGGACAATGCTATGTACTAGATCAACATTCATCGGTTTTCACTGCGGAAGCATATGCAATTTTTAAAGCTTTGAAATATGTACAAGACATAGAAAATTCAAGACGATTTCTAATAATAACGGATTCTCTAAGTGTATTGACATCCTTAGATAATTATAAAATAAGCTACAAAGATAATTTATACATTTACTTAATAAGAGAAATTTTATATGACATGAAATTGTACAAAGTTATAGAGTTCATGTGGGTTCCATCTCATGCTGGTATTACTGGAAATGAAGTTGTAGACAGAATGATGAAGATTAATGAACTGGATTGTCATTTGGATTTATCGCCAGTGCCAATAACTGACTACAATGCATTAATTAACAGAAGGATGTTTAGTAATTGGAATAGAAAATGGGCAGAAACCAAAATGATAAAAGGAAAATGGTATGCTGATATACAGAAAGAAATTTTTGGAAAACCATGGTATTTCAAATTACAAGAACCATCTAGAAGATACATTACAACGATTAATAGAATTCGTATGGGACATGGGCAGTTTCCGGCTCATTTGCATAGAATAAAATTGAGATCTTCTTCAAATTGTGACTACTGTACAGCAGAAAATGCCGATCTACAACATATTATAATGGAATGTCCAGCATTTGGTTTGCAGAGACTTATTTTGATAGATGGCTTAATAAGTTTATATAATAAAAAAGAAGTACCCCGCCTCTTGCCATCTATCCTACAAAATACAGAAAGTTATCCATTTTTATACGAGTTTATACACAATACAATAAGAACGCTATAGATTATAATGCTAAAGATATAGTTAAATGTAATTGTTTGGCTGAAAGGAGATTTCCAAGGCCGTAAAATACTTAATAAAAAAAAAAAAAAATTTGTCACAGACGATGTTTTTAAATTATTTTTTTAAATACTTTATATTATCATCTTGCTATCAATATTGTTAAAATGAATAAATGAAAATATATCTCTCACAGGATTCTTCACTGCAGCTCACTGACAGAAATTCTCGATTACTATCTAATGCGGTACTGTATTTTTTAATTTGTTTACATAATTTTTTATTATTATTAATATTTGGTGCTGGTATTATTTTTTACTGTTATCAGTTTACAAACTCTTATCACAATATTGTTTATACGATATCAATTACCTAATGGTTTAATGCATTGCATATTATATGTAGTTATTTATTCATAATACAAGTAAAAACTTTATAACAACCATATGTTCATAACAAATATCTTAGAATCTTCTTTTTCTAGAGGTGGCTAAAAAATTAATATTTTCTTGTACTAAATTTATTAAGGTACAGATAAAATATCATAATTAATATATTAATTTAGTAAGATTTTGTTAATTTATTTCAGACACCTTCGCAAAGTAATTTTTCTACCCACAATCATATATTAATTTCTCTGTTGTTGAATGCAAGTGACATTGCTAGACTAAATGGTAAGATTTAATTCATTATTTTTCGTTACATGTAAATTTACATCATCCCATCTATTTAGATATTTATATTATTCACTTTGATAGTACCAGTAACTGTATAGAAATTATTTTTGATCTAATTAAATTATCTAGACTTGTTATTATTTTAGCTTCAGTGTTTATATGTTTTTAATGTACAGATATGCACCTTAAAAACAAAATCTGTCTCTGTTGTATCCTACAATCTGCAAAATAAAGATTATCCACTCCACTCTTTAAACTCTCACATAATTCTGTCAGAATTCCTTCATTTGCTTACATAATTCTGTCAGAATCCCCTTATTGCATGGAAAATCAGTTTTTCTCAGCATAGTGATTTGCAAGCACAAATCTTTAAGAAAATATATAAAATGCATGGCCTGTGGCTCTAAGTGCAATAGTTACTTCTCACCATGAAAAATAATGGAAGATTCATGGTGTAAGATAAAAAATGTATCGCTATATTTGCTGTAGTCACAGGAAAAATCGTAGATTGTTCATGTATTGCAAAGTTGAGAGATGTGCTGTATATTTAATCTGCAGTTTGACTGATTAATTAAATATACTTTACATACCAGTTACTTCTATTTTGATTTGACAATGAAAAGGGTTATTAACACCAATGACAGTCTATAATGTTCTTTAAATGTATATCAATAAAGTTCTTTATTGCTACAAATTGTAATTAATAAATAAATAAAAAGCATAATTAAACATGTCTTTTTTATTGCAGGAATCTCGTTTAGTGGACTCAGCATTGGGAACATTAATGAATTTTATGTTCCCCATCAAAATGTTGCTGCGTGTGTATTCACTTAGTATTCTGATGGTTGATATTATTTGGGTGGTGGTTAATGCAGTCTATGCAATATTCCAAGCATTCTATGAATTCTTTAAACCACCACCATTAAAATCTGTGAGATTAGAGACTGCTCTGGTAAGAGATATTTTCTTATTAGTAACTAACTTTTACTTATGCTCAAACTTCTATTACCAGAATTTTATTTAAAGTATGCTATATATTTATTATGTTCAGAATAAATTTGAGTCAGATCCGTTCAGCTGCTTAGGTGTGAAAAAGTAACAATCACTTTCACATTTATAATGTTAGTATGTTATTAGACATTAATTTGTCTAAATCTGTATCAAGTGTGTAACAAGATGAAAATTGTGTTTAAAAAGTGTATTTATATTGCATTAGTCCCTTATGATTGTTTTCTATCAACTTTAAATAAATAGCTGTATCATGCAAAATAAACAAATATTCTATATATAGTGTGATTCATTAACATTGTATCAGTTTTATGATTCTTTTTATCTACAAATTTTTCTCACATGGTGATCTAATAGATTCTATTTTCTCATAGTTGAAGTCACTCATGTATATAATAATACTAGAGGGTGCGTGTGTGCGCGGGCCTCAAGAGGCCCGCGAGGCGTTGTCGTTGATTTTTTTTGTAGAATTTTTTTTTTGTAGATTTTGTTTGTGAAGACGGTTTTCTTTTCGTTGTTAGAGTTGTCTGTTTTGATACGATTAGGTGATTTCCTATTGTAACAGTGAATTTCTGTTTCACGTGTACCATATATACCTGTGGCGAAACTTTGTATTGTAATGATCACAATACAAAACCTAACCTAACCTACCTTTCTGTATACTATATTAGTCTGGGGTCAAAGTTTTTAATGTAGAGCTCATAATACGAAACCTACCTTTTTGTTTACTATATTATTCTGAGGCCATAATTTCTACTGTAAAGAATCGCAATACCAAACCTAACCTAACCTACCTTTCTGTATACTATATCAATTTCGGTTCACAGTTTCTGATGTAGAGATCATAATACGAAACCTAACCTAACCCACGTTTCTGTGTACCTTATTGATTTGTGGCCAATTTCCATATTCTCCTATCTATAGACCTAACCTCATCTTACTTTTCAGTATACTAATAGTCTGAAGCAATAATTACTACTGAGTAGCAATACAAAATCTAACCTAACCTACCTCTCTGTATACCTTATATATCTTTGACCATAATTTGGGTTGCGTGTGGGTCGTTTTAGCTGATTTTTTTATGGTGAAGGTTTTCTTTTCGATCTTGGTTGGCAGAAACATGTTTTGATACGAAACTATACCACAAATGTCAATTCCTATTGTAAGAGTGAAAAAAAAACCTAACTCACTGTTTGTATACCGTATTGACTTATGGCGCCACTTTGTATTGTAATGGTCCCAATACAAAACCTAACCTACATTTCTTTACAATATATTAGTCTGTGATCATAGTTTATAGTGTAGAGAACAGAATATGAAATCTAACCTAATTCACTTCTGCATACCGTATAGATCTGTGGCTATAATTTCTATTATAATTGGCCATTATATTACTACCTAACCGAATACGAAATACAAAATCATATCGAACCCTACTTTCTATATACTAATAAGTATGGGGTCGCTATTTCTAATGTAGAGGTCATAAAACTGAACCTAACCTAACCAACTTTTATACCTTATAGAATAGATCTGTGACCAAAATTTCTAGTGTAAAGGACATATAAATCATAACTGTACACTTTTTTACACGAACGATTATCATTTAGAATAGTCACCAAAGCAGGAATGAATTCCAAGATAGTCTCCTTAGCTGGTAATAAACCGTGGATATCATACAATGAAAGAAATGTATGGACAAAACTTATTCTCATTATTTACAATCTGAAAATTTTACACATTTTGCAATCTTCAAATTACAAAATCCAAAGACACAAATTATTCAGAACAGCATTCCTGAAAATAATTTCGACATCGAAAATGTTCAATATTTGTGTGAGTTTTTATGTCACAATCCAAAACTAATTTGATATTTGTGGTCACCTATACTAAGGTATAGGCGAAAAATTGACGTCTTCGGCCGCAGTATTGAATTTTTATTTTTTTTTTATTTTGGCTTAGCTACCAGGGTGGCAAAAACATTTCGTCCATACATTGTCAACTCCTTCTAATAGTTTAGTATAACCAATGTAACAACTTACATCGGTTTTCATAATAAAGTTTTCCAAATAATTTTGATAAAAGCCTTAGGGTTATTATTTATCGTAGGTAAAGGACCTATAATAAATAATAACCACTCATCACTCTTTTAATTAAAATGTCATAAATATTAAAATCGGGGAAAGTTTTTAGCGCTGGCAATACTGAGATTCAATGCCATCCCATAAAAGCGGACTCGCTGCATGGTTACTATGTACCAAAATAAAAAAATCTTCCAAATTTTGTTCAAAGTCAACCTCGGCGGCCATCTTGGATTTTTCCATTTTGATACTTCTGACATATATATTACATTACGACAGATATATTTCGTCCACATATTGTACAGAGACACGGTCCTTTTAGTGGGTCCTTAGTAAATATTACTTTCTACGAAAATCTATGCCTGGTGTTGCCCCCTAATTTTACAAAAAATTGCATAAAACTATTAAGATGAGATTTATAATAGATACCCGTCACTTTTATTTTTAAAAAAATGTCGAAAAAATTTTCCCACATTTTGGGTTTGCTAAATTACCCGAAAATCGGGGAAAATTTGTAGCCTATATAATTCTTCTTATCTTTGCTCCGTAGAAGTCAACATGCTGTAAGGAATAAAATAGTACCCCAAAAATGAGTTTTAAAACGTCCCTAAACTTGTCATCGGGAATAAAGTACCCTAACTCGGCCGCTATCTTGAATGATTGCTTTTTAAATAGTTTTAACATATACACCTTGGTGAGAAACATTTCGTCCATACATTGTACAGAGCCAAGGTAACTCCTTCTAGTTGTTCCTAAGTACTGTTTACAATGGAAATCGATCGATGTATGGTATTGCTAGCACATTTTGACAAAAACCGCCTAAGACCCCTTGGGGATTATTTTTGACAGATCGTCATCATTGTTTGGTCTAAAATGATGAAACAAAAAATCCCACGTTTTTTACTTCTCTCCGATATTACCCTAAAATCGGGGAAAATTTTTAGACCAGGTAGTGCTTCGTACCGAGAGTTTCCACTGCTCCATAAAAGTCAACTCGCTCCAGTGACGATGGGTACATGAAAACTGAATTAAATAAAGTACCCTAACTCGGCCGCCATGGATTTTTACTTCTTAATACTTTTGACGTATTCACCCTAATAACAAAAACATTTCGTCCATACATTATGTAGAGTCTCGATGACTTCTTCTTGTACTATTCCCTAAGAAAACTGATCTAAGATGTTGCCAAATAATTCTGACAAAAACCACGAAAAACCAATAAGGGGATGATTTTTGACAGATATCCATCATTATTTTGTTTGAAATATCGAAAAAAAATCCCACATTTTGGACTTGTCTTCTAAATTACCCAAAATCGGGGAAAATTTTCATACCATTTTTCCTTTTTCGTCCATATATTGTACAAAGACACGGTCCTTCTAGTGGGTCCTTAGTAAATATTACTTTTTACGAAAATCGATCCATGGTGTTGCCACCTAATTTTACAAAAAATCGCATATAACTATTAAGATGATATTTATTATAGATCTCCGTTGCTCTTATATATAGTTTGTCGAAAAAAAAATCCCACATTTTGGGTTTGCAAAATTACCCAAAAAACGGGGAACATTTGTAACATAGGTAATATTTCGAACCGAAATCTACCACGGCTCAATAAAGGTCGACTCGCTGCAGGGAAGCCAGGTAAATTTATCATCAGAGAAAAAATACTCAAACTCGGCCGCCACCTTGGATTTTTCCTTTTTTAAATACTTTTAACTTATCCACTTTGGTGACAGAAACATTTTGTCCATACATTGTACAGATGTAAGGTGACTCTTTCTAGTACTTCCTTAGTACTGTTTACTATGAAAATTAGTTAATACTTCGCACCGAGAGTTTCCATTCCTCAATAGAAGTCAGTTCGCTGCAGGGTTGATAGGTGCCACAAAACTGAATTTACTAAAAAGACCTTAAAATTGTCATAATAAATAAAGTATCCTAATTCGGCCGCCATCTTGGATTTTTCCTTTTTAAATACTTTTAACACATACATTTTGGTGACAGAAACACTTCATACATACATTGTACAGAGCCCAGGTTACACCTCTAGTTCCTTAGTACGGTTTACTATGAAAATCGATGTATGGTGCTGCCAGATGATTTTGACAAAAACCACCTAGGATCCTTTGGGGGATGATTTTGAACCAATGCTCATCACTGTTTTGTTAAAATTAACGAAAAAAAAAATTCCCACGTTTTTTTACTTTTCTCTGAAATTACCCCAAAATCGGGGAAAATTTTTAGACCAGGTAAAATTTTCCACCGAGAGTTTCCATTGCTCTATAGAAGTCAACTCGCTGCAGGGTTTAATTGTACCCCAAAATTGAATTTTAAAAAGTCCCTAAAATTGTCAACATAAATTAAGTACCCTAACTCGGCCGCCATCTTAGATTTTTACTTTTTAATACTTTTGACGTATTCACCTTAGTGACAGAAACATTTCGTTCATACATTGTATAGAGCCTCGGTGACTCCTTCTAGTACTATTCTCTAAGAATACTGATGTAAGGTGTTGCCAGATAATTCTGACAAAAACCACCTAAAATCAATAGGGGGATTGTTTTTGACAGATTTTCATCATTCTTTTGTTTGAAATATCGAAAAAAATTTTTCCCACTTTTTAGGACCTATCTCAACAATTACCCTAAAATCGGGGAAAATTTTTATACCAGGTAATACTTTGTATTGAGACACATCATCTCTCCATAGAAGTCGACTGGCTGTGGGGTTGCCAAGTGTCCTAAAACTACATTTACAAATATCCCAATTTTTCTCCGAAAAGCAAAACTCCCCTATCTCTGCCGCCATCTTGGATTTCTAAAATTTCATAATTTTCCCTAGAGGCCGGGTCCTTCGGCTATCCGACGCCGTACAGTGCGTTGAGCTAGCATACTCGTAGGTACCCTATCAATTTCAGTTTTTGAAGCTAGACCTCAATTTCAAAATTTGTATCATGATGTATGGGTGTTGCCAGCAAATTCTGACAAAATTCCCCTAAAACCCTTCAGGGGACGATTTTTGGTAGACCAACAAGACTTTTTCATTTAAAATGTCGAAAAAAATATTTCCCACTTTATGGGACTTTTCTCCAAATTTAACCCAAAATCGGGGAAAATTTTTAGCCCTGGCAAATCTTCTTACTGAGACTTACCCATGTCAGTAGGTGGCGTTTAGCTACGGGGTTGCCATGTGCAGCAAAAACGCGATTGAAAATATCCCAAAATTTTTCCAAAAACTAAATCTCCCATAGCTTGGCCGCCATCTTGGATTTCTGAAATTTCATAATTTTCCCTAGAGGCCGGGTCTTTCAGCCTCCCAATGCCCTACAATAGGGATCGGTAGCATCCCCGCAAGTACCCTAGGAATTTCAGTTTTTGGAGAGACACCCCTATTTCTATTTTGGTCAAACCATGTATGGGTGTTGCCAGCAAATTTCAACAAAACCCACCTAAAACCCTTTAGGGGATGTTTTTCAATAGGCCTTGATGCCTCTTTTGTCAAAAATGTCGAAAAAAATTTTTCTCACTTTTTGGACCATTTCTCCCAAATTACCCCAAATTCGGGAATTCTTTTTAGCGCTGGCAATACTTTATACCGAGACCCATCATCGCCCCATAGAAGCCGACTCGCTGCGGGGTTGCCCTGTACCTAAAAAATGACTTTAAAAATAATCCGGATTTTTAGGACCAATTTCACACGCCCCCAACTCGGCGGCCATCTTGGATTTTCGAAATTTCATAATTTTCCCTAGAGGTCGGGTCCTTCGAGTTTCCTATGCCCTACAACCGGTGTCGCCAGCACCCCCGCAACTACCCTGGGAATTTCGGTTTTTGAAACCGTAGAAAATTTTCAACCAATTTTTGGCAATTTTTTCGCCGCCATCTTGGATTTTAATTTTTTGTTTTTACGCCATATTCTGGGTCCCGCCGAGACGTGCCAAATCACTCTTTGAACGGAATCGATCCGAGCGAAACTGTAAAAGTTAGCCGCCATCTTTGTCCGCCATCTTGGATTTTCCCAAATTTCGGAATTTTCTCGTGGTCACCCTAGCCAAAGGAACATTTCCCCCATACATCGTCTCGACCCCCGGACGCTCCTTCTGGGAGAACAACTATGTCAATCAGTGAGTGAGTCACCGTAATGCAGCTTTATATATTATAGATTTTTAAGTATGACTAAATATAACTGAAAATTTCTGTAAAAGAACCTATTTTCTAATTTATGTTAATAGAAAAATAACTAAACACAACTTTCAAAATGATAAAGTGACATTTTACATCCTGGTTTGAGTCAATAAAATATTATTACTCAATACAATAATCCTAAGATAGTATAGATAACACAGCCAAGTCTTTTCTTACTAATCTCTTCTAAAAATAATGTACTTATATCTTTACTGACATAAATAATATAATAAAAAAGATTTTGAATATCCATGTTATTTTTAAAAGGAGTATGTTCATGCAATAAAATTACAATACATTCAATATCCGTTCTTTTATCTTTATTCAGAGTACTTAAAAAAATTTACATCTACCTTCACTTTGAAATTTTGCCATAAATAGTTATGTTCTGCTATTTTCGGCTTACTCTGTTATTGCAGGTATTTCCAATGTGTTGCATATTTTTTTATATTTCTATAATGTCTTTGTTTTTTAGTTAAAGATCAAGTTTTTCAGTTACATGTAATTCTAAAAGAAACTTGTTTAAAGACTATCTCTAATTGCCTTATCTTATAGACAAAATGTCATTGAGCTTAATTAGTTACCGTAGAAAGTGTTCATAGTAGCACCATGTTTGGAGAGGGATAGGGGACAAGCCATGCACATGCAGCCTTAATAATGTTGCATATTTTTAATGAAGTGAAAATAATTGATAGGTGTTTGTTTCCATTGTTAAGTAAAGTTACATCCTAGAGAGAAAGTAGAGTTACTCTTCATACAAATATATTTGATTGATATCAATTTTATTTACAAAATTAATATAATTGTTTAGCACCCTGTGTTAATTCTGTTGGTAGTGTCAATACCTGCATATATCATTGAAATATATTTACAACAGATTATACTTTAATCTTGATAATTATGTTTAAGCCTTATTAAGAGTTTATTTTATCTATAATCTTAGTTTTTTTATATGTATTGAAAACTTACTAGAGATAATGTATGTTTGTATGTTGAATTTTATATCTTTCCATTAGAAAGATATAAAATTGTTGGAGGGACGTTTCAAAAGTTGCAGTGGTTCATTGCCCTCAATACACAAATTTTTAAATGTTTGAATTTTGAAAATATTCTGTAAAAGGTACTAGGCCGGTAAATGCAGCGCCTCTACCGAATCCAGTCAGTTTTCAAACCATCCAGGAACCCATTTAAATATATACAGAATATTCTTTCCAAATGGATGTAGCCATGTAGGAGTGTCACACACACAAAATAATTGTTATGTAAAGTATAATGTATAGTATGTATGTATAGATGTATAGATTTCAAAAATCATCGAACGTTTAGTACTCTTCATTAATCTATTGAACCGTATGTAGATATATTTTATAAGAAATTGGTTTATAGAAGATAGTAGAATAGAATAGAATATACTTTATTCAAAATACTTTATTCAAAATAAATTAATTGAAGCACTTTTGAATAGTACTTATAGATAAAGCTACATTACATTAATAATAGTATTTTAATCTGTATATTTCCAGGTTATCGGATCTGGAAGGGGTGTTGGTCGGGAAATAGCCATTCAGCTAGCCGAACTAGGAGCAATCGTTCTATGTGTCGATAAAAATAAAACCAACAATGACACTACCGTTGAAATGATCAAGCATAATGGCGGTTCTGCCGCAGGCTTTACTTGCGACATAACGAAAAAGGAGAATGTAAAAAGGCTAGCTGCCGAAGTTAAGAAGGACTTGGGCTCCACTAGTATGCTGTTCAACTGTTGTGGTATACCGAGCCCAAGGTCATTGATGACGCAACCTCCGCAGGATGTTCATGATACACTTGATTTGACATTGACATCATATTTTTGGGTGAGACTAATTTTTGGGCTTATGAGATTATTACTCGCCTATTATTTTAAAGGTTGATAAAGGGATGGTCCTCTGTTTGCGCTAATGGCTTACGCTGGCCGGGCATCGTTCGATGATTAGATGAACTTGAGGTCAAGCAGTCAAGGAATTGTGGCAAATTCACCAGAAATATGTCAAGATGGTTTCAATGAGGAACCGCGTGGATGTCATCCTAACATGGTGTATTGCTAGTTATGGGGCTATTAGCCCACATGACTAACAATCTCCTTCCCCCCTAAGACCGCCTGTTGTTAGTAGACTTTGTATCTGTCTTAGTTAGTTCCACCACCATCAATCAGCTTGCTTTGTAATGTGTTTCAGTCTAGAAATATTATGATAGTACTAACTGTGCCCACGGTTTCACCCACATGAAATTTTTAGCCTATATGTTATTCTGATGTATAAGCTATATTACTGTAAAGTTTCATTGAAATCCGTTCAGTAGTTTTTGCGCGAAAGAGTAGCAAACATCCATCCATACTCACAAACTTTCGCATTTATAATATTTATAAGATGACTATTTGTTTTATATTTCTAGCTCATTGATTACTTCATGCCAGACATGAAAGCTAAGAACCACGGACATGTTGTTGCACTTACATCTGTGGCTGGCCTGAGCTACCTAAAAGACCAGATGCCACTGAGTGTAGCCCAGTTTGCTGTCCAGGGATTGGCTGAATCCCTCATGGAGGATCTTAGGATCAACAAAATTGATGGTGTACATGTCACACTTACTCATATATACCCATTCATAGTTGAAGAGGACTCAGATTTGAGGTTGAAGTAAGTTAAAATGATTAGTATTTTTTTAGTGGATGTGTGAGATAGATCACGATATGTGTTGGCAATAGCTCTCACTGGTCACAGGAATTTACCACGATGGTTTCCAATGGGAACCGCGCGAAGGTGTAATTGATAGAATACATGACTATTGGGCCACTAATTGTCATTACTAACAATCTCCACCTCTCTGCATGTTAACCCTCCGTACAGACCCAGTATCCTAACAGATATTACATAAACAGCCATATTTTGCCTATATATTTGTCATAAGTTATAAACCATCTCATATAATTTCTGTATTATCGACATTTTAGTACAATATTCTAGAATTTGTTTTTATGTTAATATTTGTATTTTTTGCAACTCTGCAATTTCATATATATTTTCATAGCAGAATTATAGTGAATGAACTGTGATAACGATATACAGATCTTACTCTTAAATATTGTTTGTTTGTAATTTAATTTAGTTGTAATGTTGATTAGTTTTATACCTAGTTGAGCTGGAGCCTGCATTAACTTAAAGTTTCTATACTCAAAGATATTAGATTCTTGGGATACAAGCCTTGAGTTTAGTGCATTGTTGTTTAAACATTTTATCTATATTCATTAATATAAAAGTGTACAACTAAATGAATAATTTTCGTTTGATAGCAAACATTCCGAAAAAAGTTGAATATCAACTTTTATATTATTTTTCTTACAGGATTTCAAGTTACTTCGGCACTATTACGCCTGCCAAGGCCGCCAAGTCGATCCTGGACAGCGTACGACGCAACTACCCCGAAGCTTCAGTACCTAAGCACCTGCTGTACCTAGGCCACCTACTGCGAGTCCTGCCGCGGAAGGCGACCGTACTCATCAGGGATCTACTCGATACCGGAGTGGACTTTGCATAGATTATAAGTGATAAAAAAGGGATTAGGCAATAAAGTGTAAGGTTTTATTTTTAATTTATAACGGAAAACAGGGAAGGCGTGTGAGTGATTATATATATAATTTTAAAATGAAATGACCTTTGTTACACAAAATTTCAACTCTCTCTATTAAGATATTTCCACATTCCATGAAGTGCACTTTAATCATGAACTACATTATTTTTATATTTTATGTATTATTTTATATATAAATGTTTAATTAGTGTGGTAAAAAAGCATGCCAAAAATTTTATATATATTATCTTGTTAGATTGGTAATTAATTTTAGTGAATTAATAGATTTTATACATTAGGTTTAATAAATTTCTTTGCTCAGTTATTAGATAGGTTTTAGTTAATTGTTACGTATTTGTTTTTTATTTTGTTGTAAATATTTATATATTTAAAAGATGTAACTTTGTAAGCTTTGTCGCAATATTTATATGCCGTCCGCAATATTTAGAGATTATTAGAGATTTTGTAAATTCGTAATTCATATTCTTAAAGTAATTTTACGACATTATTTTCCTAAAGATTTTCACATATAAATCTATAATTTAATAATCTGTGTGCATGTAATTTTAAAATTTTGTGTTGTCAGAATATTAAACCTATCTTCAGTTCACTAAACATAGTAAACAAGAATTATACTTAATATTTATGATTAAAATCAATCTAAAGCAATTACTAGTTGGTTTTAGGCAGTATGATTTGTCAAAGGTATCAGAACTTAGTTCTCACCTTGAAAATCTTACTATTTTCACTACTTCTGTGATACGTCATGATTCTAAAAACAATTATCTAAAGGGTGGTACGTATTTTATATGGTAAGATGTGTATACAGTACTATTTTTCGGCACTGTGTTGAAAAAATAAAATGTAAATAATTTTATATAAAAAAAGCTAAAATTTTATAATACTAGTTACATTTACATTATATATATTATTAGTATAGTTATTACAGTGGCAATGTAACTAGTTTATTTTGTAATTATAATACTTTCTTCACATTTCTTACCAGGTAAATGTGAATAAAATATATTTTATAATGGGATCACTAATTCTTAATGCATTATTTGTATAAACGTGGACTGACTTGACCACTAATTTATCTATAAAAGGAATAAAATATATTTTCCAATATTTAATTAATGTAATAATGAAATTCCATGCGTTCAAGTGATATAGAAATTTGTATTTTTTGTAATGAATATACATTGTACTTTTTAAACAATTGACGCATAGTTGTTTTTTTTTATTGTGCGTACGTCTAGGGTATATTGACTGATTTATTTACAAAGTATTAACTATTATAAATTATTATATTCAAAAATATTTACAATGCCAAGACAGTTAAATAAAATATTTTTTTAAAAAAGCTACAACACCGTAATTTATCTCTATTTACTGGCAAAACGATTGTAAGAGATATTGGCCACGCAGTTTTTCATCATAATTTGAAAGAAATTGAAACGTATTGAGATACTGAGTACATCAATTAAAGATCAGACGATTCACATAACAGAATACCATGCATCCATGATCATGAAAAAGAAAAAAGAATATTACTGTCAATGTCAGTCAGGTCAGTATTAATCAGTATTAATTCAGTATTGTCGTAGAACTGTCAGCTTATCTGTCAAGAATTATGTTGAAAAAATCTAAACCACAACAGCGCCCTCTTTTATTTTCCGTTTTCGCGAATCTTGAATAGTTTCTTACTTGTAAATTTTGCATTACAAAAACAAAAAATAAACCGTTTTATACAGTTTAGTGTTATTGTACTGCTGTGATATTTATTTGTGAAACGGGACAATTTAGTGTACGTGTATTAAATAGGTGAAACCGAGGCTATCGGGAGCAGGCAAGTAAAGCAAACCTGTTTTATATTGCATGCACATAGAACGGACCAACAGCCGATCGATATTATAAACAATTGTTTTATGATCACAATAATTTAACATATATTGTCCATTCATAACAATATGCGTTTACTTTCGTATGCACCAATAAAAATGTAACACTCCATTTATAAATCGGAGTTCTTCGTCAACTTTCTAACACCTACATACATCTGCTCGGTAATTTGAATATTCATAATTGTTTTCTTTACTTTTAAAATAACTATGGATGCAAATAATACACATGTACTTTTTTTACTTAATATGGATTATTAAGTATTATTTTATACTGTGGTATGAGTGTTATTCTTTTAAATTTAAATGTATTAAAACTTGCGATAAATATTGTTTAAAAATTACTTTAAATATCATATGCGATGTTTACGCTTAAAATTTATGATAAGGGGACTGTAAAAACATCTCAACTGCCTCTTATTACCTAGACTTATATTGGTGTAGCTTATATTGGAGCAGTAGTGGCTATAAAAGTCTAATATTAATTTACATCCTCTCCATTTCTGGTCATGTACCCTCTCAGGTTAATATATATTATAAAGAAGGTAGTATATAGCAAACACAGTAATTTCTGATGAATTTGCCATGTTGGCTCAAGTGATGTAATATTTAATTATATGATACATTTATATTGAATGGTATATGAACTTAATAAATTTAGTAGCACTTTTAGTTCTAAATATTTAGAAAGATTAGTAAAGTAAAAATTAAATAAATAATAATTCTAAATTGTCAGTTTAGTCTCGTCTTAGCTCAGGGTTTATTTATTTAACCTCAGGCTTCGTTTGCCACTTTAATAGTCATATAACTAAATTATATAAATATTTGTGAAATTCTAAATTTATATTTTTTGTTTCCAGGTCCTCTCCTACCCTGCTTTCCACCCATCCCGCTTAGCCTATGAAACCTTAACCAATTCAAAAAATATATATTGTTTGTCTATGGTATTAATATATTTTACTTAGTATGTACTACTAAAGTAAAATATGAAAAATATTGAAATTTTATTTAACCCATGAATATATTTGACTTTGTTGAAGTAAATTACTTAATATAAACTACAAAAATTCCTGTGGATAGTAAAATAAATAGTTTTTAAGTAAAAACTTTACTTTATACTATGCACAGGAATTATTTCAATGTCCTGCATGGTTTTATATTTTAATCATAACAAATTAGCAGTATTTTACAGCTTACTAGCTGTGCCCGCAGTTTTACCCGCTTGAAATTTATAGCCTATATGTTATTCTGATGCATAAGCTATATCATATTAAGTTTCATCAAAATCCGTTCAGTAGTTTTTGTGTGAAAAAGTAACAAACATCCATCCATACTCTCAAACTTTCACATTTATAATATTAGTATTGTATTATTATTTGCACTACTGAATATACACAGTTGGTCTTTTGGTTATTACAACTATATCGTCTGTAGAACATTACACTGCTTTCAATATAAATATGTTATGATATTCGACCTACATTCTGTCCAAATACTAAGAGATGGAGGTAAAATTAATTTGTATCCCAGTATAACAAGCACACTATTCTGTGAAAAGTAATTATAGAGTAGTGTCCTTTTTATACAAAAAAAATCAGGAGAACGGCGGCGGTTATTGTAACGGCGTTACATTTCAAAGTGCGTTGCAAGAACAATTATCTCTCGGAAAGATGATTTTTACAATTGAAGGACCACTAGGGCTTTATGTAACTGCTGTATGTATTATTAAGTAGTTGACCCCGAGTGTACAGTTGTAATGATCGTAATTACCTCTGTATGACGTCATCCCTTTGTTTGATTTATTAATAAATTCGAAAATTGCAATAGCCAATTCCACGTCACTCCAAAATCGTAGATTTTTATTACTATATGACTATTGTTAGTATGTCATATAATAAAGGGCCTTGTTAATTGTAGAAAGAAATTTATTGTAATTTTGACGGCCTCTATGGTCTAGCAGTTTAGCACTCCGCTTTACTTCCGATGGTCGCGAGTTCGATTCCTCATACGGTGCAGACATTTGTATTCATGGGTATGATTGTTTGCATGAGTCTTGGTGTTTCTATGTATATTTTGTATTTATTTACAAAAAAATATCTAAGTAATTATATCATTCGTCTATAGTATCCATAACACAAGCTCTGCTTACCGTGGGACTAGATGGCGCTGTGATAATTGTCCAGTGTTATTTATTTATTGTGTTCTAATACATAATAATAATAATAATACATTACGCAACAGAGAAAGAAAAATATATGCTTCGTTGTTTTTCTTACAAAGTGCATTTTGTTTCCATCACCTCCTTCATGATATTCTAATGCTGAAAAGTGTTGCGAAACATTGCTACCGGAGAGAAACTACTATTTTTTTTATAACACTTTATTCCACCGACGTAGAAAGGACATTAACAAAATAAAAAATAAAACAACACAAAAGGCTGTATTATCGCTAATATAATCTCTTCCAGACAAACTTTGGAAAGATAGTATTTACAAATATAATATATAAATAGACTAGGCGCATGAGTGGAAATATAGAATTGTATACATATACGATTCCTAATTGTACATAGATTTCTATAAAATATTTAATGATGTTTATCACTTTCCGGTTATTTTTTAGGCTTTCATTCTTCATTTTTGATTAATTGCTTCTTAATGACATCAAGCATTAGCGAGCCCTTAATTTATTGTTAATTTGATGGGAAACCCTCTTCGCAGATTTGATCTTATTTACCGCGGTGGATTGAAATCGACAATAGTCGCGCTCCATTTGTGTCGGCATCGGTTCGTCTGTCACTCAATCATCCTGAACTTAACTTTATCTTTAACTCCATAATTGCTTAATGGAGTATTAAAATTTCTAAAGAATCCATTATAAAGGAATTTACGCTTTCAGCTATTATATTACATTGGTAACAGAATTAGTCATAAAATTTTTGCATTTTCGTTTTTTTTTATGATAATGGAATGGTGCACCCGCAGGCGCTATCGGGTTACGCTAGCTGAGAACAAGTGGAACATGATTAGATGAACATGAGGTCCTGTCAGTTAACATTTCGTGGTAAATTTACCATGAATTTATCACGATGGTTTCCTAGGGGAACCACGCGGAGGTCAACCTGACATATTACAATGCTAGCCATGTGGTTATTAGTTCACATTTTTAACAATCCCCTTCTCTTCTCTCTCCTATTTTTTGCATTTGTCAAAAGCGTTTGTTAATGCAAAGAGAGGGAATAAAAGACGAAATA